CAGTTTTTTTTCCCCTATTTATGTCCTGCCTTTTTCCTACAAAGGGCTCAAGGCAGCTAACATCATTCTCCTCCTCCATCTTATCCCCACAACAACAACCCTGTGAGGTAGGTTGGGCTGAGAGTCTGTGACTGGCCCAAAGTCACCCAGTTGGCTCCATGGCTGAGCAGGGACTAGAACCCAGGTCGTCTGAGTCCCAGTCCCATGCTCTTAACCACTACACCACACAGTTTTAGCAAAAAGAAGGATAGCATAGAAATGAAGTAAATGTATTCTTGGAGAATGAGATGGCAAGTGTTTAGAAATGGTTATTTATTTTGCTTGAGCAAATCTTTTGGAAGAAGGGTTCAGAGAAGACTCTGATAAAGAATCTTCTCTATAGGCGGTCCCTGGGTAACATAGAAACTTAGCAAGTTAGAAGGAGTCTCCTGGGCTTCAACTGGCTCTGCTCATGTAATATACTGAAGGAGCCTGATAGGCTAAAAGCAAATAACATTAGTTAGCTAAACAAACGCCATTTGCTTTCTGTATAACTGCTTGCTTTGGAGAGGAAAAAGGGAAGGCAAAAGAATGTTGATGAAGAGGCAGTGAGTATAGGAAGACCCCCACGCAAAGACTGGCACGCAGTGATCCCGCTCCACCTGTGATGTCATTGGACTAGATAAGGGGTCTGCACGAGGCCAGGCATGCAGTGGACATGCAGACCCCGCAAGGTGATTGGGTAAAGGGTCAGGCAGACCCTGAGAGGGGATTGGGTGAGGGAACAATGGGGGCGAGATTAAGTGGAAAAAGAGAGAAAAGGAGGAATGTGTATGTGTTGCTGCCGGCCTGCATGTAGGGAGCAGACACCCGGTGGCTTTGCTTAGCTGAATAAAACTGAACGGATCTCCGCCTGTCTGAACCTCATTGGCACTTGGTTTAGCTGGTCTGTAAGTCACCTGGCTAGCAGGGACACCAACAATACAACATGTGGTTGTCCAGTTTTTCCTTGAACACCCTCACTGATGGGGTCCCCATCACCTCCCATGGAAGCCCATTCCATGTCCTAGGAGTTCTAACCACCAGGAGGTACTTCCTGCCATCCAACCTGAAACCTTGTTCCTTGAGCTTTGTCCCATTGGGCTGTGTCTCCACTACAGGGGAGAACAAGTGCTGTTCCTGAAAAAACAGAAATTTGTTTTTATGTTGAATTTGCATGTAAGTCAGATCACACTTAGTTGGACCTCCTCATTTGCAGGGGTTAGGGGTGCAGGACCCCCATGAATGTGGAAAAACTGAATATTTCCAGGTCCCCCTGCCCATACTTCCTCTTTGCAGCAAGGAACTGCAGGACTTCCCTCTTTAGATGGATGAGACAAGAAGCCGTGCTTTGGAGGCCCTCTCTTGCTCACCTTTTGCTTCCCTTCCCTTTGTGGTGATGACGATTTCCTGCAATATAGGCTGTATGGTAGTTCCTTCAGAAGTATGTGTTGTTCATAGCTCGGATGTACTTGCAGCAGATTTATTGTGCTGTCCATGCAGGCCTCTATAGTAAGATAAAACTTAAAGCTGTATCTTCCTAATGATGGAACTACAGGACCAACAAAGTAGATGGGCAGAGAAACTGTATAGTCTGCATACAGTTTCTAGAGAGCCATAGGATTGTTAGGGTTTCCAGCTCCAACAACAGAAAAGATTTCCACCCTTCGAGTTGGGGATTCTCACTTGAATCCCCTGCTAACGCCTCTCGCCACAGCTGGCATGGAAGGAAGATGTTCCAGGGGGAGGAAAGGGGACCAGGTCCTCCAGGGTGTGATGCACCCTGATGTCCAAAGTGCTAGATAGACAAAATCTGCTGTCCAACAGACTTGCAGAGTGGGAGGAGCTTGGTGGAGGTTGGAGGTGAACTTTGCTTCTGCACTTAGCCCACATTAGATGCCCATAACCCTTTAAGTTTGGAGCCTTAAGGGCACCCCTATTGATTTGTGTTCTAAATTGTGTTTTCTACATAAGCACTACACTGTGTTAGAGAACACTGCTCTCTCTTCCTCTGTTGTGCTATTTGTAGTTTGTGATAATCTTTAACTTACTCTGTGTAGTTAGGTTGTCAGGTTTATTTTGGTAATATTATAGAAACAGTGTTTGTATATTGCATTTCTACTGTTTATATTTAATTGGGCAATAGTGTCTAGGCGTTCCAACCTGCTATGGTGACATTATGAGAATATGTATGAACTAATGAACCAATAATTCCTTTTTAGAAAATTTTGTTGTATGGCATATGTTAATATGTGAATAAATATGTCTGAGTCTGGCCCCTGACTTGTGGATATTGCAGTGGTGCTCAGCCTGTTTACTATTGGCATTGCTGCAGTGCTTGGCAAGTGCAAGTATTGTCCCAATTATTATTCTGTGTGCTATGACAGAGATGCAAGAGAGGAGCCTGGAACTCTGTGCCAAGGAAAGCTAAGTTGATTGTGTTTGCCTGTCAGCAGAATGACACAGTTATTCCAGTAGGCCTTTAGCATATACGTTAGCTTGTTGCTAAAGGTGTTTTAACAGTTGGTGTTTATTTCTTTTATTGATTTGTTTTTAATTGTTTCTATTTTTATCAAAATTCAATTTTATCTGTGTTATAATTCGATTCCTTGACCCATATTTGACAGAATGGTGAAGCATAAATTTAATAAGTAAATGCCAGCTGCATCCTCATTATGAGGGATGATGAAAAGTTATAATCAAATATTAGAAAGAGTGCTTTTGTTTCTGCACTTGCTTATAGAGAACCATAGATGTGAGTTCTCCCAGCCCTTTTTATTCTTCCTCTTGCTTCATATTTATGGCAAAAAAAATCTGTGTGTCTCTAGCAACAGTTAAATGCCAGGAACTCATGCCTTTATCTCTTGAAGCTGCTCTGGAGAAATGCAGGTGCAAGACTTTTGACCAGGAACAATAATTGGGACTGATATTTGATCGGTAAACATTTCATGACCCCTTTCTGAACATGGGTTCAAAGTGCTAGTTATTATAGTAAAGCCTGGACAGCTTTTGCTCAGGGTATCTTACCTGCCACTATCAAACACAGGGTCTCCAGATCATCATCAGAAATGAGGCAGGTCATCCACTCAACCCATCCACTCAAAAGCTCCTGTTAAAAATGGGGGAACTACCTTGAAAAGAATGTAATTTATTAATTTATTTAAAATATTTTAAAGCTGCCTTTCAGTCACACTTTCCTCATAAAGAAATTTATAATATTAATGTGGTGTGGTGGTTCACAGCGGGTAGAGGGATTGGCAAAAAATCAGCTTTGAATTAAAGCCGTTCAGAATAACTTATATGTTTCAGCGAAATATACTGAAATCCAAAAGAGTGGTTATTTTTTCACCTCATTGGCAGGAAGGACATGCATTTAAGTAATATTGGAGTAAGCCTGTATTGATGTATATATTTTAATTTTGAAATGTTTATAGAGTTTGTCATACTCAAGTTGGTCTTACTAGTTACAGCAAATAACTGTATTTAAGCAGAAAAGTATTAAAAACTCCAATATCTATATACCGCATCAAGCTTTTTTCAGGTTTAAGCTATGCACCCCCATAGGTTGCTTAGACTGATCCGGATCATTCCTTACTTTTCTGTTAAAGTTGCTGGAATTGTAAACTCATGGGTTAGGGGGTTATAAAAAGTATGACTTCAACATACTGACTTAGAGTGTACTATTGTGTGGAACCATATATTAATTTCAGTGTGGAATGCAGTCACTATCTTTATTATTTATTCATCCTTCCATAGTGTTTCCTCATTTCTTCATGCAGAAGTTGTAATGAATATACACATGGTGTATATTCTGAACATGCACATGGTGGGCATGTTGTGAGCGGAGCTGGCTGGTGCCGGAGGTCAGACTAGATGGCCAGGGAGACCCCTTCTGACTTGCTCTGTTTCTATGTCTGTACACACACGTTTGTGGGGGGCAGATTTGACTACCCCAAGCCATTTTTCAATGTTTCCTGAAGGTAAAATGCCCCATGATACAGCTATGTGTCTGTGGTGTCAAAAGATATGTTTTAAACTCAAAACATTAGAAAAGTACAATAATCTGTCAAGGATAAAAAGCTCATTAAAGCTTTATTATTACTAAGATCTCAAGGTTTTGGGAGATCTTATGAGGTATTTTTCTAGCCTCATAACAAGTTGATGTTTAATGAGGTGAATTGCCCGAATGTGAAATGCCATGGTTTTGCCAAGCTGTTGACACACAGAGTATTTAAGCTTGCTTCCCTAGATCAGGTTTCTTCAGGAAATGCTAAATTGTTGCTTTGCTTTGAAGGACATAGATGCCCTAATGGCAAAAACAATAGGTTCTGGGGGAATTTTGTGCTACTTTCCAGAAAGTAGTAAGTGACTGAATGATCTAAGTAGTAAAAAATTACATCATTCGATCAGCAGTAGATGATAATGTCATGGGGAAATTTTGTTTTAGGTCTTCTTCAGTGTATATTCTGCAATGTAAGGTGCCTTTTTAATAGAATGGTCAGTAAACCTCAGTACCTGGGGTTTTACATATAAGAGGGTGTTTTGTCCAAGACAGAGTTATTTATTTAAAGCACTTTAACCCTGTTCTTTGGCTGGAAAAGCTCACTGAGTGGTGAATATACAGTCAGTGAAACAGGAATGCAGGCTTAAAAGTCATGACACCACTCAAACATTGTTCAGCAATTGACCCGTGGAGCATTGGTTGTATAAGTGTTACTGTATGCAAGAAGAATACTTACTCATACCCCGTACAGACATTCTTCCAGCAATCCAGAGTACACTGCAGGATCCCTTATCTATGATCATGCTCTCTTTTACAATTGTGTCTGTTTCAAATGCTGCTACAGTGGCTATCCTACTGGACTTCAAAATTGTATACCTCTGAAACAGATGTGGAATATTTTCTGATCTACAGAAAATGGTGGTGAGTTTTTGTGTTTCCTTTTTGTTATAATGACCATATGTTCTTCCATTTCTTGCAGTGGTGGGATGAAAGGCTTGATTTCCATACTGCCTTTCTCCAGCATTTGGCAAAAGTTGTTCCAGATATATATTCTGATGAAATGGATCCCTTGCCAGAAAAGGAGGAAGAAATAGCTCAGATGACCATTCTTTACCCTCTGGAGCGGCAACTGTTTGGGGAAGATCCATATGTTTGTCTGGAGAAACTAAGGCAAAGTGGCACCTCTCAACTTTGCGGTAAAGTGTTCAAAAGTGGAGAGACAACATATTCTTGCAGGTGAATAGTTCTGCCCTTACTTACCCTTTAGCATTTCAGCTTCAGACATGGTCCTGGGGGAGAGGTTGGAGCTCTGCTTTTGCCCCCTCACCTGCTACAACATCCCACTGAATTTAAAAAAAAAAACTTCCTTGCAATTTCCTATATAATCGGCCTGTGTGGTTTGGTGCCAGATCTATCCCTGACCAGAGCCTGCCAGTGGAGAGCTCATACACGGAGTGAAGTGTTCCTGCTGAAGGCACAGGTCCAAGGGAGAATTTAGTGACTAGAAATAACTGATGACACTCTAGATGGCTCTCTACTTTGCAGCTAAGTAGTGCTAGCGCAGGCACAGCAAAGGAATATGAAACTGCATCTGGTACCAGGCAGGCAGAGTCTTTACCAATGCCAAACTGCCTGACTACCTTCTATGGCCAGAAATGCCACCCATAGGCATCAGATTCCCATGAAATAGAGGTGTTCTGACACTCACAATACTTTAATACATATTTCTTTCTCTGCATGCTCAGTGGGATAGGAAATCAGTGGTCATTTGCTACCTTGGAGAGCATGGTGCTCATTTTGGAACAGATGAGCAGAGCAGCAATGTGTCATCCCATGGGGGAAGAAAACAAATCTGGATTTTATATTTCTAGTCCAGAGGATTCAGTGTTTTGCTTGCTTGTTTGTTTTAAAGGCAGGGGAATGGGCAAGCAACTAACAGCCAAAGGCTCCCTGGGGAGGTCATTTTATAAAATCAGCCCTCAGTACACTCAGTTCCTATTTTTTTGGTGGAGTGTTTTTGGTCAGTTTTTAAAAGGGTACAACAATTTCTTTTATTTTCCCTGCCTTTATATTTTAGTTGTTTTGTTTCAAGATTACTTGGGCAAGATTTTTTTCTCTTTTTAAATAATCTGTTAGGTTTCATTAGGAAAGAAAACTTGCTTTTGGATTCTGGGCACTTGGATGCTGGCACTGATATTTTTGTTCATTTGTGAAAACTGCTTCTGGATGCTTTGTGTAATGCTGCTTTTTGGGGAGTAGGGATTTATTTTGGTTGTTTGTGACCACTTCTGATTTTGGAATATTTCCCTTTTTGTGGTATCATTTGGCAGGCATGGTCTGACAGCTCATGTGCGCTGGTTTCTTGTTTCTGTTATATGGCTTGTTGTTTCCCTAGTGTCCCAGTTTCTTTTTCTTCAGGAATGGCTTGCTGGTTGCTCCTGTAGGTTAAGAAAGGTTACTGGTTTCTCTAGCAACAGTATATTGCTGTTGTCATTGTTATCAGCTGCCTAGAGTCCTAATAACTGGCAATAGATGGGATGATGATGATATCATTTATATTATCCTGTTCTTTGTTGGCATTATTTATAAATGCATGTGCTTAGTTTCCTCTTTCTGGGTTGTAGCTTGCTAGATGATTTTCTGGTTAAAGGATGGTTTCCTTGTTGCTCAAACCAACTTATGGTTGTTCTATTTTATTTCGCTGTAATTATTCTATTATTTTGCTTTATTTTTCTGTTCTTTGCTGGCATGATCTAGAATTTCTTGTGTCCAAGTTTCTCTTCCTGTGTTATCATTTGCTGGCTGCTGTGGAGTAAGAATGGTATCTGTGTTGCTCTGATGACATTGTGATTATCATAATCATACTGTGTTTATGGGCATAATAAGGAATTTCATGTGTCCCAGTTTTCTCCACTGTGTATTTCAGTGACTGGTGCTACATGTCTGATACATTTGCATGTGCACACTTTTATTTTCAGGCAGTGGATTCTTGATGTGCAGCAGAGATGTGCAGTCAAAGCACATTATAACAATGTTGTGGTAATCAGAGTCGAATTTTCTCATTTAATTACAGTCTGTGTTACCTGACTTGCCAGATAGTTTCAGTGTGCTTCTGTGTGAAATGAGTTGGCTCCATCTCTGGTGACCAGCCCTGCTAGACTTAAAGGTATCAGCTGAAACTGAAAGCTGCTGCTGAACTTGAGGAACTGATTTTTGCCCTAAGCAAAGTTAATTAAAACCAACTAATTAAACCATGGTTTGATATCCTGGGTTGTAAACTAACTGTATACAATAAAAGTTCCCTTGTTGTTGTTAGTTGCGAAGTTGTGTCCAACCCATCGTGACTCCATGGACAACATTCCTCCAGGTCTTCCTGTCATCCACCATCCCCCAGAGTCCACTTAAGCTCACACCAACTGCTTTGGTGACTCCATCTAGCCACCTCATCCTCTGCCATCCCCGTCTTCTTTTGCCATCAGTTGTTCCCAGCTTTAGGGTCTTCTCCACTGAGACCTTCCTTCTTATTAGGTGGCCAAAGTATTTGAGTTTCATTTTCAGTATCTGGCCTTCTAAAGAGCAATCAGGGTTGATCTCCTTTAAGACTAAGTTCCCTATATTTATATTAAATTTCAAATGGTGGTTTGTTTGAAAGCAGAGGCTTTTCCTCTCCTGTTGTATGTCAAAGTGGTCAAGGGAAAGCCCTGTATACAAGGCTCACTGAGGTTTAGTCCTGGTAAACTCATACACGTTTTAAGTGGTTTTCTGTGCCAGTGCATTAAGATGTTTCTGAATCCTGTTCTTAATTCTTGAGTATAATACTGAGGCTCAAAATATTACTGGGGCACTGCTGGAATATGGCAGTTTTGAGTAATTTTGGAGGAGTATGTGCTTAGAACAGCAGCATTAATTCCTTGTTTATATTGCAGAGAATGTGCAAGTGATCCAACTTGTGTACTTTGTGTGGATTGTTTCCAGAACAGCATTCACAAAAATCATCGTTACAAGGTAAGACTATCTGTGGTTTAAAGTAATATCTATTACTGTAGTGTTCTAGCAAATAAATAAGGTTATATATAATAAATAGTTATTTAGGAATTACTGCTTTCTTGAAATAAAAAATCTTATTTACAAATGAAAAGCTGCTTTAAAAATAAAATTAAAAATGTAAAAAATGTAAATATAGAATGGCTGAAGCATTCTAAAATTTTAGATCTGTGTTTTCTATTCTGTGTTTTCAACTGTGAACACTTTGATTCTAGAAAGAGAATGGTACCAGATCTGCTGCACAGTATGCAAGAGGTTGATTTATTCTTTAATAACACAGCCTTGAGTGCTATTTCTAGCAGAAGGGAAGGTACACATCAAATAATAACCCTATGCCTTCAGCCTGTCATGCTTCAGTGAGCACTCAACGTGTTAGGTGTCCATGTGGCAATGCAGGTGGTTGAGTTATTATGTTAGCAGGATAACATAATATGTTGTTGTGTCTCCAGTTGCTGAAATTAGTGTGGTGTTTATACTGAACATGGTGTTCATAATTTATCTTTTAAGCAGAATAGTTGTGGGGATTATTTATTTATTATTTATTAAAAGCTTTTATATGCCATCCTATTATATAAATATCTCAGGACGGCTTACAGTACTTTAAAAAATTTAAAATAACAGCAACTTCCAATAAACAAATTAAAACAATGTATAAAACAATAAACAGTAAATCACAAAACAAGACCAACTGTACATTAAAAGCTATTGATTTTAAAATGCAATTTAAATAAAAAGGTTTTGGCCTGATGCCAAAAAGAGTATAAGCTTGGCTCCAGGTGAACCTCTCTGGGAAGTCCATTCCAGAGTCTGGGTGTCACCGCAGAGAAGGCCCTACTCCGAGTTGATGACCTTTTAACCTCTTTTAGAGAGGGTTCCTGGAACAGGGCTTCTCCCACACATCTTAAGGGGTGTGAGAGCATATAAGAAACGTGATGTTCCTTCAGGTATCCTGGTCTCAAGCTGTTTAGGGCTTTATAGGTCAAAACCAGCACCTTGAATTGGACCTGGACTTCAACTGGAAGCCAGTGGAGCTGGTAGAGGACCGGCATCATGTGAGAATAACAGCTGATCCCCGTCAGCAGCCTAGCAGCTCTATTATGTACCAGCTGAAGTATCCAGACCATTTTCAAGGGAAGCCCCTGTAGAGCACATTGCAGTAATCCAAGTAAGTAATCCAAGGGATTAGGCCTGCTTCTCCCAAAATACCATTCCAAATTGAATCTCAGACTTTGAATCTGAAGTGGAAGAAGAGACAGGATTGCAGTGCTCAGCTGAAATGCCAAGGCCAGTGAATTTTGAGATGAATCCTGCAGGTGGTGAGAATCAGACCACCTCTGGTTCAGGGGTAGACACAATAGAACAGTGGGACTCAAACATTTGTTGTCAAACTCTCAAAGATGACAAAAGAGAGGAAGGAAGATTTTGTATTTTTAAAGCCTCCCATCTCCTCCTTGCAGCTACATCAGATGCACATAACGCTAATGCTTTCTGCTACTACATGTAATGCTAAATCTTAGTTTACCATGGTCTCAGGATGGTTTATCAATAAAGACAAAATAGAATAAAACACAGCATCCTAATTAAAATATTCCAATCAGCAATAAAACCACCTATTAAAACAATGAAGTTTTAAAACATTGGGAAAATAAAAAGGTTCTAGCTTGGCACAGAAAAGAATAAAGTGACAGCACCAGGCAAACCTCTCTGGGGAGCAAATTCCACAATCAGGGTGCCAACGCAAAGCAGGCCCTTCTTGGGTAGCCACCCTCCTAATCTCCTTCAAAGAGAAGGGCCTCTGCCCCAGATCTGAAGGGGTGGGAAGGCACATATGGAAGGAGATGCTCCTTCAGATAACCAGGCCGTAAGCCATTTTGGACTTTACAGGTCATCACCTGCACCTTAAATTGGACCTTGACTTCAACTGGTAGCCAGTGTAGGTGGTAAAGGACCAGAGTTATGTGTTCATACCTGCCGGTCCCTGTAAATAACCTGGCAGCTCTATTCTGAACCAGTGGAAGTATCTGAACCATCTTCAAGGGCAGCCCCATGTAGAGCACACTACAGTAGTCCAATTGGGAAATTACCAGCACATGGGTCACCATTGTCAGGCACTGCCCATCCAGATAGGAGTATAGTTGATAAATCAGCCAAAGCTGAAGGAAAGTGCTCCTCGCCACAGCCACTACCTGGGATTCCAGAGAGAGCTCTGGATCAAGGAGCACTCCCAAACGGCTCACCCTGTCCTTTAGGGGGAAGTTCAACCCCATCCAGAACATGGTTGGAAACACCTGCCTGGGAGGCTAAACCGCCTACGAGCAGGACCTCTGTCTTGTCTGGGATTAAGCTTCAATTTATTGGCCTTCATCCAGCCAGGCCTTCATCACCCCAACCAGGCACTGGTGCAGGGCCTCCACTGCCTCACCTGGATTAGATGTAAAAGAGAGGCAGAGCTGGGTGTGCTCAGCATCTGATGACTCTGCAGCCCAAACCTCTGGATGACCTCTCCCAGCGGTTTCATGTAGCTGTTAAAGAGCATGGGGGAATAAAATGGAACCCTGCAGAACTCCATGGGGAAGCTGCCATGGTGCAGAGCCACAATCCCCCAGCACTACCTTCTGGAATTGGCCTGCCAAGTAGGAGTGGAACCACCACAAAGCAGTGCCTCCAACTCCCAACTCAGCCAGCCTATCCAGAAGGATACCATGGTCAATGGTATCAAAAGCCACTGAGATGTCCAGGAGAACTAATAGGGACATACTCCCCCTGTCCCTTTTCTGCACAGGTCATCATACAGGGCAACCAAGGCAGTTTCCGTCCCATAAGCAGGCCTGAAGCTAGACTGTAATCGTCCAGATGGTCAGATGATTTTGTATCTGATGGTTTAAATCATTTCAGATGCACACTTCCAGTGGAGGAGGATTTTGTGACTGTGGAGATACAGAAGCATGGAAGACTGGACCATTATGTTCAAACCACGAGTCTGGTACAACAGGCAATACAGGACAGGTAACATATTTGTAATAAATGTACAACTAAATACTGCAAAATCACACTGCTTATGATTTGGAACCACATGTTGGTTCATCAGTCATCATCTTCAGGGGTACTACAGTCAACTTGTTTTACCAGGAAGTAACTGCTTAGAATAGCTTTTATACGAGAACATATCGTGCAAATATTGCAGTGACATTACAAAGGCATTTGAGCAGACATGTGACTCTAAAAAGTTGATGTTAGATTCTTCTTAAAGTTTTAGGATCTTGAGGATCTTGAATTTTTTCTATAAGCTCATAGTGCTGCATTCTATCTACATCAGTGGATGTGACATAGATGCTATGGGTGGGGAAGGAAAAGATACAACTAATTTGAGAAGCCATTTGAACAAAACATTCCAAGTGGTTCTTTAAAGGAATAACTGAATGTTGCCTTACTCCAAGCAACACATTAAAACTTCACGTAGGGACACTTTTAAAAGCAAAATGGCTGGCTACCCAATATTTGACTCCAGGATCAGCTAAGGCTGTGGTGGATGGCAGGTAGATAGTTTAGATCATGGGTTCTCAAACTAAGCCCCGCGGGCCGGATCCAGCCTGCCATGCCCTTTTAACCAGCCCGCCCCACAGGTTTTGCGTGGCTTGCTCACGAGGAGGTCGTTTTGGAAACGCTTGGAGGAAATGATCTCCTTGTGAGCAAGTCAGTACCTCAGCCGGCAACAGCTTGTTCACGGGGAGATCTTTTTGGACTCAGAGAAAATGAGCTCCTTGCAAGCAAGCCAGCACCTCGCAGTGCATGCGCCCAGCAGTGGCTTGCTCGTGAGGAGGTCGTTTTGGACTCACTCTGAACGATATCCTCGTGAGCAAGCCTGCACCTTGCCCTGCGTGCCCCCCCCCACTTTGCCTTGCGTGTGTGCACCCTAACCCCCCCCCCCCCCGCCAGCACTGCCTTGGCGGCCCACAGCCACCACTGACACTTGTCAACTGGCCCCCTGTTCAAAAAGTTAGAGGACCCCTGGTTTAGACGTTAGTTCCCAGCTATCCCTGGCAGTGTGGCCAACAGTTAGGAATACTAAGAGTTGTAGATCAAAACATCTGGAGGTTTGCTGTCTGCCCATCCCGCATGGAAAGTGGCCATTTTGCTACTTTGTCTTCCATGTAACTCTGAAGGGGGTCTGAAGATAGGAACTCAAGGGTACACTCAGCTGGCCGACTTGCCTTTTCTTTTTCTCTTGATTAGGGCATGGTGGGGAAAGAGTTGTGAAGGTTGGTTCAGAGAGGGGGGTTAACTTTGTTCCAAGGGGGTTAGTTTTCTTATTGAACAAACTAATCTTACAAAATATTTCTTTTTAAAAAATAAATATTACTTATGATTTTTTCAGTAACTATAATATGTATAGTAATTCATGTTAGTATACTTTTATTGCATTCTGTAGAACTCAGAATGCCAGTTGAATGAAGAGCTAATAGCACAAGCAAGAAAAATCTTCCCTTCAGTGATAAAATATATTGTAGATATGACTGTTTGGGAGGAAGAGAAGGAGCTGCCTCCAGAGCTTATGACTAGGTAAGTAATATAAGTTAATGGTAAAAACTTAGGAATGAAAACTTTGCAGGATTTCATCAGGGTTAAGCAATTATATTACTTATCAGCCAGAGCAAGTGCACAAGTAGAAGATGAGAATTCTACAACATTACTGATGGTGCTGATAATCCTTATTTGGTTTATATATCACCTCATACTGGTATGGACACCAGTAAAATAGTGTAGTTTTGAAAGATGGAACCAAGTACAAGGGAAATCTGGGATTTTCTACTTTTATTACCCTGGTAATGCTAATACAGGGCTGGGAAAGAGGCTGCATTATGGGGTCAGAAAAGGAAAACTCTTAACCCTCCAATCTGTTGAATACATTCAGGAGATGCCTGTACTTTCCAGTCTTTGACTCTTGCCCCCTTTCTTAGCTGTGCTTCCAAACAGGGAATAAACCCAGTCAGGGGAAAAATGACCTCAAGTAAGCATTTGTGGAAGAGAATTCAAAAGACATGCTGTGCCCAGGCATATATGTTCCTGATGCCTGTCAGGAGGTGGGACCATACAATTGGTGATATATTATCCAGTTCTGCACTGTTTAAAAATGTGCAAAACAATTATTGGAAAAAAGTTTATTCGTATTTAAAAGAAGAAAGTGGAGAATTCAGGATGAACTTCCAATTTAAGTAAAGAGAGATGCATTTGTAACTGTACTGTAAATTATTGTGTAGTCAGTTTGTTCATGGGACAAATAGAATAATTGCTCCAAACACCAACTGTTGCAACCAACAGTGCATTGCAGAACATCCTAGAGCTGCAGTTACCAAACATTTGCTACACAAAGCATAGGGAATAGTGTATAAATATTTCATCTTCCAAAATAGAGGAAAAGGGACAGACTGTCTGAGAACAGCAATGACAAGGAACAGGTGAGGTAAAAAAGGGGAAGGATTGCTAAACTGAGATGAAAAACATTTGTGGCACAGATCCATGGTCTAATAATTGGGTTTTCCCAGGTCTGGTCATGGGTCCTTGGGTCATTGATAAAACTTCAGATGCAGCTTTATAGCTGAAATGCTAATATTTCTGAATTTAACCAATATTTGATGCTAATAAAAACAGCAAGACTGTGTTAATACCATGTTCATGTTTGACCAGTGAGAGTTATATCTATTGCTACTGCTTGGAAAGCAGAAATTATGTGAGCTAAGTCTTAGCTTCTTGTCCCCATGTTTGCCTTTCCTTAGACTGTCCCTTTGCTTAAAGGAGTTGCTAAATATTAAAAGGGCTTTTAAGATATACATGGAATGAACAGGAACAGACAATCTATTCATATCTTTTAACTTCATCTCCGCAGGGAAGCGAGTGTCTAAATTCATGCTAGTACAAGGAATAAAAGCCTGTGTTTCCCTGGTTCATTCTTCTCAGAACCTACTCACACCTACCTAGCTCATTCCACCATAGCTCATTACACCACAGAAGGCAGTCCTTCAGCAGCACTATACACTAACGTATCCATTGCAGAAATATGCTGAGTGGTCTTTCAGTTGTTGACAAGCATTTCCATAAAGCATTATAGCATTAATACCTACATACCTGCTAAGTTTACCTTCAGGAGGATGGAGCTGCAACATATTCTTCCTAGGTCGGTCACCTGTCCCAGAATTAACTATTGTGCCTAATTGTCTCTGGCTGCCTCCCATGTGAAACAAGAGGATCGAACCGTAAAACACTATGAAGAGTCCTTCTTGTTTGACATGCAGAAGCATTGAATATTGTGTGCTTCAGGAACAGGTGACTACCTACAGTTACATATCCACTAAGTTAAGGGGCAGCATCCTACACCTAGCTCGCAACTCTCTGATTCTTCCCAGTAACCATAGCAGACTCTTTCTGCTAGCTGGAAAGCTAAGGAGTGGACAGGGGGGTGGGGGAAGTATTAGTAGAAGGAGGTGATTTGATTCCTGCATTTTGAGCCGCAGGTGAATACCTAGCCTGCTTTGGATAGCTTCAAATATCAAATAATAATAAATCATTATAGTGAGTACCAGTGTTTGGGTATTTGACTTTCCCTCCTCCTTCTCATTATCTATCTATCTATCTATCTATCTATCTATCTATCTATCTATCTATCAAAAATGGCACTAAATGTTCCATTTAAATGATAAAGTGTTTTGCTCAAGGGCTAGTCTATTTTAAATGAAAACATTTATATCTTGTGAAGACTATTTTAAGATGAATTGCCCAAATTTGGTTGTCCTTCCTTCCTTTTATGTTTTTTAGCTTGTACCATTCTACTGCCAACACTTAAGTTAGAATTTCTTTTAGTTTTCTGTATGGTCACTAGTGACATTTTGGTTTCTGCCTAGTAGAGGGAAAAGAGAGAAATACTACTGTGTCCTTTTCAACGATGAGCATCATTCCTATGATCATGTTATCTACAGTCTGCAAAGAACTCTAGGCTGTGAGCTTGCAGAGGCCCAGTTTTATACAGCTGCTATAGATAAAGAGGTTAGTAACTAGTATCATGTCTGCTATAAGTGTGTTAAATTCCAGTGGATATAGAATAATTTGTATTGTTGGTGTATATAGCCAGACCTTCATGAAAAGAGAGAATCAGACAGGACATCACCACTTTTTACAAGTCTCTTGATAGATCATTGTTGCACTGTCCTTGAAATATATTTATATACCTTCAGATATGCAGAAAATACAGTCTGAAAGCATAACTCAGTTAAATGCCTTTCTTGGCTCCAGAGGAGTAAGGAAATTTAAATTGAGAAAGATTTGATCATCTTTGCAAAGATTGTCCCACCTGCTAAACCCTGTTTAGGTGGGTTTTGGTGGCATCCTGAAGCATTACCTATTTCTAATCTTAACCTTAAACTCACTAGTGCTGTGATGTTTGTTTGTTTTACAAAAGGCTAATTGAAATTGTATCTGTGTATTTCTTTATTTATACTTCATTTATATGCCACCTACTACTGAAGTCTCAAGCTGGCTTGAAAGCCAGTCTGGTGTAGAGGTTAAGAGCATGGGCCTGGGAATCAGGAGATCTGGATTCTAGTTCCCACTCAGCCATACAGCTAACTGTGGGTGACTTTGGACCAGTCACAGACTCTCAGCTCAACCTACTTCACAGGGCTGTTGTTGTGAGGATAAGATTGAGAGGAGGAGGAAAATTAGGTAAGCTGCCTTAAGTTCCTTGAAAGGAAAAAAGGTGGGATATAAATATAATAAACAAACAAACCCAAATGAGTCATTTGTCTCACTACCTTACCAGTTTTCTAATTGTGCTATTGTTTCTCTGCCATCAACTAGCAGTTGTTCAATTATTTTTCCCTCTGTTTAGTGGGTTTCGACTAATGCCTGGTGCTTATTCCAACACACTTGTCCTAAGTATAAATAAAATTGAAAAGTATGTCATCTCTCCCTCTTTTGAATTATATAGGGGCGGAAAGCTGTTAAGACAGGGTCATATGCTGTTTGTCAGGAAGCAAAAGAAGAAATTAAGGTAACTGCCTGAAATGTTTAAAATACACGAATGCTGAATAACTGTTTTATTACTTTATAAAGATGCTTATATTTGAAAACTTTCTTGATCCTTTCGATTTTTAAAAAATCCCACTGCTTTTGTCACATTTGACCAGCATTATGTAAGATCTAGGTGTTTCAAGTTTTCTTGGATTTTTACTGTTTTGAAGCAAAACCTTTATACTAGGGAATACAATAAGAGATGCATTGCAAAGATCAAATAACTTGTTTGATCTCATCCAGATGTTGACATTTTATCTTCCAGAAACATTCAAGCAATGTTTCCCAAGGTCCTCTTAATGTGAAGGTACTTCACGCTGATATTATGGCTCATCAGAAATTTGCTTTGCGTCTTGGTTCCTGGTTAAACAAACTTATGAGCTATTCAAGTAAGTCTCTTAAATTATGCTGTACCATGTACTAATGCCAAAATTTAAGAAAGGACTCTGAATCTTTTCTTAGTAATACATATTATTTCTGGTCAAGTATTATATTTTTTCATCTCTGGGGTGAAAGTCAGGATTAAAAAAAATTGTAATTAAATAAAGGCAGAGGGAATTTCTTTAGTATCAGTGTTTTCTAAACCAACCAAGGGAGAAGATGGGTGAGAGTTTTATACAGTGCGAAAGGGCTCATGGCTGTGGTGGGGTAGGAGAAGAAACAAGTTAGTCATGTCACAGAGTCCCCTGAAATACCCCCATAAAGAATGGGTGGGGGGGAAGGAGTGGGAGACATGTATCAAGTGCACCGTGGGTTACTTTACAAATATCCCACCCTAAGTAGCTTATTCACAGTGGGTTAGGTACCATAAAAATATGATTCCTACCCAGAAGGCTTAAACATTAGTTGACAAAGTTGTATGGAAACAACTGCTGAAGTGGGAGCTGTTGTCATTATTTGACTTAATGTGATGGTGCAGGGGAAGTATTGATACGGAAACTACCAAAATAATAATAATTGCCAGGGAGGGGGAATATATTATGCATAGGGAAGCATAGGACATCAAGAGGTATAGCAATGCCACATCCTCTCCAGTAGGGAAAGGTGCAGTGCAGGCAAGCCCACTTTGAGCAAGTTGCTGGAAAGCTCCAGTCACTTCCTGGGCTGAGGACATTTTCCCCACACCACTTCTTCCCAGATAATCAGTCTCATCAAAGACTGCCTGGAGTTGCTTGGCAACCACTCCTAAGAACCTTTCCTAGGAAAGAAATATTTACTATTGGCCTGAAGTTATTAGGGTCTTTTGGGTCAAAGAATTTTCTCAGAAGTGGTCTCACCACTGCCTCTTCCAGGCAGCGTGGGACCACTCCTTGCAAGGGGACATCAGTCACTTCCCTGGCCCAGCAAGTTGTTCTTTCCTTGTGGACTTTTATAAGGCAGGAGGAGTAAGGATCTTGTACAGAGTTGGTTGCACTAACCTGTCCAAGTACCTTGTCAACATCTTTGAGCTGTACCAACTGAAACTCATCTAGTAAAACTGGACCAGGATATCTCTGAGTGTCTCATTTGATTTAAGTGCTTTAATTCCAGAGTCTTATCTCCTGGTGGATGCAAGAGGGATTTTTTATTGTTGGTTTTGCTGGAAGTGCTGGCAAATATATTATAGCAGGCCTCAGATGGGTCTAAGATGCTGTTGGGGCCAGCATGCAGTAGGCCCCAGATGAACATAAAAAGCTCCACTGGGCAACAAATAGATGATTGAATAGAATGTTGTTTCTTTGCTCCCTTTACTACCTCTATATGTAGTGTATTGTAGGCACACTTGTACCAGGGTTCAGTTGCACCCTCTAGGAGTTTTCCTCCAGTCAAGTTGTTTCATATGTTATTTCATTGCTCTTGGCTATGCAATATATCATGAAGCCATATATGTTTTACAACAGGGAGGTTACTTAGAAGAGATAATGTCAAGTGTCCAGGTGTTCCTCAGCAAAGCCAGGACTTCAACAGGAGTGCCAGCTGTATCAGCCAAAAAAATTGATTGTGTGAATAATGTAACATAGTTTTTCCCCTGACCTTGAAATATATTAACCTTGGTATTGTTTGTTCAGAATATTTCCAAATATAGTTGCCAAATATAGTTGCCAAATATAGAAGGCAAATTTTGCATCTTTAAAAATCTGTTCTTTACCGATGATGATGATGATGTCGATGATGATGATTTATATTTTTAGGCCACCAAAGCTGTCTTGATTCGCAACAGCAGATAAAATACAATAAAATACTATTCAAAATACAAAACGCAAATTAAAACTTTATAGAAAATACAATAGTGAATTTAAGAACTACATTTGAAAACAGATTTTAAAAGTAACTTGCACACATTTAGCACAAGACCTATTAAGCAGCTGACACAATGCCCCAATATAATATTGTCACTGCAAAGGTAAATATAAATACAAGGAAGTGGTGAGGTCAGACCACCTAGTGAAGATGTAAGGAAATTCTTTCCACAGATAATACAAAAATGCACCATTTTAACTGGCCTACTCAGTAAGTCAGTTCAGTCAAATTGTGGATTTTTGCTTTAGGTGACTTTCGTCAGATCTTCTGCCAAATATGTCTAAACGAAGAAACTGATCCAGACAAATCTTGTCTTATAAGCACATTGTTGCTTTGGGATGCAAAACTTCATAAAGGTAAAATCAATCAATGGTAGTTACCCTTTTTATTCTAAAGCAAGAGTGCACGAATTGTTTCAGAACCACTCCCAGTATAGCACCAAAGCTGGCAAAACCCTATCCCACGGTGGACTAAAGGGAAAAACACTTGCTTCCTGACTTCTGAGGTCACTGTTCATCTGCTGCTAGTTGCAGTCAAGAAACAACCATCTTGATGGTGATCACTGGGGAATGAGGGAAGCTATGATCCCCGACTACATACCCAATGATCCATAGCTCTCAGCAGGCAGGAAGAGGTGGTTTAAACCTTCCTGTCCTTGTGTACTGAGACATAAGTTCATGGGGGAGAGGGTAGGAAGAGTATTTGTGTACAAGTACGGTGCCCAACCTCCCAGCTGATACCCTAGGTGCTAAAATGTTTATGTGCCCATGGCCTAGGGTGAAAATGCCTGGTTTTGAGTCTGCTGATTGCTGCAGCATTTAACTTAAGAGGGATTCGTATGTTAGTATCATTGCAAATTTGTTGAATGGCATATTACCACTCTAGCTTGCAAAAATCTTCACAAAATCTTTGTGGTAACTTTATGGTTTTGAGTAGTTAAATATTTATTTATTTATCGAACTCCCAACAGTTCAATTTGTTGAACTGTACCTCCCAACAGCTGAAGTTCTCTTGCTGTGCTCTTGCCACACCACCTCTAATTCTACTTCTGACCCATAGAATGACTGCACAATCGCGGTACTTGTTCTAGCTGAAGAAGGAGCATCAGTCTATCCCTCCTTAATGCCAGAAATGTATTAAGTGGTCTTAATGCCATAGCTGCAATATTGCACATTATATAAATATTTCCTGATACATTTAAAAAGGTATATTTGCCAGGATGATGCTGTGAACTCTCTAGATTCAGAGCCAGAATGTTACTGAATACCAGTTGCTGGAGAGTGACATTGGAACAGGGCTGTTGCCTTCAAGACTTACTTCTCAGGGGAATCTGGTTGGCTGTTGTGAGAAGCAGAACACTGACTAGACATTTGTGATTCAACAGGTCTCTTGTTAAGTTCTTCTAAACGGGAAAGAGTGATAGAGAGGGAAAGTGGGCAGGGATAGATAGGTATATGAAACAAATATAAGACCCTGGCTTGCTGCTTCTACTCATTGTGGCAAATGAGTCCTGTATTACTTAAATTAATGAAAGCCTCTTTATGCATTCCCATTTTATGTCTCTCTCCTTAACCACCCCAATAATTTGTTCAACAAATCTATACTTTGAGCCATGGTGCATTAAGCCTATCCTGGATGTCACTCACATTCTGATGGATGGCTGTGCATCAAATTGATGGTGTAGCAGTGAAATAAATAATAAATGAAGGTTTGCTTTAAAAAGTGTTAAATCATGCTGTATTTTATTTTATTTTATTCTTTTAACCGTGACTATTCCCTTTTATTACTGTAACTGTAATTCATCCAGATAACATTTGTTGTTGGGTAGATTAAAAATACAATACATAAAAGATTAATATCTTGTCTTTCAATGAAAGATTACTCACCAATGTGGACCATACTTTTATATCTGGAACAGTTTTGGTGCTTCCTCTTTTTTTTCTTCATTTTAATGTAAACATTACATTCTGTAAAATGCCCTTTGTTTACTGAAAATAAAGTTATAATTTGATATTCATTTGCTTTTTCCTTTTGATTTGCCCTTGTAAAACAAAGGAGTGGATTTTATGGAAGAAAAACTTTAATTGTTAAATTTTTCCAGGAGCAAGGAAGATCTTACATGAATTAATTGTCAGTAGTTTCTTCATGGAAATGGAATACAAAAAACTTTTTGCCATGGAATTTGTTAAGGTAATTTACATTTTCTTTCATTTTAACAAGAACCTTTTTCATTTTTTTCAAAACATGTCAGAGAAATGCATCCTCACCCGTTTATCTTCACTTATTATCAAATGCAGAGGCAATGTAAAAGGACAGGGTGATCCAGCAAAGTCCTGTGAGCTCTCTTGGGACCTCCACCAAACCAAATTAGGCGCATAAGCCAGAGGTTGCTCTTTCGTATCCTACTGGGTCCATTTTCTTCAGTTATTTAATTCCTATCTCTTGGCTCAAGTTAATCTTCAAACTTCCCTTTCATCTTTGACCTTTTAATTTTGCCCTTAATGTTCTTATGATCCTTATTTAAGGGACTCTAGTAGTATAGCTCAGGGGAGACCAAACCTAGGCTCATGAACTGCATGCAGCTCTTTATTTTGCAACTTGCAGAGGGGCTGAAAAAGCCTATAGGATAGTATGTCCTTATTTGCCTCTGGTGTAGAGCAGGGATGGGACATGCCTGATCAGATCAGGCAAGGCCAATGTGAGGCCGAAGCCAGTGTTTGAAATCCGGCTCCTTTTTCAGTGGGCTCTGCTGGAGCTGAGGAGACTGCCCTGCAACTGCAGGATTGGGGTACACACTGAAGCTTTCAGCTCAGCAGCTAGTGATGAGATTTCTAGCTGCTTCTGCTGCCAGGCAATAACTTGCACCCAAGTTCCTAGGGTGACAGTGCAGTTTCCTTCCATATTCAGAGTTGAAAATAAAATTAAAAGGCCCCACTCCAAAAGGTTTCTAGTCATTTTGGCTTGAAAGCATAATGGTGCCCTAACAGAGCTTACTCCTAGGTAAGTGTGTGTAGGGTTGCATTATTTATATATATATTTATTTATTGCGTTTGTATGCTGTCCCATAGCTGGAGGCACTCTGGGCAGCTCACAGTGCAATATGTATATAAAATAGAAATAAAAATGAATGATAATAAAGCATAAAGCATAGAATTAAAATACAATGTAAATGCAACCATATAAATAGGAAACAGGACGAAAATAAACACAATATAACCAATAACAACAGCCAATAAAACAAAAAACTAACAGCAAACCAGTAATCCAATCTAAAAACAGATACTAAATTTAAAAAGTCTTAACTTGGTGCTGAAAGCAAGATAAAGTGGGTTCCAATTGCATCTCTCTTGGAAGATAATTCCATTAGCTGGAATGGAGACTCACAAGACCTCTACTAGTAGTAAGTAGCCTGATCATTGTAGCAATGTCTGTTTGGTCATAATAAATATTTGTTCATCTCTTGCAACTCACAAACATCTGACATTTACTGTATGTGACTTTCCCACTGAGCAAGTCATACCCCTGATACAGCTGCTGGAGTTGATTCTTCCGTATGTTAAGTTTTGAAGCCATATTTCCAAAATAACTCTATTGTTTATCTTGCCATTCCTGCCAGTGGTCCCATAGGAAATTTGGTTGTTCTTTGGGCTTCTCAGCACAAGGCATTTATTGTGTGCTTCTGATTCCTCACCCATGGTTGTATGTGGGTACAGTATACAACACTGTCATCCTTCAGAGCCTCTTTTGTATTTTGAAAGAATTCCTTTGACTTTTCTTTAGAGCAAAGAACATGTAGCATTATCTGAAAATGACAGAATGAACCTCCATGAGAAGTTGCTGTATTTTCATAATTCCTCTCTACTACAGCACTATCTTGAGGTTGTGCAATGGAGCATATGGAAAGGCAGAGAAAGAAAAAGCCCCAGAAGAATCACATGCAAAGAAAATGACCATAATTCAGCAAACAATCCTTAAGTAGAAGCATCAATAAAGTGACAGGTTAAAAGCCTCATGGAAAGAAGCTCTTTGTCCAAAACTGAGAAAGCACTGGCTGTCCGCCATCATGGGGTAACCTGAAGAAGCAGGATGTGTTCTCAGGAAAAGGTGGCAATTGTGTTTGTCAAATATTCCCACTTCATGATGCTTCTGGTCTGTTATACCAGTTGACCACCTTTTCTTTGTATTTTCTCATAGCATTACAAAGCATTACAGAAAGATTATATCAGTGATGACCATGAAAAACAAATTTCTGTGATAGCACTTTCAGTTCAGATGTTCACTGTCCCTACATTGGTAAGTATAGCCAATCATCCAAGCATATGAACTGGTTTTTTGCTGCTTCAGTTGCAATATCTGCAAGTTACTTGAATACTGTAAGAAATAGCCTGAAGACAGAGTTCTGTTCTGTTCAGGTAGTGTGGGCATTCACTTTGTGAAGTTCTGCTTAGAACATTCTGACCAGTGAAAAGCAGGGGAATGTGATCTTTGCCAACTCCTAACTCCTGGTTGCACCCACAAGTAGCCATCTCTCTCACTGGTCTGGAGGATCTACCTACATTGCCTCCTGCACAGATTCTAGTGGCAGGGTGCATAGAGCCAGCAGAAGGAGGTAGAAAACAGTAATGACTGCCCCTCCCACCTTCCTTTTCCTTCACTAATGAATCAGAATTCTCTCATGAATGAATGTAGCCCTTCTAGGCAGATTCTAGATCCAGATTCTAGATCCATACGTTTGTACTCGTATCTGATTTGGTTTGATAGCATAAGCTGAAAATAAGAAATATGAGTAGTCTTGAAATGTTGACAAAAGCTGTGCATTTGCCTGCCCTGTATTAAATAAAGGTATCATAATTTTAAAAACCTTGGGAGTAAGATAGGCAAGATAAAGCAGGCATTATGATTATTACTATTTAAATTTATTTTTCTTCTCAGGCCCGGCATCTCATTGAAGAGCAAAATGTAATCACTGTCATAACAGAGACACTACTTGAAGAGCTGCCAAAATATTTGGATAAAAATGGCAAGTTCAATTTCCAGGGTTATAGCCAAGAGAAACTCAGCAGAGTGTATGCAGTTATATATGATCTCAAGTAAGTGTTCCCATTTATAGAGATGGTTACATGATTCTTTTCTATCTTGACCTTTAATCCCATGAGATTTCAAGGAAGTATACAATATAAATGCTAGCTCATTTAATAAATCTTTTTACATATTACAGGTTAAGTGTATGACTGGGATACACTTTTTGAAATACATTGCATTTGAATCATATGGATGTATGACTGCAAGATTAGGGAAATTAATTTAAACAAAGCATGCCCTGGTTAGCCTGTTAAACTAACCCTCTAATCTGTCTCTGAATAAAGGAAGCATAATTTATGTCATAGTCACTGCCACTGTCAGAGCATGGACCAGTCTGATATGTTACAATTAATAAATGCCTATGAAGAAAATCATCAACATCTTGCATCATATTTCAGTTCTCCCTATACCTCATACAGACAAGCTGGTGTAAGTGGTTACCAGTTGTCAAAATCAATTAATTTTTGTACAGTTCAGCCAAGCTGAATAAACAGCTTGGCTGAACTGTATTATTATCAGTAGAATAAACATCAAGATTTGGTTTTTCAAAAGGAAATACTTTTGAAATCATAAAAACCCTTCTTTGTGTTATGACAGATATATCTTAATCAGTAAGCCTACTGTGTGGACAGACAAACTGCGAGAACAGTTTTTGGAAGGGTTTCGTTCGTTCTTGAAGATCCTGTCTTGCATGCAGGTAGAGTACACAAACTTTGATGTAGAGTACATAAACTTTTACCCCCTGTAAAAAGCTTACATTGTAGTTAATTCATGTTAAATGGAAGAATGAGTACTTATGGTAAGAATGGGAAACATCTGATCTGTGGCCCACTAGCTTCTTTCTTACTCATTCTCCCTATAGGGTAAAGTTCTTATCTCCATTTAGTAGTTGATTGAAGATAAGAGCTTGCCCTGCAGGGGAAAGGGGCTGAGTCTAGGAAGGAAGCTGCTGAGTGGTTCTGTTAGTGATTCTGAGGCTAGTCCTATTTATTTCTAAATAAAAGGTGATCATGCTTATTTTTGAACAGATAAGCAGAGCCTTGGTACTTGGGATCTATTTGAAAATGCTGAGCTATTCAGCTCTGCTTGCTTTTGAGTAAAGAGCCGTACAGAACCCTTGTCTTATTTGTTTATTAGATTTTTATGCTGCCCAACTGGCAAGTGCTCTTGGGGCAGTTTACAATCATAAAATCAAAAAATAACAAAATAACCAAGAATAAATCTATAATCAAAACATTGAGGCACCAGCATTAAAATTAGAACTAAGTAGGCTTTAAATTAGCCCACCCACTCCACCTTTGGCCATGCCTATTTTGTCTTGGGCTTACCCACAACTGCAATGCAGCCCCCAATATCTTACTTAGATTATCAGTCAGGCCTTGGGCTGAAAAAAATTCCCTACCCTTCAATTACTGTGTACTCGTTTTATGCCCATAGTGTGGTACAAAAGTTATTCATAAATTTGCTATTAAAAGATTTTCAAGAAAATGGTTTCTTTGAGGAAGTCAATTTTATTCAGCACAGTTCTGGATTTTGCAAAAACCCAATTTCATAACAGTAACTTGGGATAAATGGAAAACTTACCCCAACCCATAACCACATTTACTTTGAAATATAGTTTTGATGCAGTTGGAGCTTGCCACCATGTACATTTGCTTAGGAGCATTTATTTGTTCTTAAGTTCCCTTTCTTCAATTACATCAATTTTGCATTGTTAAAATATTTGAATACTGTCCTTCGGGGCACTGTCATTACAGGGAATGGAGGAAATAAAGAGGCAAATTGGCCAGCATATTGAAGTGGATCCTGATTGGGAAGCAGCCATTGCTATCCAGATGCAATTGAAGAATATTCTTTCGATGTTTCAGGAGTGGTGTGCCTCTGATGTAAGCTTTTTCTGTAAAATTGCATTGTTGTATAGTAGAAAAAACTTGTTCATGGAATAGTGAACCATTTGGCAATTTCTGTTGACTAAGGCTTCCTGAGATGACAAGCCTGACTAGTCAACTTTGACCCATCATTTCCCTCTACCCTTAAATTCTTGAGTTCACAAAATATTGTTATGATTAATATACTTGGGTACTGTAGGGATGAATAAATAATACTGATTTACTTTTGAAAGTTATAGATTCTGGATTTAGCAAGTGATCTGAATCACTGTCTTAAAAATTCATCAGTTATTTACAAATCCGTTGTAAGAGTCTGCTGCCTATTATTAGAATCTTATATCTTCCCTGCAAGCCACTGTAGATGACAAAAATGGCTTTGTGACAAATTTTGCAACCGTAGACAATAAAGCTTTAGAATTGAAAGAATGTGCTCAAAAAATAAAGTTCATTTCTGAAGAAAGTGTTGGAAGAAAATAAATCAATAGAAAGTTGTTTACATGTGATGAACATACTTTTAAGCAATATTCATGGAGAAGTGTGTTACTAAGGGCGTGGTCCAATGGGGATATCTGTTGCCATCCAGCCTTGTCAGATTAGGGGCATCCTATGCAGAACAGGAGAAGCACGGAGGTGAAGGTCATCTTCTCATGGCTGTCACTCTGCAAAGGAGGTAGACAGCTGGTTTGGGGTATCTAACAGTGGTGCTTTGGAAGGAAAGGGAGGGAGGCTGAGACACTGCCAGAGTGCATTGTATCTTGGTGGCAGGAATCTCCTCCCTTCTCTGCCCCCTAAATGCTTTCTCCAAGTTCACTGTTATGACTTGAAGAAGCAGCTGACAGATTTGTTTTCACACCGGATGCATGTGGAGGATTGAAGTGTAGATTCCAGAACACTTGTCTGACTAAATTTGAGAAACCAAAAAATCCTGTGAAACTCAAGGTTCTCTCTGGTGGCCATAGGATTGCTTTGTAAGAGAATCATCTGAGCAATGCATATTTTATAGGGCAACTTGCATCTGCATCTGTTAGGAGCTAAGTTTATCTTAATGGTATGGGAGTTTAATACTCTACTCTTTTGCCTCTAATCAAGTATTCCTGGATAAGCTGGGTAGAATAATGGGAATGAGTCCAGTTAAATTATGGCAATAAAAATAAATCTGTAAATTTAAATTTAAAAAGAAGTAAAAATTGTCCATTTTAGGAAGAATTGTTGGTGGCAGCTTATAAGGAATGCCATGCAGCAGTAATGAAATGTAGTGCAAGCTACCGTTCAAAGGACAAGATAAGGATTCGCTTATGTGGCCATACTCTGGAAGCCAGGCGCTTCAAGGTATCTGCAGATCCTGTTAGTATACATCTACCATTGTCCAGGATGCTTGCTGGTGAGTGTTTGTTTGTTTGCAATGTCTGTGAAATTAATTTTGCTTTTAAATTGGAGTTGGTTTTTGGGGAAAAGTGGTACCTAAATATTTTGAACGTTGAGATTTTTTCTTGTCATAGTGAATAGCTGAATTTAGACCTATGCTCCATTAATTTTCCGCATCTCCTTAGCAAGCTCTCTGAGCAAATAGCAATTGTCACATCGTGTGGTGATAAATTACTTAATAATTATACATTTGGTGAAGGACTTTATTTTTTTTGTTCTGAGTCTGACTTACAAATCAGTTTCATGGGTGATAAAAACATACAGTTGTAAGGAGCCTAGAAAGCACCTGCTTTCTACACCAACCACCTGCTCACTGCAGGGCTCAACTCTCCCATTTAGATTCTAACCAGACCTGACCCTGCTCAGCTTCCAAGATTAGGCAGGATCAGGCACTTGAGGGTAACTGTGTTTATTTTCTAATAAAGGAGAACGAAGAAAGAATAAAAAGTTGTCTTTATACCATCCATAATTTTTATTTGGTCATTCTCCCTCACTCCCAGTTGCCTTGAAAAGCCCCAAGCTTTGGCCTTTTGTTAGTACAGAGGTGGTCCAACCTCTTGGTTGGTAGCAGTTTGCCTGATGTGAAAATCTTCTCATGCTTTCTTACTATACATATCTAAATGGATTTAAACCATAGCTTTCTGCATTATATTAGAGTGTAATCTAAAAATGCATAGGATTGAGCCTTTAGAAGTTTAAAAACATGCCTTATACACATGAAATGAGTGAAGATCGTATAAATATATATAGCATCACACCATTGATTAACACAGATTTCACTGTTAATGCATTTCCTAGGTCTGCATGTACAATTGAGCAGAACTGGAGTAATCTCCAGACTCCAAGAATTTATATCATCTGTAAGTATTGCTATTGGATACACAAAGCTTTTCAAGATCCAGTCAGTATGAGAATCAGTGTGGTGTAGTGGTTAGAGTGTTGGGGCTCCATTCTGCTGTTGGTGGCAGTGCTGTTGGTACTGCTGCGGAAAGACTTTCATTGGAACTGGTAGGATGCATTGTATCTTCAGGCTTTTAAGAGATGATACATTCTTATGCACGCTCTTTTCCTTTAAATACCTCCAAATCAATTTCTTAGTAAATATTTGTGCACTCGTGGCCAATATTTTGTTCCAAGAAAATGTGAGATTTTGTGATAGAGGTTCTTGAAGTTTGAGGGAGCTGAGGATAAATATTTTCATCCTCTAGTCTCTGCTCTGTCTTAGAACATCAGTGGAGGACAACACTGAGTCATCCTCATGTTCCTCAGGGAGGAAGGATATAGGTCTGAACTGGCTGACTTGCTGGCCATGACTGAAATTGACTGTTACTGAAACAAAATATTGTGAAGGTAATGTTGGTGCATAAAATACAAGGTTTTTTATTTTTGTTTCAAAAACCTGCTGCCTTCAACCTGCTGTTGCATTTTTCTTTTCCAGTTATAGAAAAATGGTTGTCCATATGGTATCTATCTAGTGATTTCTTTGTGAAAATGGTATTTTTCTCCTGTAGGAAGAATTCCAAGTGCAGCTGTTGGTAGAATATCCTTTGCGTTGTCTTTCGCTGGTTGCTCAGGTTGCTGCCGAAATGTGGAGAAGGAATGGACTATCACTGATCAGTCAGGTACTTCCAAATTACTGTGAATATATTTATCCTCATGGCTGGACTTGCTTTTCCTACAGAGGATAAACTACAGATACATTTATTATAATGGACTAATATATTTTGTGAAGCTTACTCAGCAAGTATGACCTGACTGAGTGCCCATGGACCAGTCACTTGCTCTCGTGATCTAGCCTAACTCAGAGTGCTTGAATTGTATGACCCAGCAGGCTATATGCATTGCTCTAAGGTTGGAGAAAGAATGCCATTAAATATAACTAGAAGATAAAAGCAGTAAAACGAAGAGACAAGCCTGGAGAGGTGGTGGGCTCTCCCACACTAGAGACATAAAAAAGGAAATTGACAGCCATCTGAGTGAGATGGTATAACTTGGTGTCCTGGAACAGCAGGGGATTGGACCCAATGGCCTTCATGGCTCCTTCCAACTCTACTATTCTATGATTCTAAGAATTTTCCAGAGACCCTTTATTTTTGCATACCCAAGATGGCTGCCACTTGGTATCAGGTAAAAATAGATCAGGTTGCAGTAGGGGCAGAGATTGAAAGAAGGGTCACCATCAGCTGTGTTGCAAAATTAACTTAATCAGTGTTACCCCCTCCCCTAGCTGTCATCCAACAATTCAATGAGGCAGCAGCAGAGAAAAGGTAGGAAACAGCCCCTTCAGCAGCTCAGATGAAACCCCAGCAATTTTGGTGGCTTCTCTCTTGAATTATGTCTATTTCAGCAGGTTGTGATAAAGACTGCATAGCTGAGTTTGCTTTTTTTCTTTCCCCTGGCAATGCTGTTTGCTTTGTGTCTTTTTAATTGTAAGCCTTAGGCCATGGACTGTTGCATCTTTAATTTTTGCAAATATATCTGGAAGATGTTTTGGCTAAAGACTGGTATAAAATGCTTTGAAGTAATACAAATAATCAGGTTCTTGTTGTAAAAGATATGATTGATGGAAAAGTGGCTTAAGGAAGAAATAGATACAAAGCAGCATCCTTTGCTAGATTTCAGTAGTAATATGTTAATAGTTGTATTTACTTTTATAACTAAAAGATATATTTTCTACTACATGATCCTATATGTTGTCATTGAACATCAGAGTGGGAAAATGTCTCAAAACAAACATTTAACCTTAAGAAAAAGTATATGGACTGTGCTGGAGATAAATATATATAATTATATGTACAGCACCTAAATAAATATAGAAGTTTGTTTCTCTAGTCATGTTGATTTCTAAATAAATTCATAGATGTAACTTTGGCTGGCTAACAAATCATGATAAGCCACCATGAGTTACTTAACTCATGTGGCTCCAAGTTGCATGCCGGCCACCATTTTGAATCCTTATGCTGTGATAAAGTTGAGGGGGCTTGCCATCTTTTCTTGTTGTGTGAGGCATCATGGGTTATTTGAAGGATAAACAACCCTCAAATGACCTTAGACTAACACATAGCTTTCATATTCAAATTGGTAGCAATCACACATCTTGGAACCCTGTGGGTTAGTTAACACATGGTGGTAGAGCATGACGTAAGAACTGAGTCACTGCAGAGAATCAGATAAGTCATTAGAATATTAAAATAACTAGTTAAAAAGATATATAAACTTAAGAAATACTAAACTATATGCTGATACATAGTTAACCTCAGGCAGTAAAAGGTTCTTATTTTAAATGTGAGAAACCAGAGAAACATTGCTGGAAGAGGTCAGTGGAAGGTGACTTTTCCACTAGTCTTTTCATTGTCTTATCAACGCAGTCCCGACTCTGAGACTTCTGAAAAACCTCTTCAGACAACTGGAAGATCTTCCTGAATGGGGTAGACTGTTGTATGAGTGCCCCAAATCTCTTGACTCTCAGGAGAGGCTTTGTGACAGGGTTGATAAGAAGAGGAAGGGGCGGGAGGTCACCTCCACTGGCACTGCTTGACTCCAAGTTAGGGTTTTTAAAATACATAAAGTCAGGTACTAATACTCAGCATCTGAAAATTAAATGATATTTGGACTGTTTGGAGCAAAGATGTGATGTGTGCTTATGTTTTTCCCCAGACTGAACAAATGTGCCTATGTGCGTAAAATATAAGGGGTTAGCTTTCTATTTGAAATGTTAGATATTAAATTTAGAAATGCATTTCCTGTCCTTTCAGATATTTTATTACCAGGATGTTAAATGTCGAGAAGAAATGTATGATAAGGATATCATCCTTCTCCAGGTGAATATGATTTAATTTTCATTCATCATATAGTATTGGTGCTTTGTGTAACCTTTTAAATCTTATTTACTGTCTATATATCTGGCAGATTGGGGCAGCTTATATGAATCCAAATGCCTTCCTTTTGCTGGTACTTCAACAGTATGAATTATTTGATGCCTTCAACAAAATTGTGCCAACCAAAGATCAGGTAAACAGTTCTAACATGTTCATTTTCACTATTGAAATAATTTGTGGAAACACCATGATTGTGTCTTTAATTTTGAATTTGGTTTTAGGTTATTTGTATAGTATTTAATGTATCACTTTTCTCTCCATTGTCCTGAAATACTCCTCAGGATGAAAAAAAATAAAATAAATGTATCTGTTTCAATTCAATAACATTTTATTAACAATACATGGCAGAAAGGCTGTTAAATTATTCACCTCTGTAGCAAATGTTTAAATGGTACAGACTTTCTAGAGCAGAGGTCTCAAACTCGCGGCCCGCAGGCCAATTTCTTCTTCCTTCTCTTTTCTCCTCCTATATTATTTATTTACTTATTTTATACTGATAATTTTAATTTTATATTATTATGTTCGTAACTCAGTATATTTTTTGTATTTTTGTATTTAATGGTAATTTATTATGTTCTATTGTATTTCAATGTATTTTATTGTGTTGTAAGCCGCCCCGAGGCTTCGGCAAGGGGCGGCATAGAAATGTAATAATAATAATAATAATAATAATAATAATAATAATAATGGGTGGGCACGGGGGAGGGGCCCTGCGGCCTTCAAAGCGCCAGCGGCGCCTGGGCTGGCCTCCAGATGAGCGGCCCACCACCACCGTGGTGGTGGAATACTTGATGCGGCCCAGCCTCACCCAGACTCTACTTCTAGCGGCCCCCAGGTAAGTTGAGTTTGAGACCCCTGTTCTAGATCAACTATGGGGAACTGGGTGCAGGTAAGGGACTAAAGGTCCCCATTCAGCCCTCCGCCATGACATCATTATGTCTCCAGCTGAGGTGCTGAGTAGATCACCTCCTTAGTACATTGGGCAGAATCCTGCTGCACTGTGAAACAGCTTTCCCATTGAGGGATGTTGATGTACAGCAAAGATGCCCTGGCCAAAGCACCCGCTGGATGATCCGTCTGTGCATTGGATAGTTTGGGATTCTTTGGGAGCCCTCTTTGAAAGAGATTAGGAGGGTGGCTACCCGGAGGAGGGCCTTCTCTGTGGTGGCACCCCGACTGTGGAATATGCTCCCCAGAAAGGTTTGCCTGATGCCAGCACTTTTTTCTTTTAGGCACCAGGTGAAAACCTTTTTATTCTCCCACGATTTTAATTGCTAATTATCCTTAATTGTGGTTTTATATTTATCACTGGATGCTGTAGCATTTCTAATCTTATTTTATTTGTGCTTGTTTATTTATTTTAATCATTTATTTAAAACATACGCCGTCCTTTATGACAATATCTCAGGACAGCTTACAACATTAAAAATCAGAAAAAAATCAAAAGAATCTATGAACAATAATAATGAATAGGAATAATAGACAGGTAGTGAAAATACAAACAGATAAAGTTAGATAAAATAAAGCAACTGTTACCTTTTAAAAAAGTGGTTCTTAAAATAATGTTCAAATAAAAAAGGTTTTCACCTCTTGTTGTAAACTGTCCCGAGACGTCAGGTATATAAAAGCTTTAAGTAAGTAAATAAATAACATAGTGCTTGCTCCCTCTCTCAAAGAGAATCTCTTTTTACATCCAATATCTATTACAGGCATGCAGGGAAATCACCTTGTTATTAACTATCACAGATCAGAGATAAAAATGGGTTTCTTTCTCTGCTTCCTCCCCAAGACTCCAGTAGTCTCCAGATGAGGAGGTGGAACTTGAGCAGAAGTTGAGGACAGGCCAGAGAGAATCTTAGGGAGAGGCCTGATAAGGGAACCTAAGCCTTTGGGGGCTGGATTATTCCTGCAAGTCAGAGGTTCCTCACTCCTGTTCTAGTTCACAAATTATCTGTGTTTGCAAGTGAAAAATGATAATACCAGAATGTCCCAGACATTTTGCATACCAAAATTGCACACCATGTCGGATAGATTGAAACTCTTTTTTCTGTTCTGCGGATAGCATTGGATCAGGTTAATACAATTTTAAAGGTTTCAGTTAACCTCAGATTTGAGTCTTCTGCATAATTATGTTATTCCAATAACTTGATTAATTTATTATTTCCTTAAACCTTACAGGATTTGAATAAGCAATGTAATACATTGATAGAAGAGATGCTTCAAGTTCTTATCTACATTGTAGGTAAGAAAACATGAGAAATATGAGGGCACTCTTTTTTTTCTGCCACACCGTCTGTCTTTGCATTAAAGTATCTTCAGATCAGTTTCTCTAATTCTGAATTCATTGCAGTTTGTAATCAATTATGTCTACTGAATGTAGGTTTAATAACATAATTTTTTCATTGCACATCTGCACCTCTTTAATTGAGAGGGCTAAAGATGGTTTGCCATCTGGTTAGATATGATAGGTTCTCCAATACTTAACTAGTAACTGAGACAAATGTACTTTAATGTTAGATGGCATAGTTATTACTAATCTTACTTGGATGAAATTATGAACCGCCTGTTAATGATATCCAAATTATTATATGACTCTCTGTCCTTTTCTACTACCATTGACTGTTTCCTGAGGCTTTTGTAATAGTCACTCTTCTGTGCATGTTACCATTGTGAACTATAAAGAGTGTGTAGTGTGTAGTGATGTGTCTCCTGAGCTTGGAAGCACCTCACAGGATAGCCTGTGCATGCCATGACAACTTGGGAATGGATGTGTTCCCAGTCGCTGTTGGAGGAAAGTCCATTAAATGCTCTTGGTGCTGGTGGAACAGAAAGGAGTATGTGTGTGATGAAACCAGATCGCTATCTTTATATGAACGGCAATGAAGTAGGGTGCACAATACTCAGTGCCTATTTGGGTAATACATTTTTATGCTGATCCTGTGCATAGACAGATGGAGGAGCAGCCCTGTCTCCTCTTCTGACATTCAAGTATGATCAAGGCAAAATGGAAAAAAATGTACATGTCATTAGAGGTAAAAAAGACAGCAGAAAAATATATTGACCCATTGTTACCCACCCATTGTTCATAAGTCAAAGAACATAGGTTCTCAGCTTCACTGATTATGGAAGTGGAATTGATCCTCTCTGAGCTCTTATCTGCTGCAACATTCTCTAAGTTAGGGGACAGAGACCTACTCAAGCCTCCCCTTGCAACATTCCATGCAACCTTGGAAGAACTGTTGGTCTAATAAACTTTGTATTATCATGTGAGCCTTTGAATCTATGAAAGCTACATTCCAGTATGTTATCACCTCATTTTTTGTTTTCATTCTCAGGAGAAAGATACGTACCAGGGATCAGTAATGTGACGAAAGATGATGTAATTATGCGAGAAATTATCCATTTGCTGTGCATTGAATCAATGGCACACAGTGCTATTGCAAAATCTTTGCCCAAGGATGTGAGTGATTTCTTTCTTTGTCACCTCCTTCTCTTGATGTCGCCTTTTCTAATTTTGCATCCCTTTAAACAGAAATCCTAAACATACTTTTCCTAATCCACAAGTTTTATTGCTGTTAACTGAATGTTGAAGGCAGCTCCACATATGTATTGACTGCACATAGCTCTCTCCTCAGTGGAGTAATGATTGATGAAATTCTGTACAGTGATGCTTTCATCTACACATTGGTGTATTTGTATCAATTTGCATCAAATTTTAAATGAATAGTATTAATAAGCTATAAAGAAAAGTAAATAATAGTGTTTTAGCCATTTGTCATGACTTAGTGGCCATGACAATATTATTTTGATTTTTAAAATTTTGCATGCATTTAAATAGAGTGCAAATACAGAACTAAATCCCATTACTTCCCATGCTTTTCTTGTACAATATAATTCATATGTTTATGTTTATGCATATGCATAGTATTTTTATTCTACTCATACGGTACATTAAACAAGAGCTCCTGTCCACAGGCTTACAGTCAAAACAAGACATAATACACAAGAAAAAAAGGAGGAGAAGTGGGGCAAGCAACCCGTTCTTTAGTAGGGTTGGTGGAATGACTGTGCTGTTTCTCTCATCTCTTTCAGTACAGCCTATTGCAAGAGTAACCACTGGGGACAGTTGAGGGAGAAAGAGGCTTCATAAGTGAGGTCTTCAGCATAGCTGGTGCAATGGCCCTGCTCTTGCTCTCATCTTCCTCAATGCAGCCATTAATCATTCACCATTAGTAGCGTAACTAATACTTACATATGATTATACCTGTATATTTATAGAAACACTCTAGCAGCACATCTAGTGTGAAATGGTATCCAGAGAGAGTGTATATTCTCCTCTTTTCTCAAGAGACTGGGATCATGGGACAGTCTGTTTTTATATATTTCTACCTCCCTTGAATAATCCTTTGCAAGCTCTGTTTCCTGTCCTGCTCAGAAGCCAGGTACAATATTTTTGCTTCTCCACTGAACAAACTTCATCTAGGCTTGAAGTTTTCAAATTTTGCTCTTACCTTTTGTCTTCCTTCCTTTTTTCTTAGCCTCATCATTTTTTCCATTTACAAACTTCTGCTTTCATTTTGCTTTTTTCAACTGGTTGGAGAATCCTCCCTGGAACATTAGCTCTCCAGCATACTTTACCAAATCAACCACTAAAATAGGTGGCATTGAGACTGCTTTCATACAAGGTGGTCTATCCATTCATAGGGTATTGGTTATCAACCCTATCAGTTTCAAGGACCAGCTCAAAAAAAGAGTGATTTTTAGATCAGAGCTTTTCTTCATTTCAATGGTCATCTTATTTCACAGTTCTCCTGATCTAATTCTCCCTTCCTTCTTTTCTAAATCCTTTCATCCTACTGAACACCAGTGGCATAACTTAGATTTTTGAACAGCATATTTGTCTCCTTTAACACTACCTTACTGGGAAAAGTATATACTTCTACCATAATTTGGTGGATTAAGGCCTACTTCACTGTAGTGCTGAACAACTTGTGTTTTTTATCCTACAACTTCCATCAACCCTAGTCAGCACACCCAATGGTGAAGGATAACAGGAACTGTAGACCAGAACTTGTGGAGGACCACAAGTTGCCTACCTCTGCTCTAGTACATGAGGTACAGTACAACCCTTGTCCCTGATATATCACTGGAAGGAGCTTACTCCAGGATGACAAAATAATACAAAATATAGGAAAATACAGGCCCACACTCAATACCTATCTGTACCAATACAAAACTCATAAAGTAACAACCAGTGTTCCATTCTGATACCTAATTTACTTTATTTCATCAAATGTATTTTGTCAGTACCTTAGATTGTCAAATGTCTTTTACAGGAAAACAATGAGACTGGTTTGGAGGAGGTTATCCACAAAGTGGCCATATTCAAGTAAGTTCTTGTCATTTTCAATTAGTGATTAAATGCATTGATGCATTTTGTTTGTCACTCTGCAGCAAATTTGACACTGGAAGTACATTTGCTTTCAAGTTTCACAGAAAGCAGGAATTCAAAATTCTACTCAACCAATGATGGTTATGCATTTACTTGGATACCTAAGTGCATGAGCTGCATTTGGCAGTGCTTTTCATATTTTACCTTGAATGGAATTATTTTCCTAATCGATTTGTCTGCTGAGGACCACATTGTTTTATGACACATTCAAAAGCACATGCTAAATTAACCTGGCCAGACTTGGCTGTGCTATTTTGTGTGAACTCTGAATCTGTGCTTTAGCATGTGTAACTTCCTTGACACTGTGAATTGCAGAAAATTTAAATAATGGCAAGCACAATTTATTTTCACAGAGGGGAACCCCTGATAAGCTTGTAAAGAATCCTTGAATTTTCTCTGAACAATTTGAAAACACTGATGTATAGAATTGCTTTTTGAAAAGGTTGACTGCTGCTGTCTTTGATAACATATTGTGAATATCACAGCTTGTGATACCATAGCTGATTCAAGTTCATCAATTTTAAATTCTGAACATTTTTTCTTCTTCCAGATGATTAGTATATGGGAGAAAACATGATTGAATATAACTCTATAGGTCAAGGTTAAGCAACTTGTAGCATTTGAGATGTTGGTTGGCTTTGCTGGCTAAGGCTGATAAAAGTAGTATACCAGAAGATTTGGAGGGCCACAGCATATGTTTAAAAAAAACATACTTTGCATTAACATCAAAAGCTAATGCAGAGAAGTCAGGCTGCAAGTTCAAGTCTTTCTATAGTAAGTTTGCTAATTGTATACCAGCAGTTGAAACCTTCATTCATCTGATAATGTGTGTGAGACTTTGATGTTTACTTCTAAACTGTTGATATCATATTGCCTTTTTTAGACATGTATGATGTGACCACACTTGAAATACTGTGTACAGATGTGGCATCTTGAAAAGAATATTGTAGAGCAGTAAAAGTTACAGGAAAGGGCAACCAGAATAATCAGGGAGCTAAAGCAATTCTATGAGGAAGGATTACAATGTTTGGAGCTTTTTCGCTTAGAAAAAGAGCTAATGAAAGGATGTGGGGGAAACATGGTAGCACTGTATAGACATATGCATCATATAAAGTGTATAAAGTGTGATGGGCAAATATTTGTCCCCAGGTCTGTGAAGGGCAGTGAAGCTGGGCTTGTAAGCCAGTGGTGAGAGTAGTCAAAGATGGTGGTGGGCGTGGCCAGCACTGGTGTCCCATCTTTCTCACTGTCTCACACTCACATAACATTCACCTCTCCTACACACACACACGCACACAGTAACTATATAGCCTGATACAGATAAATAATCACAGGTGTCTGCTTCCAGTGCAGCTGCTCTGAAGCACTCTTCCCTTGCTGTTAATAGAAGTGTGGGAACAACCATCTTTCCCCACTGCTCTGCTAGGCAGTGAATGGGAACAACTGAACAGGGCTACCTGTGATTCATTGGTTGAATGTGGGGCATGGGTTGCTCATATGTGGTGCAGAGGAAGTAAATAGATGGTTTTTTTCCCTCATAATGCCCAAACCCAAGGTTATCAAATGAAGCTGAGTGATAGGAGATTCTGGACAGATTAAGAACTTTTTCAAATCATGCATAGCTAAAATGTGGAATTTCCAACTACAAGGTGGCAACCACCAAGTTAGCTGGCTTTTGAGATTAAACAAATTCATGGAGGTTAAGGAGTAAGGAAATAATTTCATCACTGGTTTGCTTCAGCATAAGTAATCTACCAGTATGCTAGTCTGATTTGATGACAGTTTTCATTATTTCTTTTAAAATAAAGAAAACCAGGTGTATCAGGCCATGGCGTTTATGAACTGAAGGAAGAGTGCTTCAAGGAGTACAATATATTCTTTTACCATTATAGAAAGCCTCAGCACAGCAAGGTAAGGAACTATAACATTTATAATGAAAGCCAGAGCTAGGACACGGGCATGCATATCTCTTACATACTAACCAAACTTAGGCATGAGGAAGAGAAGGTATAATGCAAAGTAAAATAAATGTGAAATATATTTCTGTCTTGCACACTGCATATATTCTAAAAATAATTTTAGTGCCTTTCAGAGAGAGTTTTCCTAAGTGGTAATAACTGGTCTAATAGGACCACAAGAGCACTTATTACTTGTTTGGATACCATTTTAATTTGATGCTTCCTTTATCTGGTCACCTTTCATTTTATGGACAATCGTTATGGCTTCTCCTGTTTTTCCTCTTGTGAGGACCCCAAGGCAGCCTACACAACTCCATTTTATCTTCACTACAACAAGCATGTGAGGTAGGTTGGGCTAAGAGTCTGTGACTGGCCCAAAGTCACCCAATGAGCTCCGTGGCTGATTGGAGAATAGAATCTGGATATCCCTGGTCTCCAGGCAAACACTCTGGTGCTCATAACCAGCTTCATATGCCTAGCTGCCATTTAGGAAGGCAAACCTTTATTTTTGTATCTTACATGACCAGCCATTAAGATTTCTCTGTCACCTAGATGACAAATGGAAAGAACTGATTAGTATTTGAGGTAGTATTATGTGGATATGTTTATCATCCCTTAAATTCCAAATGCAAATGCTAATACATTTGTTACTAGACAAAAAGATGGTTATTCCGCTCAGCTTCATGATGTTATTTATTCATGCCTCTTCTATTCTAACTGGCTTTTCTCAAGCCCAGCTTCTTTAGAGACTAAGTAGAATCTTTACTGGTCTGTGTTATGGGTCAAGTGTAATGAAGACTGACCTAAATCTTGCCTGCTCCTTTAAGCCTTTCCTAAACCAAGGACTTTTTGGCTGACCCAGGACATTTCGTTTAGAATCTACCAGTCAAGGCTTGAATGCTATACTCAAGCACAAAACTTGGGAAATGCCTTTATTTCTCACCTCTTTCCCAACCTAGGCCTTGAACATCCATCTCTGAACAATTTCCTGCATATGTGACTTCCCTCATGTTAGTTGGCTGCCTTCCCATTGGTTTGGCTCTCTTGAGCTGTTAGTCATCCAGTCTTATATTCCCTAAGAGGAAAGCAGGGTGAGAGTCTGGGGAAAGTTGGCCCTTTCCCAATTCCACTGTAAGATCTGGAGGGCTGTGCATGTTGTTACACTACAGTAGTCAAATAGCTTTTTGCAGGGTATGTGGTTCATCCTTAATCAGAATGCACAGTGGGCTCTGCAATAGCATGTAATAATTTTTTCTTCAGTTATGAATTCTAGATTGAAAAGCAGTGGAACATGGTAGTCATCTTTGAGGCCTTCTCTTGCTTGCTTCCTGATTCCTGCATGACACATATAGCTGGAGTTAGAACTGTACCTAGGCCCAGGAAGGTGCAGCTAAAATTATTTTGTGGTTTTGAAATAGCCTGAAAATAACTCCTGGAAATAAGAGTTGCATATTCCTTGTTTCTTTGAACATCAAATAAAAGGTTTGCTTTTTAGCCAGTATTTTTATAGTTTTGGATCCTAACTGAAATGATTTTATAATAGATCTGTTTTTATTGTACCTGTTTAACTCTGAATTTAAAGCTTGGTTTTAAAGCATCCATACCTTAGGTACATTTCAGTGCTCCATGTTATGTACAGCTTTATATTTATTTAGTGAGATACCACTAAATGCTTATAAGTCTGAGCAGCCATTATTAGTATGTTTGAGATTTTGAAAAAGAAAACCCATTTTAACCTGGAAACTATTTGATGTAGGAAGTCATGAGGGGGAAGAGGGGATGTGTTTCACTCATGGGTCTCCCATGGTCCCTTTATATTCCCTTGGGCTAAACGTTGTGAGCTAGTGTGGTACATTGGTTAGGATGCTGGATTGGGACCTGGGAGATCTGGGTTCTAGTTCCCACTCAGCCATGAAGTTCACTGGGTGTCTTTGGCCTAGTCATGGCCTCTCAACTTAACCTACCTCACAGGGTTGTTGTGAGGATAACACAAGCTATGTAAGCTTTCCTCACAACAAGAAAAAAGATGGAATATAAATATAATGTAGTAGTAATAATGCATGAATGAATACCTGCTTGACTCTAATCAGAGGAAAATATATAGTTTATATTCATGGATAATATAGAAAAGATAGGGGAGAAATTTGTTTTTGAAGCTTAATAAATGGACGTTTTACTTATCCTGGCAGTTTCTGATCTTCCTACTGACCTTTTCTAGGACATAGGTGAGGAATGTTGCCCTAAACATCAGGAGGATACTGGGTTGGGGAAAGGGAAGATAGTTCTGATACTATCTTTCGGTGTCTTGAGAGAAATGTTGTTACTTAATTGTTAAGGAATTTGGGAAGATTTTCATCTTTGCTTTGTATGAATGCAATAAGAAAAGAACTTTTCATATTGTTGGTTTTCTGAGGCAAATTAATTCATGTTTCTCATAGGCTGAACACATGGAAAAGAAAAGAAGAGCTCAAGAAAACAGAGATGAAGGTAAAAAGTGGGTGAGGGTAAGATAAGTCAAGGATGGATCTGCAATGCAGTAAGTTTTATAAAAAGAATTGGATGGTTGTTATCCTGATGTTGACCACAGATTGGTTATATCAACTCATTATTGATTGTTGACTCAATTATTTTTATTGAGAATAAGAAACATTTTTTTCCTTTTTTAAATATATATTTTATTAAAATTTTTAAACTAAGACTTTAAAAAAACCCATCAAACATCACAAACATTAACATTGGATTCACTGGGTCAGCCTCCTACTACATATTTTTTAACATTCTAATATCAAATTCCAGTTAGTTTATCATAGTTTGAAAAACATCTCTAAATTTACGCCAAGTCCCGTTTCTCCAGCCAATTATAAAAAGAGTCCCAAGTTTGATAGAAATCAGTATCCTCTTTCTCCTTCAACGATAAAGTCAGTCTATCCATTTCTGCACAGTTCAAGATCTTTCTTAGAATCAATCCATCGGTGGGCAGCTCCTCACTTTTCCAATATTGAGCAATGCAATCCTCACCGCTGTAATCAGATGCAACATCAAATAGATTTCCTGTCTGTTAACATCTTCCAGTATAATGCCTAACAAGAAAACTTCAGGTTTAAAAGCAAAAGGTTTTTGTAATATTTCCTCCATCCATCTATGTATTTTAATCTAGTACTTTTTTGCATTGTCACAAGTCCACCACATAGGATAAAAAGTACCCACTTAATGTTTACATTTCCAACATCTATTTGACATATTTGGAAACAGCTAGTTGACTTGGTGACAAATACCATCTATAAAACATTTTATATAAGTTTTCTTTATACGAAGTTGCTAAAGTTACTTTAATGTTTCTTTCCCATAGTTTTTGCCACTTTTCTAGTTCAACATTAAATCCAAAGTTTTGTGCCCATATTATCATAGTTTTCTTAACCTGTTCTCCTTCCATTTTCCTGTCAAGTAAAAAATCATATAGTCTTTTAATAATTTTCTCATCTGTTTTAAACATCACTTGATCAAATTTTGTTAGGTCTCTATAGAACCCCCATGTTTTATAATCCTTAGCATATCTTGATTGCATCTGCACCTTATACCACCAGGAAATATTAAGTCCCTGTTCTTGTATTTCTTGCTCCAGTTTCAGGCCACCATCCTTATCCAGGATATCGCCATATCTTATGATCTTTTCAAAGTTCAATACATTTGGATATACAAAAGCTTCCATAGGTGAAAGCCATCTTGGTAACTTACACAGTTTTAGCTTTAGTTTTTCCCACACTGACATTAAAGATCTTCTAATAAAATGACTCAGGAAGGACCCATGTGACTTAGCTTTTTCATACCACATATAAGCATGCCATCCCATCTGCAAGTCATGACCTTCAAGATACAAAATTCTCTTATTTCACAACATTACCCATTCTTTTAGCCAAGTTAAAATAGACACTTGATAATACAACATCCAATCAGGAAGACCAAAACCTCCATTTCTTTTAGCTTCCTGAAGCATTTTTAATTTAATCCTTGGTTTTTTTTTTCTCCAGATAAACCTCAAGATATGAAAGTTTAAGTCATCAAAGAATTTTTTATCAATTTTTATGGGAATCATTTGAAACAAAAACAAAAGTTTAGATAATATATTCATTTTGATAAGAGCTATTCTTCCCATCAAAGATAATTGTAAATTGGTCCATCCTTCCAAAAAGCCTTTAATATCCTTCAATAATTTATCATAATTGTCTTCTTTCAAGGTAGTACATTTAGCTGTAAGATAGATTCCCAAGTATTTAACCTTTTTAACAATCTGCAAGTCTACTTGTTCCTGGAGTCTTTCTTTTTGTTCTCACTTAATGTTTTTAACTAACAATTTCATTTTTTCTCTGTTTAATTTCATTCCCGTAACTTCACCATATTCTTCAATTTGTTGTAGAAGTTTGGGCATTGTTGAAAAAGATTCCTCCGTTATAAAAACCAGATCATCCGCAAATGCTCGCAATTTATAACTTTCATCCCTAATTCTAGTTCCTTTGATGTCCTCGTCATCCCTAACACATCTATTCAGTACCTCTAAAGTCATAATGAACAAGAGGGGTGACAGAGGACATCCTTGTCTTGTGCCCTTTTGAATCTCTATAGGGTTTGAAAGTTCTCAATTAAGATCCTGGCTGATTGCTTTTGATAAATACTTGATACCGCATTCATAAATCTTTCACCAAACTCCATTTGAATCATCTGCTGTTTCATAAACTGCCAATTAACATTATCAAAGGCTTTTTGGGCGTCTAAAAACAATAAGGCCATTGGTTTTTCGGTATGTATCTCATAATATTCTAAAATATCCAAGATAGTTCTCAGGTTATTCTTCATTTGCCTTTTTGGCAAAAAGCCATTCTGGTCTGGATGGATAAAGTCTATTAATAACTTCTTTAATCTTTCTGTGAGTATGGAAGCAAAAATTTTGTAATCCACATTTAATAGTGATATAGGTCGGTAATTTTGAATCTGTGCTACATCCATATTTTTTTCCAATCAGTTGTTGCTGATGGCCACATGTGTCAATTAACATGTGCCATTTTATTGATAAACATACCTATTTGAACCAGTTAGAACCTGCATTCATTTGTGTCAGTCATTGCCCTGGGCGTTGTGTTCGAAAGGCTCTGAGACTGACACTGATGGAGAAATCTCTACAATGTACTTATGTGGTCCTGGGCTGCCATTGCTTTCAGAAGTATGGATAATACAAAGGTATAAGAGTCCCCCCCCCCCAAAAAAAAAACCCTTTAAGAACCTGTAATAAAGAGTTTGGGGGGATATCCCCACAATTCTTCTCCCTTTTCAAATGGTATCCAACAGGTTTTGCGGGGCACTAGGAAGCCCCAACATTCCCCTTGCAATTTATCATTCCCTTTTGCAATTTATCCTGACTGGGGGAAGCACAAGGCTTGTGATTTTAAATGTTAACCTACCTCCCCTCATAGGGATTTCCTCAAGTTTTAATATGCCCTCTGCTGCAAGCAGGGGGAGGAAAGCTCTTGCCTAGCTATCTCCACTCTGCTTAGCACTTTGGCGTGGCTGGCAGAAGTGGTTGCCTGCCAACTTCTTGGCTAAAGAGGAAAACCTTTCTAGTTTTTTAACTTCATCATTGTTTGTTGAGTTGTCTGTTTGAACAACACAATAAATCACAGTGGGTGTAGTAAACCCTTCTACAAACCAAGCTTATAACCAACCTATGGGAAGGGTGCTAGGTTCAGAGTAAAAATCACCATGGCTTAATGTGCTGTATGAACCCTGTCAATGTAAGGCACCTTCGGAGAACTGCTTCAGTTAGTTCAGAATTCTGGCAGTATACTTCACAGGAAGTATCAGTTGAACTTAACCACATAAGGATGATGCATTGACATTATATCTACCTTACATTTGCCTATGTATATATGCATGTGTTTAAATTTTCTTATATACTATTTAGTTATTGGAAAATCTCAAGACATTTTACATAAAAACAAAAATATATATTAAAAACTATTATTAAAACCGTAAAATAGTTAAAAATTCCTTAGGGCCCATACTTGCCACAACTAATTAAAATATATTATTGATTAAAAAACTGGGAGAATAAAAACGGTTTTGGCCTGGCACTGGTATGAATACAGCACCAGGTGCACCTCTCTGGGGAGCAAGTTCCACAATCAGGGTGCTATTGCAGAGAGGGCTCTTGGAGGAGGACTTTCATGGATGGACTTAGGATCTGGCAGGCTTGTATGGAAGGAGACATTCCCTTAGATAACCAGGCCCTAAAACATTTAGGGATTTATATGTTATATGAAAACCTTCAATTGGGCTTGGACTTCAATTGATAACCAGTTAGCTTATATAGGACCGGTGTAATATGTTCTTGTCCTCTGGTCCCTGTCTGACAGCTCTATTTTGAACCAATTGCAATGCCTAGATGGTCTTCAAGGGGAGTCCCATGTAGAGCACATTACAGAGTTCAAGCATTACCAGTGCATGAGTTATTATTGCTAGAGCCTGTCTGTCCAGGTAAGGATGCAGCTGATGTACCAGCCTCAGCTGAAGGAAAGCACTCCTTGCAACAGATGCCACCTGGTATTCCAGGGATAACTCAGGGTTAAGGAGTACTTCCAAGTTGTGTATCCAAGTATGTATTGCTTGATATTTTGCAGATGAATAGCAATGTTTGTATGTCTTTCTTTGTTTATCTCATAATACAGTTGGTAATAAATTAGTAACGTGCGAATATCTTTTTTTTTTTTAAGCACTGCCACCCCCTCCACCTCCAGAATTCAGTACTGCTTTTGGAAACGTGGTGAAAATTCTGAACTCTGATATCATGATGCACATTCTTAGAACTGTCTTGCAAAGACCACTAGATCTAGAAAACCATTTGTGGACAGAACTCATGATCCAGATGGTATGCTTGCAAACCAGGTCTTCTTTTAGGATTGGGGTGGTATACAACATGTTTTTGTAGTGCTTTTCTCTTCAGTTCCTTGCAGATTTTTCCAGTGTATGCTTATTATTGGTACTTACCTTCTTCCTTAGAAATAATTCTCTGGACAACTCTCAGTGTACTGAAATGTTGAGTAAATGGATCTTATGTGCCCTCTGTCTGTCTGTCCATTTCCCTGTCTGTCCTAGCATGTCAGAAGTTTTTGGATTATTGATAAACTGTTAAGCTTCAAAACTGGGGTGTAGTTTCTTATGACATTCTAAATAGAGGAATGTTCACATATGCTAAACTACAGTTCAGGCCAAACTAAAAATGAAACAGGAGATGCATGATTGCCTCTTCCAATGGTTATTTACACAAAAGTAGCTGTAGACGAGTGCACACAGTGGGCAATAGCAGCAGATAAAAATTATCTCTTTCCAACCTACATAATTTTATAATTTAAATCATTCCCTCTTCTCTCACTACCCTCCTCCTGCTGTTGGCCACTGAGCAAAAAGTCACATCAGTCTGAACGTTTTAGTGCTAAAATTTGTAGTGGACTGCCCACTGTGTTTACACTTAGAGAGAATGTTCTGATCTTCCCTTCCTATTCCCTTTACCACAGTCAAGGTATTTCTCCTTCCTGTTGTTTTCTGAGCTTGAACTAGGCAAAAGTTCCTCATTTTTTTTCTTTTCTGTATTTCCTTCTGTTTCCCACTTGTGCATTTTGTTTTCTGTTGTGATTGCATAACTCCGGGTACTCTAAAAGGTGTTCCTAGGGCTTTGACTCCCTTTGACAAGTGTTTCACATGTAGGCGTAAATCACCATCTACTGACAGACGTAGATTGGACTTGCTTGTCAGGAGGATGGCCACACGTTTGATTTCTTTGCCCATTGCCAGTGACTTTTCCAGAAAGTGATGATCATGGTTTTACTCTGGAAACTGGCTAAGTCCATTAAAGGCCAACAACCTTTGGAACTCTGTTCCACATTTATGAGCATAGCTCTAAACCAACTATTTGCACCCTCTTTTTAATTTAGGGAAATAATTTGAGGCTAAGAGAGCTCAAACTGAGGAAAAGATCCACAGTTTAAAAGTCAATGAAAAAATCATGGACAAAATGCAAACTAGATATTGCAGAACATCTGTTGGAATGGACAAGATCTTGTCTGTCAGAATTGTAAAAACTTGTATAAAATTATTTATGGATCCCAGAGATGTGACTCATCTTCTGTAATCTGGGTGGGGAACCTATGGCCCTTCATGTGTTGTAGGACTCCATCAGCCTCAGCCAACATGGGCAGGGCAAGGGATGATGGAAATAGTAGTTTGCTAAGGGTACTGATCCCTGACATGTGTACTATTTCTTTGCACTGGGGCTTGGGTCCCTTGCAGGAAAAAAAGGCAGAATATAAACAGAATAAATGTTTGAGACAATATTTGATTCTTGTTTCCTTCTTTGTAGGTTCTTCATCTCCTTGCTTTGGGTTTGCTAGAAGAAAAACAGCAGTTAGAGAAGACTCCAGAGGATGAAGTGAACTTTGACTTTTATCACAAAGCATCTAGTAAGCATGCGTTCCTATTTTTATGTTGAATCACTTTCTAAGTTAAAATGCAAACTTGCTGATCTAGGACTAGAAGTCAGTGCTGCAGCACCAGCCAGCCTGCTGGCGTACAATGGCACTTCCAGATTTTTATCTCTCTGCTTCATGCATGGAATTTTATGGGATAGTCTAGATGGATACTTCCAAGTGAAGGCTTCCTAGCACTCTGAGTCATAAAGTATTCCATCTTTTTTCTTTCCATGCTAAACTAAAAATGGAAGAAGCCATTACAAAATTTATACAAATTTATGAGGGGAAGACAACCCCCCCCCACTCTCTCACTTACAAAATGCCATGAATGAGGCAGAGTGATTGTGCTATAAAACCAGTGCAGTTTTCTACTCCTACCCTTTCCATGTTTTTTCACCACTTTTTTCCTTTATTTTGTTACTGCAGAAAGTCTGTTAAGGAAAAAAAGACAGAATAGCTGTATGATGCCTTCTAATCAGTACTGCTAGGGACTTTCATATAGCACACGTCAGTGGATCATTAGGTTTCTGGATATGACTGAGTGCTTGGAGGTGTTCTAAGGAGCCAATTTTAGTAGATTGACCTTTGCTACAACCTGAAAAATATGGGGAAATTTTGGCTAGGCATTCAAGCCAGTCTAAGCCCAACCTTTGACCTGTGATTTTTACAATATACTACACTGCAGTGCTCCTCTAAGTAACACTGTCTCAGGGCAACTTACCAACCTGAAGCAGGGTTCTACTCGCTTTACTCAACCTGCATTGTGAGAATAAGACTAATAGGTAGGATCGTTGTACTTCAATTGAACTTTCAACCTGTAGCCTTGGACAATACTGCAAGGCTTCTGTAAACCATTGACCAGGAGTATTTAGGGAAAGCCACACTGCAAAGCTGTCATAAGGCATTCTTTCCCAGCCCCTTCCAAACTGGAAATCGAATATTTCATTGGCAGTTTTTTAAAAGAATGTTTCACACTAACTAAGAAGAAAGAAAAGGAACTCTTTGCTGCTACATTTTGGACTGGGCAGACTGGTAGAGAATTCTAGCTACATTAAAATTTTGGATTTTTCCATTGATTTGTATGAGATTATCTCTCTACCATCCCTTGTTGCTAGTTGCGAAGTTGCGTCCGACCCATCGTGACCCCATGGACAACATTCCTCCAGGTCTTCCTGTCCTCCACCATCCCCCGGAGTCCACTTAAGTTCACGCCAACTGCTTCAGTGACTCCATCTAGCCACCTCATTCCCTGCGGTCCCCTTCTTCTTTTGCCATCAATTGTGCCCAGCATTAGGCTCTTCTCCGGGGAGTCCTTCCTTCTCATTAGGTGGCCAAAGTATTTGAGTTTCATCTTCAGTATCTGGCCTTCAGTCAGGGTTGTTCTCCTCTAAGATTGACTGGTTTGATCTCCTTGTAGTCCAAGGGACTCGCAGGAGTCTTCTCCAGTACCACAATTCAAAGGCCTCAGTTCTTCAGCCTTCCTTATGGTCAAACTTCCACAGCCATACATTGCAACTGGCAAAACCATAGCCTTGACTATATGTACTTTTTTTGGCAGTGATGTGATGTCTCTGCTTTTTTGTGATGTCTCTGCTTTTTAGTATGCTGTCTAGATTTGCCACAGCTTTCCTCCCAAGCAGCAAGTGTCTTTTAATTTCTTGTCTGCAGTCACTGTCTGTGGTGTTCTTGGAGCCCAAGAAAATAAAATCTGTAACTTCCCTATCTATTTTCCAGGAAGTGAGAGGACCAGATGTCATGATCTTAGTTTACTTAATCCTGTTGCTATCTCCTCTTTCACCCACATCAAGAGGCTCTTTAGTTCCTCTTCACATTCTGCCATCCCTGGAGAGATTAAAAAAAGTGCTCAATGTGAACCAGGAAATGACCTATTGAAAAACAAATGGTTCTCTTTCATCTCTGAGTATCTTCTTCCCATATCCCTTTTCAACTAAGCCATTCTGTTCCTCCACTCTGTTGGAATTGTTTATTCCTCTCAAATCTCCAAGTTCTGTGCCATTGACTTAGGGGTTGTTTTGGAGGTTCCCCTTCAATTTCTTTTATTTTACTTTTTTTGGGTATTCATCTGCATTACAAGGTTACACCCCCGACTCTTACCTCTAGTGTACCAGTTCAGTCTGTATTCTGTCTGTATTAGAAGGCATAATGATTTGGACTAGGGTCCCTGTACTTTGAGCATAGATGTAAAAAGTCAGTAAAAGGGTTTTTTTCTAGAAGAAGTGTGCTTTCCAGAGAAACGCTTTGAAAGATGCATCATTTTGAAATCGGGAAGGAGAAAGGCATTTCAGCTGATCAGATGTTAATTTCTTGGCAGATAAAATGTCAACAGTGTCAACCTTAATCTGTAGACTGCTTCTATGTGAGATTCCTGCTTGTGCTACAGCCCATTTGATAATGACTGGCATACATTTCAAAAGAACTAAAGTATAAGCAAATTGCCTGAAGTTGTAACTGCATGTTATAATCGAAATGGGTTCTTAGGCATTTGGATTATGTTACATCTGTGGAGAAATAATGAGAACCAAAGCAAGCTTGATGACACAGCCTTTGTTTGTAACTTGTTCTGATAATCGTTTTGTAATGAAGTGAAATATATCATTGAAATAGTGATGATGGGTCAACTGTAATAGAAGGTAGGTTTGTAGTTAAAAGATATGCTCCTATCTAACACCTAAAGTCATAGTAGTGTTTAGTATGCCGGAGAGTTGTTGGTCTCTGTTGAGCATATGCATGTGCCTGTTTTGTTTATTTATCCCTGTATCTGTCTATAAAGGAATGGGAAGCTCTGCTTTGAATGCAATGAACATACTAATGATTTTGGAAAAACTAAAAGGAATTCAACAGCTGGAATCACAAAAAGATATGATTAATTGGGTACTACAGGTAAGCAAGGCAACAAGTGGAACTTTTTAAAGCACCTACTTATGTGATTTCACAGAATACTGGTTATGCATAGAGTTATATCTTCTTATATGGGAACAATTTATAGGGTTGATACTATGTCAAGACAGTGAACTAGTAATGTTTTTCTTTTCCAAACATTAGAATTTGGACTCATCCAATGAAGTTGGTAACACATTCAAATTAAATTATATTAAAGGTAAAGGTTTCCCCTTGACATTAAGTCCAGTCATGCCTGACTCTAGGGGGCGGTGCTCATCTCCGTTTCCTAGCCAAGGGAGCCAGCGTTTGTCCGCAGACAGTCTCCGTGGTCATGTGGCCGGCATGACTAAACACCAAAGTGCACGGAACGCTGTTACCTGCCCACCGAAGGGATACCTTTTTATCTACTTGCATTTGCATGCTTTCAAACTTCAAGGTTGGCAGGAGCTGGGACGGAGCAACGGGAACTCACGCCATTGTGCAGATTCGAACCGGCAACCTTTCAATCATCCAGCCTAGCAGCACAGCGGTTTAAACCACTGCGCCACCTGCAACCCTAAATTATATTAGAAAGGGTTTTTTTCAAATAAAAATTAACCTATGGGTTTCACTTCCACAGGACATGAGGGAGACTATAGGCTTAGATGGCTTTAAAAGAGGATTATTCATGGAGATTCGTCAATGGCTGTTTTGTATGAAAGCTAAATGGAGAATGCAGATGTAGAAGAACTTTGTTCCTGTTTGCAAATCATCCTAACATTCCCTCTTCACAAGCAGGAATGCAGTACTTGAGAATACTAAAAATTTCCTGAATTTATGTCTGTCTTCAAAAGTGCACATCTGCATAAACATTCTCTTCTGAATGTGCACAGTCCCTAACCCAGTCCATATTTTCATCCTTCAGCCTGTGTGAGAAAATGCGCATTTTAGGTCAGGAAAAATGCTTGTTTTTTAAAAAGTAGACATGCTTCCTGACTGGGGAAAATGAATGAAAACATTCATGTTTGGAACACAGACAAGGTAAAACAAGCTTTAAGGAAGAATTTGTAGAACTGAATATTTATCCATCCCTAATGGAGACATGTTGCTAGATTAGATGTACCTTTTGTCTCATCCAGCAGAACTCCTTAATAATCTTGGATTGAAATCCTGTGAAAGGCTAATCACACTTTCTTTGCTAATCTTCCTATTTAAGTTTAGATTAGTATGTCTGTATTTAATTAATTTATTCACTTTTAAACCACCCAGTAGCTGAGGCTCTTTGGGTGGTTAACAAAAGTTAAAAAGACACACACACAATAAAATTAACAGAACAAAACAAAAGAACAAATGGTGGTTTAAGACCTGGCACTCATTTTGTTAGCTTTGTACGATTGCCAGACTGCTTGAAAATGGGGTCATGATATTTATGAGAACCAGTGTGGAAAATGGCTAACAGTGCAGGACTGGAACTCAGGAGATCTGGGTTCTAGTCCTCACTCAGCCATGGAGCTAACTGGGTGCCTTTGGGCCAGTCATAGACTCTCAGCCCAACCTACCTCACACCGTTGTTGATGTGTGGATAAGATTGAGAGGAGGAGGAGGATTACGTAAGCTGCCTTGAATTCATTTGAAAGGAAAAAAACTAGGATATAAATATAATAGAACAGAACTGACAGATAAGAAATCTCAAAGTAGCTAGAGCCCTGATTTAAGGAATTAAATTATTGTATTGAATTTAAATATGATGTGCAAAAGATACTCCTGTAATGTGGTAATTTTGATAAACTATGAAAAGACTGCATTACCTGTTGTAAAGAATTCTGTGTAACATGACATGATTCTCAGTAAGCACACAAGATAATTTAAGACATTTTAATTCATGCTTTAGCTCAATCATGGCCTATTGTAGGCAAGCCATTTTTCCTATATTCATAACAAAGATCTAATTGTCAACAATTGTCAATATGTGATCAACTAAAATATGCTTTTTGTACACTCATTGGCTTTGTATGTAAATACCATTATTGTGAATAGTCTCCATAGAGACTGAGTGAGCAGAGAAAAGCAATTAAAGATATTACATTCCAATTAGTGAGGAAAGGTAGTGGGAGAAAATCATGTAAACATTTAACACTGGTGCTTCTCTTGTGTCCTGGGCCTATGTACATTCCTTATAGGCATGAGAAATGTCAGTGTGTGATATGCATAGCCCATTAGTGTTTTAACCTTAAATTTGTGCTCCTAGATGTTTGAAACAGTAAAACGTTTGAGGGAGAAGTCTTGTTTTTCTACAGTAGCAGCTGCATCTGGATCAGATTCTGCAAAAGGCAATGAGGTAACCAGATCCAATACATACTCATGCTCCTTTGTCAAAATTCAAAACCCTGGGCCCATGGTCAAGCATTTAAATGTATCTTTATATGATTAAAATAATTCTGTACTTCACAAGTTTCCATCCATCCATTTGTTCTTCCATTCGTATGCTTTGCTGGTAGATCCCTCTGCAAGCAGTTTATATGGAGCAACTAACAAAAGATCCTTATTATGGCCCTCTCTTTGTGGTAAATAAGTGCTCATACTTTATGCCTCTTTATGCCAGTTGCTAGGGAGCACAGGCAGGATGCTGCTACTGCACTTGTGTCCTACTTGGGCTTCCCTGCGTCAGCTGGATGGCCACTGTGATTAGAGGCGCCTTGCTGTAATCCAGCTAAATTCCCTTGCAAGAAAACATGGGCACGTGGACCTTCACTTTAGGCTCAAGGAACAGCATTTTGGAATCTACACTTCACCAGCCTAAAATGTATTATGTGCATTCTACAGACATTGCACTAATGCAACACTGCAGGTAGAGTGGGCCCAGTCTGTTTGCCTTTGCCAAGCAGATTGTGGGAGCTTTGTTTAGAGCATGGGTGAGCAGAAGTTAGGTCTCCAAATATTTTAGACTTCAACTCTCTCATAATGGTTAAGAATGCTGGGGGTTGAGGTCCAAAGCATCTGGAGATCTACATGCTGCTCACTCTGGATTAAAGGAAAGTAGACCTTCATTCTTCTGCTAGGCCTGTGATAACAACATATGTGCTTAAAATGTGTCAGTAAGTGAGAAGAGTGTTCATGTGCTAAACAAAGTTTAACAAAACATGTTAAAGGCTCTGGGATTTGGAGATGGATCAGTGCCCAGCAATATTATATGGACAAGCATGTAGGATCTCTGTAAGCATTCGTGCAGTCCTACTCACTTATTATAGAAAGGAGATAATTCTTGATTTATTTGGTTGTCCTTTTGTTAATAAATAGGCTGCCTGTTCTTTTCTGCCGCTAAATAAGATGCAAGGAATTCAGGACAAGGAGAAGGCTGAGAGGAAGAGGAAGGCAGAAGCAGCCAGGCTACATCGTCAGAAAATTATGGCACAGATGTCTGCTTTGCAGAAGAATTTCATTGAAACTCACAAGCTCTTATATGAAAATACACAAGAAACACCAGGAAGAGATGATATGGAAGACGAGAGGTAGGAAGAGAGCATATCCAATAATACATTTTGACTAGCTTTTGGCAATGCAAAATAGTCCTAAACAATATAAACAGCCATTCAGTGGATTGTGGTGTTGACTCCTGTGGATTCAGGACAACATCCCTGATTATAATGAACATAATGCACTTATTCAGTGTCTGAGTAAATGCGAAGTATTATAAACCTGAAGCTGAAACCGTTGTGCTAGTTGGTTGGTAAGTTTGTTTTGGAGAATAAAACAATGGGATTATAGCTCCTACAAGAAGTATTCAGAAGTATTCAGCAGGCTGAATCCGCCATTTTACAAGCAGATTTGCACATGCACAGTGGGAGTTTACCTTTTCCTTCTTCCTCCTGAATGCCCCTTCCCCCAGTCTCCTCTGTAGAATAGTTGGATATATGCAGAGCATCTGGGGCACATGGGAAGTGATTTCAGAGGAGAAATTGAATTTTCACTTTATCGAGAGAGATCATTTCTCCCAGTGAAAGGATACCACAAGATACAACTCCATTTTTGTTACCCTCCTATAACTCTTCCTCAGTTGCACAGATCCAAATCAAAGCTATGAAACATTTTTTATGGATTTTTGTGGCCTCTTTTGTGCTTGATAAACATTGTGCATTTATCTGAACATACAATTTTCCCTGAAAGATTGAATTTGCTCTCATGAGGGCAGAAAGGATTCACTTTTCCTTGCAAGTAGTAGAGTGATATTTGGATCATGCTTGCTCCCTGTGTGCCTTCAGGTGCAATTCCACTGGCAAAATGGCAGGTGAACAGAATCTTGGCACTTTTATTTCTGAGTACATTTTTTAAAAAAATCAACCATCAATGTTAATTTTTCATTGCAGAACTTATTAAAATGCTAATAACTTTCTGTCGACTACTGCACTGGCCTATTTCTTTCCAAATTAATTTTGCTCAGTTGCATGACAGCTATGTTCAGGCTCAGCTTTGGTAACAGTTCCAGCTGAAGAGAAAAGCAATTTATGTATCATTTTTAAACCATATTTGATTTTTTTTCAGTATAAACTGCAAATAGTTTTTGTTATTCGACTGTTACCTGTTTAACTTGACTCTTTCTGTCTTTATAGCAATCTTCCAGTTATAGATTATACAAGAATTGCTTTGGGGCCGAAGCGAGGACCCTCTGTTGCAGAAAAAGAAATGCTGACATGTATCCTATGTCAGGAAGAACAGGAAGCGAGGCTAGAACATGCTGCCATGGTTTTATCTGCCTGTGTTCAGAAATCCACTGCCTTAACCCAGCATAGGGGAAAAATCCTTGAACTTTCAGGAGGTAGGTATCTCCTTTGTCCAGGTCATCTGCTTGCAAATCGTTTTAAATGTCATTTTGGAACTGCTTTTCTCAGATCAAGTTACAACATGACATTTCATGTTTAAGACATCTGAAAGGAAAGTCATAGATAATAACACAACTAGTAACCCTCTGGCAAACTTATGGTAAGAGTGGCATTTCCAAAATCTGGAGTGGATGCAGGGCATGGAGGCTACAGGGAGGAGGGACATAGCTTAAAATCCTACAGCATGTTCTGCTGAAAGGAAGCTTCTGTCAGCAGAGAGCAACTAGTTGGATTCTACCCATGCAGCTTAGAGAAATAGTGCAATATTGGACAGTCCACTTCTCAGTTTAAATAAGATTAAGGAATGTTTGTGGTTCCCTGGCAAATTTAGGTTCCTAATTTACTAGAACAGATTTTGTGTAACAAATGCTCAACATAGATGAAATTATATAATAATTAATCATTTTTTCTTAATAGATAAAATAGATCCTCTTTTCATGAACCCTGACTTGTCATGCGGAACTCACACTGGAAGCTGTGGTCATGTGATGCATGCATCCTGCTGGCAGAAGTAAGCAGACATATTTTGTTATCTGCTTTATCTGTAGTTGTTTCCCAAGCTACATCTTCCAGGGTACCTAAGGATATGTATATGTTTGCATGTGTATATACTAGGGTATGTGTACTGTTGCAGAACCACAAAGGAAAATGCAAACAAAATCAATTACCTACTAATTTAGGACACACTAATATGCATAAAAAAGGAATAACAGCCTGTTGAAACATTCGGGTAGATAGGGATTTATTAAATATAAAGTTTTAATAAAGTTTCTGTTTCTTCCTGATTACTGCATAGAGGAAACTTCTAGCAATCTGGGCTGTAGTGCATTTATTTGAATGTGTCTTATTCCTATCCTTCCTACTGGAATGGATTGATTGGAATGTATCCTAATTTTCTCACTGCTTCTGGTTCTAACTCTGTTGCTGGTTGTTTCCCACAATCCCCTGTTGTTCATTAAAGAAATACAATACAATTTTGCTATGACTGGTGCAGTCCTGGCCATTGTCCCCTCTTTTCCGTTTAGGTGCAGGCACAGAATTTAAGTATAAACCAAGCATAAATGTCAAAATAGTCTGGCATGGAAAATAATGAAATGGGTATCAAAACTATCTTTTTTATGTTGTTGTAGAAGCCTTTCTCTTGATTGTTCATTTGAATATTGCAGATACTTTGAAGCCATTCAGCTAAACTCTCGGCAACATCATCATGTTGAACAGGTTTTCGACTTAGAGAATGGAGAATACCTCTGCCCACTTTGCAAATCTCTGTGCAACACTGTAATACCTATTATTCCATTGCAAACACACAAAATAAACAGGTATGGTAGTGCATTTAATGTCTCTTGTATTTTGGTGTGATTGCATATATGTACATATATACATATGTATACTGCATATGTTGCATATATGGGGAAAGAATATGAATCTCCCCTGTTTTTCTATTTATTTTATACCAATAATGATATGTAAGAATATCCATTCAAATATCTTGTTGAACTTGTAAGGAAACAACAATTCTGGGCACCTAGAACAAATTTGATAGGATCAGCTCATACTTAAACAACCGCTCTCAGCACTCTTGGATGAAATGGGTGTATTTCACTTGGGGTTCAGGCTGGGTTTTGGTACATAAACAGCTTTGGTACAATGACCTGTGCCAGAAGATCGAGAGAAGGTGTGACCCTGTTGGTACTTCTAGATCTCTCAGTGGCTCTTGATACCATTCATTTGTTGATGACAAGCAACTCTGTCTCTCCTTTTCATCTTCAGCAGGTGAGGTTGTGAATGTGCTAAACCAGTGCCTATCTGTGAACAATGGACTGCATGAGGACTAACAAACTTAAGCTCAGTCCAGAAAAGACTGAGATGCTGTTGGTGGGCAGTTCCTCTGATGAGCCGAAGGATGCCCAAACTGTTCTGATGGAACAAGTTCATAGCTTGGGCATGCTTCTTTATCCATCTTTGTCACTTGAGATCCAAGTGGCCTCAGGTCATGGAGTGCCTTCTATCAGCTTTGGCCGGTGGCTCAGCTACACCTCCATCTGGACAGGCATAGCCTGGCATCAGGAATCTATGTTCTGATATCTCTAAAAGAGATCATTGCAGTGTGTGCTGTGTGGAGCTGCTCTTGAAGACAGTTTGGAAACTGCAGCTTGTAAAAAAATGCAGCAGCCAGATTAATAACTGGGACCAGATTGTCTGAACGCCAGTTCTGGCCCACATGCATTAGCTGCCTATATACTTCTGGACCTGATTCAAGATGCTATTTTAACCTGTGAAACTTTACATGGCTTGAGACTACAATACACAGATCACAGAATGCTTCTCCCAAAAACAACAACATACTCAGTTATTACAGTCTTTTCTGAGGCCTTCCTCCAAATGCTGCCTTCAAGGGAGGTTCATTTGGTGGAAACAAGGAGCAGGGCCTTATCTGTGCTAGCCCCCAGATTAATGAATGATCTCCCCACTGAAGTCTTCCTAGAGCCAACTTTACTATTTTTCCAATGCTAGGTTAAGACTACCCTCTTGACCAAAGCAGCTGCCATCTTCAAGTAGCCCATTGGGGTGGGGGATATTGCCAGCTGTTTCTCCTTTCTTTAGGAGGCCTAGCAGCATGGACTGGTTTTACTTGCTTTATTGTTGGTATTTTATGTTTTAAATATAACTTTATTATGTTTTTTACTGCTCTGTTTGTATTTTTTTAACTGTTGTTCACTGCCCAGAGAATTTTGGCTATTGGGGGTGGGGATGTGTAGAAATAGAATAAACAAAATTGTAAAGAACAACTGACTGTTTAAATGGTTTGTTGCATAAGGCATGAACATCCTCATAGGCTGAACTCTAAGGATTAGATTTTTGGTTATGCTTGTGAAAACTGTCATTACCCTTTTGTATTGTCAGTGAGGATGCAGACATGGTGGCTCAGCTTCTGTCTTTGAAAAAATGGATAGAAATTGTTATTGCCCGGATCTCAGGTTTTAACAAGAAGAACATTGAAGGTTTGTATATCTTATTCAGAACTTGACATGTGGGAAGAAGGTTTTAAGAGGCGAGCCTGCTGAATCTGTAAAGTGTTAGTAGAGCTTTATTATCAGATGGCCTTACTGATATCTTCTAAAGCTGCTAAAGGATGGCAGCACCATTGCACACCTTCCTTGGTGTCTGCAAAGGTTTTCTGCCTTTCCTGATCATTTTTAAAAGATATTTTATTTTTTAGTACAATTCTAGAAAATTGATACCTGAAAAGCAGCTGACCTTGTGCCCCCCTCTTTCCCCTTGCCCAGAATGCCTCTTTGCACACTTCTGAAGAAAAAAAGGGTAGGGGAGCTGCAAGCTGAAGCTTTTCTGCTTACAGCTGGTCAGACCAGAAGGAGCGGGAGGGCATTGCTTAGGATAAGTTTATGGAAATGGGGAGGAAAGAGAAAAACCAACAGGGGAAGGAGAGGAAGAAGAGGGTGAGTTAAGAAAATAAGTGGGAAGGAAGCCAAAGAGGAGTAATCTTCAGAGAAGTGGAAAGAGGGATGTATTTGTGTGATTGATGAATGGTTCTGGGGGGCGGGGGCTGGGGGGAGGTTAAGTCTGTTGGTGGGTTCTATGCGTTTTATGTATATGCATTTGGGAGTTATTTTCCAATTTTGGACCCATTTGGGAGAATTATAGTAATTTATTTAGAGGTGATATGTAATAATTAGCTTGCCTAGCAAGAAAACTAAGTTCAAAGAAAGCATATTCCTCTTCTAAGCTCATAAACTGCCTTTCTATTAAGTGGGTGTATTGTTGCAGAAGTAATTTTTGTAGTCACTCTGTGATGTTGCTCAAAACTCTTTTATTAAACATTCAAAAGCACTCATAAGCCAAAAAGGTTGGGACCCTATTCAAAAGTTATGCTTCTTAAAGTGGAACTTAACCTCCCCTAAGGAGTGTGAAGAATCGCAAAAGGAGGAGTTATCCCTACCATACAGTTTGAATGGCTTATGTTTTATTTATTGTGTTTCTTTTTAATACTGAAGTGTAGTGCAGATTTTTCTTTTGTATTTTGCATTATATTTGGGTATTTGGCCATGTAGTTAGATATTGGCACCTCCTCTCTTATGCTAGGTTGACTTCCCCTGAAGAACTTTTGCTAAATTGGTCATGAATTGGAATGGCTTTGTGGTTGTTTCTGTACTTAAAGGGAACAAACATGCTGTTCAAAAATTAATCTGTATGCATATGGATATGTATCTATTCTTCTGCATTTGATCCCTAATTTTCCAAAAGAGGTTGCTTTGTAAGAATTATTAAACTGTGTGGTGATTGTTCATTTCAAATTCCTTTACTGTAAAACAAATCATTGTACTTCATTTAATAGAGCTACATCATACTCATTTATTAATTTCTTTTTTAAATCAAGAAACAAAACAAATCGCTTCATCTCTCCTTGATAAAGAAATGGAAGATGCCTCATCTGATTTTCATTCTATTCTTAGCTTTGGAGTTCAGCCATTGTAAGTGTTGAGAGTCTCTTTTCTCCTTGTTTTAGATGAAACTGGCATGTATACATTGGACAGTTTTGTTTGGTGAAGTAAAAATGATGGGGAGATAATTTTGATCTGTGATAAGGTCATATTGTTGATTGAAGTTTTGCATCTGGGAAAGCTCCCTTTGAGTTCCACTGAGTACACATGCCAAGGGAAAAAGATAACTTATGATATTTCATCATTTATGAAATGAATGAATTAATAGAACATTTTTCAATTCCCATGTTGAAGTTTATATGCATTTGGCCAGTTTTGATCATTAGCTCTCATTTTGTTTGGCAGACTAAAAACAAAAAAGCAGGGACCTTTTCATGGATGTCTGTAGGGGACCATCCACACAGATGAGTCATAAACCTCAGATTCCCAGCTTTAATTTAAAGAAAATAGCAAATCTCTAGCTGTGTAGCCACTATTCTGTGCATTTATCTTGTAAGAAACTGGCCTGCTTCCTGGAAATAAAGGAAGAGAGTTTGCAGACTGGGAGCCAAGCTCATAGGATCAATGAGGACCCCTTGTGGATTATATCAGGCCTGTTAGTCAGAGGTTCCCCAGGCCTGCTATACAGTGTTTGCAAGTATTTCTAAAACTATTCTAGAACATGGGGACACCTTTCCTGACAAGTCATGTAAAGTTGTCAATATTATAATAAAAACAGTTACTCCAAAAATATCGTGTAAATTCTTTAGACAGCTGTAGTGTTTCTCCCCTTTCTTTTTCTTTTATGTTCTTTCTAGTAAAATGTTGTTGAAGTTCATGATACGTACCTCTCTTGCATCTAGCACACTTCTGCATTAGTCTTGTTAGATTCCCAAGATTCCCTGCTAGTATGTGTAGGCTTCTAAATTTTAGAGACTGCAATAAGCAAGGCACAAAGAAAATAAACAGATGTATTCTATGGGTTTGCACTATGTTCAAAAATTAAAATCATAGACCACTGTGCAGCTTCCTCACCACTTACCCCAGAAAATTCCTGCAGAGGCCCATGAAATGGAAAGCTGAGAAGAGATTGCTATACCAATGGGCAAAAACATGTGGTTGAAAAGCTCTTAGCATTTCAAGCCTATTATCAAGGATTGCTGATATATAATGGCAATTCACAATGTTTCTATATTGGAATAAACATAAATATGACTGTGTAGTTATTCTTACAACCTATCACATGAACTTTTCTCTACTGTCACTGGTTCACAGTCTTGAACCACGGTTCATGGTTTTCCTTGCTCCTTTCTCAGAGTGAAGTATTCTAATAGCATCAAGGAGATGGTGGTTCTCTTTGCTACTGCGATCTACAGAATTGGATTAAAAGTTGCTCCTAGTGAAACTGATCCACGCATTCCTATGATGACTTGGAGCACATGTGCTTTTACTATCCAGTGTTTAGGTAAGCTAAAAGTAGAATTTTATAAACAAATTGGATTTTAGTTTCTGTTATAACCACTCCACCAGGAGCTTTATGTTTGAAAAGCTAGAAGTGTATTTTCTGAAAGTCTGGCATTAGTAATCTATGCTCCGATAATCTCTAAAATAGATTGTTATGGTGTGTGCTGTGTGGAGCTGCTCTTGAAGACAGTTTGGAAGTTGCAGCTTGTGAAAAATGCAGCAGCCAGACTAATAACTGCAACCAGATAGTTATAGCATACAAGACCGATTCTGACCTGCTTCTCTGGCTGCCTTCATGCTTCTGAGCCCAATTCAAGGAGCCTGTGAAGCCCTATACAGTTTGGGACTACAATACCCAATGATCAAGATCTGGGACCTGCCTGCAACTGCCACAGCCAAGGGAAGCTTAGTTGGTAGCAACAAGGAGAGCCTTTTCAGTGTTGGCCCCCCAGTTATGGAGTGAACTACCCATTGAGACCAGCTTGGCGCTAATCTTACTCTCTTTTTGGCACCAAGTTTATACTGCTCTCTATTGTAGGGCATTCAGTTAGTTTACTGAGGCTCTGCTAGTTGTCCCAGTCCAAGATTTACCTTGTTTAAATTATTAGGACTTTTACGTGTGTTTTAAATTTGGTTTTAAACTCTGTATGACAACCTTTTAATGATGTTTTATAATGTGGCATATGTTATATTGTGTTTTTACAATGCAGCAACTGAAAATTAAATATTTCCTGAATATACCTTTTTAAAATATTGGAATGACATAGTGGTCTAATTCTTGAATTTCTGTAGAAATTGAAATGGATACAGTTCTGACTGCTTTTGAAGTAAATGACTCACTGCAAACTTTTTTTTAAAGAAAATCTTCTAGAAGATGAGCGCAAGCCTTTATTTGGTTCTCTGCAAAATAGACAGGTATGAATTAACAAAACAAATGTTGATATAAACAGTTGACATAGTTATACCAAATATATTAGCATCACCATAAGAGAGTCTCTGGGAGAGATCCTCTTAATGACTTTTCATGTTATGATACAACGAACCACTCCTAAAGAGTTCTTGGATGGATTTGCATTTCATGGTAATCCACCCTGCTGATAAACCATGGTGGGTTGGCTGTTGCCCAAGCAACCAACAGTTTGTTCAGTAGGCAGAAGATTGGGTTGCCTGTGGGATATTGACCCCCCTCCCCCAGTCTTTCCACAAGTATCCCAGGGGACCCCATGGCAGGACAGATTTGTTTGCCCCTTGGACCTCACTATGATCACAAGGTCTTTTTAATTCATGGTAGCTTTTTCCCTTATAAAAAATGCCCATTGGTCTGCCAAAATCTTATTTTAAAAAGGAGCCTGAAATTTGACAGGCAGCTGTCAAAACTCCTTACCCCTGAAAATGGGATGGGATGCACTTTTACACTTTCCTGGGCAGATGAATGTAGAAGACCCCAAGGAGAGTCAGAACAAAAAAGAAAAAGATAAGGATCTTACCACAAAGAGGCTATAAGCCCCTTTCTCATAATTTGATTTCACAATTATGGCAGAGAATATCCAGCCTCTAAGTGTGAAGAGATGGGGCCCAGCACTAAGATGTTACAGTCTTCTCAGACAGCTTCTTCTGATTCTGAGGAGGCGGCAGAAGTAGGCAGTTGACTTGGCAGTTTCAAGGTGTACACCTGTCTGTCTTTGAAAAAGGAAGGGGAATTTTGAGAGCTTTGGCTGTGTGGAGGAAATGTAGAAGGCGTTTGATGACATAGTCAGGAGGTGACAGGGGAAATGAGTGGCAGCAATTGTGAAGTGTCTGGTGTTCCCACCATCTAGCTTTCAAGCAGCAAGAGTCACCTTGAGGGTGGAGTCAGAAGCTTTTTTAAAAGAGAGGGATGGGGAGGAAGTTTCAGTTTTGAATCAACTCTTTGCATAAGTGGATGCATCTCCCACATCTTGAGGAGGATGCTACTTCGATTTAAACTGTTTTGTAAGCTTTTAAGTGTTTCCAAAGTCTTATCTGAGTCGGCCAGAGAGGAAAAGAGGGAGGGAGAGACCTGCTCACAACAAAGTTATTGTCATATAACCCCAGTCCTCTATCAGCTCCATTGGCTTCCCATCGAAGTCCAGGCTCAATTCAAGGTGCTGGTTATTACCTAAAGCCCTAAACAGCTTGGGACCAGGATACCTAAAGGAACACCTTTTTCTCTATTTGCCCTCCCGCCCCCTGAGATCGGCAACAGAAGCCCTCCTCCGGGAACCCTCTGTGAAAGACGTTAGGAGACAGAGTACCCAGAGGATGGCCTTCTCTGCAGTGGCGCCCCGACTATGGAATGCGCTCCCCAGAGAGGTCCACCTGGTGCCATCATTATATGTTTTTCAGCGCCAGGTCAAGACCTTTTTATTTAATCAATATTTTAATACGTTTTAAAAGGAACTGGATTTTATTGTTTATATTTTATTAATTTGCAGCCAGAATGGATTTGTCAATTTATCTATTTTATTTTGTTCTATGTTGTAAGCCATCCAGAGATGCAAGTAATGGATGGCATACAAATTTGTAAATAAATAAAAATAAATAAAGTGTCACCTTTAGGCACTTGTAGGGTGGGTGGGTGGTACTGGCTCTGGCCTGAGTGAACATGGCAAGAGCATGAAAGGTTTTTTATTGATCTTGTCCAGTGACTCACTAGCCACTTCCTAGTACCTGTGATGGGATCAGTTACCTTGGTCAGAATAAAATGACGAACAAAGAATAAGCTGTGAGTTATCATTGTGATTTGTTGCTTACAAACAAGCCACGCTGCAGGAAAAGGTTTTGGTTCACACAAAAACCCACTATGGTTTCTCATTAATGATGCACTGCCATGTTTGTTGCCAAGTAGTAACTGCTTGTACACGGTGCTCTGCCTCTGGGGCTTTCCTCTGATTGTCAACTCTGAGGGAGGCTTGGATGGTTACACCAAGGGAGAGGGCTTTCTTTGTGGTGGCCCTACCATCTATGGAACAACCTCCCCATTGTGGTTCACCTGGTGGTAACCCTGTCATCTTTTGGGCACAGGTTAAGACAGCCCTGTTTGCTGAGGCATTTAAAGATTTACTTGGGTACCCAGGGACATGAGGGGATTACCTAATTTAAGTATTTTAAATGGTCATATTTGCTCTGTTTTAGAGTCATAGCAAACTGGAAGCTATGGAGTTAGCTCACAGAATGCTAGTCCAGGTGGAACTGTGAGCAAAGCAGTCTTTTCCTTTAAAAAAAAAAACCTAGCCACTTCCAGTTACTTGAGGCAGTGAAACAGAAGCTGAAAGCTCATCTCTGTGGGATGCTGTAGCTGTAGTCCTTGGTAGGATGCTGCCTCATACTGAGTCATATCTTTAGCCCCATCTAACTCCATATCATTGACTCCAGCTACTAGTGGCTTTCCAGGCATTTTTCCAGCCCTCCCTGGAGATGCCAGGGATTGAACTTGGGCCTTGCATGCAATGCATGTGCTCTGCCATTGATCCATGTCCCCTTTTGTTTTGATTAGGAGATAAATGACCACCAAGCATTCCCTCCAAGTCAACTCCGAAAAACTATTATTCTATGTGAGAGTGTTGTGTGGTGATCTTGTGTTTTTAAGGAGCATGTGTACACATTCTGCTTGAATATTATAAAACAAAACTAAAAATATGTAGGTTTGACTGCAGAGTTGAATGAGAGCTTTATTTAATTATCATATCTTTGGACTTCAGCTACCTCAACCAGAAATTACTGTGATCACCTACTAAAACAAAATTGTTTTGAAACTTGGGGTGTATGCTATTCCAGAGTGAAATGGAAAAATCCCCATGTGTATATGAAAGTACAGGACATTTTAAAAATAATTGTTAAGTTTGTGGCCTGCACGCTTATTTTCTCAGCTGTCATTTGATTTGTTTTAAATGCAGGGTTGTAGTTAAGGAGTTAGCAATCCAAATGCCAACCTCTTTAGTTTGATCCTTTTCTTACTTGTTGCCTATCTATAGTCCAGCATGTCATCATCAGCCACAAGAAACTGGGTTTGGAGGGCATTGGAGAAGGATTGTTACAACCCTTTTAATTAAACATTTCTCCTACTTTTCCTTCCACTTGTAGCACAGTGGTCTTAAAGCTCTGGTGCAGTTTGCAGCTGCTCAGAGGACTACACTACCACAAAGCCTGATTCAGCAACATCTTGTACGTCTCCTAGGAGGTAATACATTTTTTTTCCATTATGGGTTTTGGAAAGAAATTTAAAATGTTCATGCAGAACTTCTTTCATGACATTGTTACTTGATTTCAATAAGTGACGGATAAGATTTTTTGGTCCAGAGAGCTTGACAAAGCAAGGGTTGAAAAGAACACAGAGGGGAGGGTATCTTCCTTCATGATGCAACCGCTTCCTTCTCAATTTGTTACCTTATTATCAAAATATGGTCTACCCCTCCCCCAAATGTGTTTTTTTCTTGCAGTTCTTTTGCCTAGTTTAAAAGTGGAAGACACGCCATCCCTTCTAGATGTAGATCTGTTCCATTGTTTGGTAAGTGTTCAGGCTTGTTTATGTAGAGGCTCAAAGTTTTGAAACTATGTGCATGGATTAGTCCCAGTGTTTGTCAGGTCTGGAGTCCTATTTGTAACATCTGTTCTGGATAATTTGTTCTGGGAAGTACTACCTTAGGCTTTTTATGGGCTTGACATGCTTCTTCGTTAAACATGACATTTTCCCCACTAATTTAACTGAAAATGCAGCACCATATCCAAAAGTTTTGCCCTGTTGTATGGAATTAATAAAGCCTATATTTTTCAGTTTGGTTTTCAAGGGGTTTTTATTACTTGTGGAACTACTTTCAAAGTGCTAGGAATCAGCAAGAAAATGTTTATTTAGCAGACAGAAAGACAGAGTGATTTTTACACTGGTTTGGCTTGTTGATCCAATGTTTTGGTGATTTATTTTATTTTTTTGGCCATTTGCTGTTTTCGTTGTTAAATATAACTTGCATGACAATATATGCAATTGAAACATTTGTTAGAATCCAGGTTCGGTCCTGCTGCTTTTACAGCATCTGAGCTGCCTGTGCTATTGGAAGTATTGATTGAGGCTGTACAGCTACATCAGCCTATAATTCATGTGCATAAATAAACTGGAAAATAAATATGCTATACAGGGTCTCAACCATGAATGGAATAATGGTTTAGAGCACCTGATTTTGCCCAATCAAGTGGGCAAAATCAAATTTGTTGGCATCTGTTTCAAAAGACGTAAAATCTTAGGTTACATTTCTTCTAGCAAAAAATAATGTTTTGAGTATATTGGGCACCACAGCATCTCCTTGATAAAGGACTTAATTAAATCAGTCAATTATTGGACATGCAATACTACTAATGCTTCTCTTCTCTGTATGTTTTGACAATGCCAAATGGCAGCTTCCTTTGGGAGGTTGTAATAATTGGAATAAATCTTGTGATGATTTTTAGTATTTAAGGATACAGATATTCTTTTGAATTACTTACCCTTCTCTTGGAATTTAATGCAAGGTCAACATAACTGGCTTTTCTGTACCACTTGGACAGGTAAAAGAATAGTATGACAATGTTGAAAGGATAAGTAGTTTCTTGCATTTACACAATGGATGGAAGGTTTAATGAAACAGTCATTATTGAATGTGTGGACTTTAGATGTATTTGCAAATGAATAAATGTATTGATTTTGGGGCTGCCTTTGAAGTTTATGCATAATTATTTTTAATAATGTATAAGTTTTATTATGTACTGATCTAGGGCTACATATCTATTTGGCTAGTGTGATGGATCTTTTAAATTTCTATCCAAAAACTGTAATGTTTTAATTTCACTCTTTTTCCTTACCTAATGGTACAGTTTGTTTTTATCTTGCACAGTAAACAATAAATTTAAAAAGTGTAATGAATGCAAAGATTAAACACTTTTATTTCATCTGCAGGTTGGTGCTATATTATCATTTCCATCTTTGTATTGGGAAGATCCTGTAGACTTGCAACCTTCATCTATTAGTTCTGCCTGTAATCATCTTTACCTCTTCCATTTGGTCACTATGGCACACATAACACAAATTATTCTCACTACAACAGCAGGTAAAGAAATGTTTTATGTTTCAGGTTTTCTAGATAATATTTGGCAGGAGGTATCTTACAATTTTTTAAAATAGCTGTTGGGAGTGAGCAAGACAGTTGCTCTTGGCTAGCATTTTCAAGGCCTGTTAATTGGAATTAAGAGGAGGATTAAAAACAGGAGGGAGCCTTGGAATGTGTGCCAAATCCAGAAAATTGGAATTTTAAAAAAATCAGCTAACAGCTCCTCCTTTTGGAAGGAGCTCCACACCCTCCTCCAGGTGGACCTCCATCTGTCCTCTGCCCATCATCTCCAGTCTGATGGACAGGCTGATCAGTTGAATGGCTCCCTGGAATAGTATCTCCTCTTTTATGTTAACTGCCAGCAGAATAATTGTGTTTCCTTGTTATCCCTGGCAGAATTTGCCTATAACAACACTCCTAATTCTTCTACCTGCCTTTCTTTGCCAATTTGTTATCATCCCAAGTTCATCCCCGCCATACTGCTCTCCTCAGCTGTTCTGCTGGCAGCAAACTCCTTGCAAGAGTTGTACTCTGTACATACTCTGCTGCAGGAACAATTGGAGTGGGCTAGGTCTGTTTACCAAGGGGTTGCTGACGTATGCTGCCAAAAGAGCATGGACTTGCCTGTGGAAGACTGGATCTGGCTGTCCACTGAGTATTTACCTTTCTCCTCTCCCTCCAGGAAATTGGCAGCACGTTGCACTGGCCCATTTCAAATTACTGCACAAATCAAGCTTGTGGTAGTCAAACTGTCATTGCCCCCTTTGCTGAAAATACACCTATTGTTGCCTCTCATCCCCTCTCCTGGCTAGATACCCCCTTTCCTCCCAGGAGGTGCTCCACCCCTATTCTGGTGGCAGGAGAGGGGCTGAAGTGCAGAACATTCTGGACTTCAACTTTCATGATGGTATGCTGCAGTATTAGGTGGAGTGGAAAGAATATGGTTCAGAAGACAGGTTATAGGAACCCATGCACAATCTTGTGCCCTAGTTTTAATTAGACATTCTTGGTTCCCTTGCAAGCCAGTGGGGAAGCAGCCTTTGCCCTGGAGGAGCCCTCATGGGAATGGGGGTGATGTCAGGAGTGAGAAAGACAGTTGCTCTTGGCCCATATGACAAGGCCTGCTGATTGGAATTAGATGAGGAGGAGAAAGGGGCCTTGGAATGTGCAGCAAATCCAGATGTTAAAATGAGAGAAGCAGAGGCACTTATCTCAAGGCCAGACTCCCCAGGTGTGCAGGCAGCCTCTGAGAATAACTAAGTTGTGCTGTTACCAAGAGGAGCCTGGAACAAGCGAGTTCCACAGAGACAGATGAGGTGGGTATGGCTCTCAACCCTATTACGAAACATCAGCAGAGGAGGGCAGACCAGTTAGTGGATTGGTATGCAAAGAAGAGGCATGCTCATTTCCAAAAGGCCCCTTCCTCATAGGTAGAGTTCCTAAAAGTAAATACTAGGTTGGATTCAACAAACTGTTCTGTGCATGCTCACAGATTTCCTTCTGGGTGTTTGTACTTCTGGAAAATGCTTTGGTCCATAAAGAACGTTTTGCAAGAAAGGTCTGTGGCTTTGAATGTGCAAAGGGAGGAACCCTAGCTCATGACAATAGTGCCATACATTTGTAATGTTACGTTCATGTTTTGACCTTCCAGGATCCTAAGTGGGGTAAAGTACATGTTAGAAAAGGCAAAGCAAGGATCCCCTACCCATGCATAAGTAGGATTACAATGACTCTTTCCTTCTCCCACTATCACAGTCCAGCCATTGGTTGAGCATGGATGTTTCTCTCATGTCCCTTAAAAAATGGTTTCTAGCCCTCTGAGAAGGGTGTGTCAGTGCTCAATCAGCAAAGGATTTGTCTGGTGACATAACACTGAGGACATTGGTGCTATAGCCTGAGAGCTCAGCGGCACCTCCGAAGAGACCACCAGCCTCTTTTTCCCACATCTCAGCTATGAATTCATTGCAAGCACCCTCTGTTGCTCAGGGGACAAATGTTGGTTGAATGTAATCAGGCTCTTCCCATTATTAAAATTAGTAAGCAGGCTACAAAATTTGGGCAGGGAGAAAGGAAGTGGATGATTGGTGAATGAAGTCATGGGCTCTTGCAGGATCATTCAACTGTCCATGTCTGTTCCTCTTTTCCAAGTGGAAGATGTAGAGTGAGGACTGGGAAAGGACCTGTAGTCTCTCCAGGTGAAGGCAGGTGGAGCAAATACATTCATCTTTTGTTTCACAGTGTTTAAAGGAAGGTGTTAGCTCGGAGCTGGCGAACAGAGATAGGGAACTTGTGGGTGGGAAGAGAGTTCTTAGAACATCACTGCTGTGGCTACTTCCTGCTCAAGACATTCCTCCCATCTTCCTCAGTCCCAGGACTTGTGCATTACTTTCTGCTCCAGAACTCTTCCCCTCCTGGAAGAAGCTTTTTGCATGATAGAATTGAAGACATCATACCTAGGTTTCTTATGTAGCCACTCATCCAGGCCCGAGTGAGGAATGGCAGGTCATTCTAATCCAGACAGTTTCTGCAGGAGTCTGATTAAAAGGTAGATAAATGAGGAACTTGAATAGCCCCCCTGTTGTTGTGAGTTAATCATGACTGGCCAACCTGAGGTGGTAAACATAAGGTTTCAACAGGACCAGCCCATGTCTATGTCGTTGCCTTGGGGGTGTTTTAGTCTAGTTAACAGCATCAGAACATCTGCCATGATAATCATCAAGCTGATGGCCACAAAATCTGTCTACCTTTCATTCTGCATATGTGTCTTTTGGGCTTAAGGCTGCATTTTGCCTTGGCCCAGCATCATGGAGTGAGGGAAATTATAATCAATTTCTGTATTCATCCTGGATGTAGAAGTGGCTTGGCCATTATTTTGTGCACAGTGATGACACTATATAAAATTTTAAACAGTGGGAAAGGAGCAGATTATACAAAGATCTGGAAAATCTGTATATGCAAAATTGTAAATGCTACTTTATAAAGTATTTTAACCTTTAAAAAAACTGTTTCAATCACCTTTGCACAGAACATCCCGCTGCTCAGATACAGAGTGATTGTGAGGAGGCACATGCTGCTGACTCTTTTTGTAAAGAGCTTTGCAGATACACACATGGGTAAGTAGTTTCTCTGTAACATGCCTTGATGTGTAAGGTATGTATTGTACTGATGTTTCACAGTTTTCAAGGCAAAGCTGAGGAAAGCTGGAGGCTGATGCTTGCCTCCTTAGCATGCCCATCTACCAAGGAAGGGAAGAGTGGAAAGGAAAGAGGGTCATTTCTCTCTGGGCGGGAGGACAGCTAAAGAAAGCAATGGGGCATCCAGGCAGAATGGGTGTGGTGGCTAGGAAGGGTGGCAGTAAGCCAGTCAAGGAAACCAACAGTTGGGACAGGGGGAGCAAAAGTGGCAGGATGCCAGGGTGCCACAGAGGATGCTTATTTTAACCAGGATGAGTTCGGCTATCAGCTTATGTTTTGACTTCTCCCTCCAATTCATTGTTTTTTTTTAATCACTTGTAAGCAAAGTGCATATTTGTAGTATAAGCAGGGGAGGGGGGGGGGGGGGGATCTGTATTTTACAATGTAAGGGCTTAAAGAGTGTTTCCAGACAAAAATGGTCTCTTGTCAGTTGGGGGGACTAAAAGCTTCTGTCATCCTTCTGACCATTGGTATTTGATAGCTGGGAATTTGTATTACGTTTATATACGTTTTTTACAAGATCATTAGGAGTCCAAATATATAATTATTTATAGTAGTATGTCCAACTTCACTATTCTATGATTCTATGATACCTATGTATTTGAACTGTTTTGCAGTTGCTATAGCCAAAGAGTTCCTGGTTGGTATTTGTGGGATTGTATTAAGAGGGGCATCACACCCTATCTCCGTTGTGCTGCTCTGTTTTTCCATTACTTGGTGGGAGTGCCGCCACCTGAGGAACTTACATTGGGTAAGTCACAGAGTGTACTAACCTTACCATGCCAAACTTGAATCAGAACAAAATCAAAAACTAGTTGGGAAAAATCAGCTGCTACAGAACGGTTACCAAACTGTTTTCTTTCTTCACAGTTTCAGAAGACTATCAGTTCAAGGCACTTTGTGACTACTTGTCTCTGCCCACCAATTTGTTCTTGCTTTTCCAAGAATATTGGGATACTATCGAACCCTTTCTCCAAAGGTATTACCTGTTGTGAAATATCTTCTTTAGGTACTTCCACACCAGATAAGATCGTCTCAAAAGGTAGCTTTCAGAAACGCAAGAAAGTGTTTCTTGGTCCTTTTAGGGAGACTGTTCAGCAACCCCTTTCTTTGCCCTTCAGTTCTGAAGCCATCACAGGTAGTAAATAAAGAAAAAAGGCTCCGACAGGGCAGGAAGCTTATTTCCCCAAGGCCTTCATGGAGATTTGTGCTTTGTTTAGCGGAGAAAGGTTTAAAGGAGTGGAGTCTGTTACCAGCAATCCCTGGAAGCATGAAAGTAGGGCATTCATTTTTAAAAAATAAATTCTACAGACATGTGGAGGAAAAACACTGTCCTACCTACTGTAAAGATTCATTCCTGCTTAGTATTTTCCCTGTTTTCCCACCAATACCTCTCAATGCTTAGCTACCTACTTTATTAATATAGGAAATTATTTTAATTATAAATTTATTTAAAACTTTTATAAATAAGAGTATATATTATAAACATAATATATAAATAAGAGTATATCCATTATTCTGATGGATAACTTTTCTCACAGATGGTGCACAGATCCAACTGTTCTCAGCTTTCTGAAGGGGAAAAGTATCACAATAAGGTTGGTTTCACTTCTTTTGATTCTGAAATGGAAGCTGTCTCACTTGTATTTGAATATTCGGATCCAGTGGATTTTCATCCTTTCAACTTTAGAATGTTGTTTTCAAGTGCTTGATGAAATTTGCCTTGGTGTTATCAAAGGAAAGGCAGAATAACTATTTGATTGAAACATTTTCAACCTCATGCCTAATGGCCAAATCCAGCCGTCTGGGCTCCTAATCTAGCCTTCTAGAGTTCCCTAGGTAGTGATGCACCCTTCCTCTGACCTCTTTTCTCCACAAATGATCTGTTAATTTTCTACAATTCCATCCCCCTGCCCCCCACTACCTGTAATAGTTGGCATGCTTTGGGTAAGGATCATTTATTAGCAGTAAGAACTTTTGGTTACATTATGCTGGTATTTTTTGTAATTTTGGCCCTACTCCTTTTGCTTTGGCCTCATCCATCCCTGAAATGTGTCCCTCAAGAGCTTCTTCCTAATTGAATATGAGCCTTTGGAAAAAAATAGGTTTATCACCCTGCTTTTGACATAGCCTGAACAATGTGCATCTCCTGTCAGACTTTTAGCCTTTTTCTCATTTAGATTTCAGTGCTCTTTGTGTTGCAATATACAGGACAACTCTTTGAGATCACAAGGCAAACGTCTTAAGTCAAAACAGACAGAACATGGAAGATCATGTTTTTATAGGTACATAACAGCACGTGCATGGGTCTCTGAAGTTGGTTGGAGGAGCCAGCTTGGAATGTTTATACCTTGATGGATATATCAAAAACAACACAAATGTTGTGGCATCTCAAAGACTAAAAATAATCATGGCATAAGCTTTCATGACTACAGCCTACTTAGCCAAAAAAAGCTTATGTCATCATAAATGAGTTAGTCTTTAAGATGCCACAAAATGCTTTGGCTGGTGGAGGACAGGTGGAGAATTAAAACTCCCCTTTCTACTGCCAGTATTCTGATCAACTTCAACCCCCACCCCCCACCCCAATGCTGCTGGTATGTGGATAGAAAAAAATTGGAAGATCACATCACAGATCTCTTACATTCTGTGTGTCCCTAGATTGAGATAATTATCTAAAAAGAGAAGTAGGAAGGTTAGCTTCTAGGTTGTGCAGTGTTTTGGCTGATGACTTTTTAATTCCCCATAGTATGTGTGATGCTTATGTAGAACTCTCACTTGCAAGCTGTCATTGCCCTGTGCAAGCCAAACTTTTGAGAAACTGTAGAAGGTTCAGCATTAAGCAGAAAATGACTTCTTTAAGTGTTGCTTTGGTCTATAATTGTGTCCTAGAATACAATAATACTTTTTGTGTTAACCACCTAGCTACCCAAGGAAAAAAAATAAATTGGTAGAACTTCCAGAAGACTACAGCTGCCTTTTGAATCAAGCTTCTCAGTTTAGGTGAGAACCATAAATTCTGTTTTATTCATTTCATTCCATAGCACCTGATAGCTAAAGTACCCTGGGTAGTTTACAAAGATTAAAAGCCTAAACATACAATATGACAGCATAATATAAAACATTATCAAATAATAGTAGCATTCTCTACAACAATATAATAAAATCCTTTATTGATAGCGTGATAGAAAATATACAACAATGCAAAATCCATTTTTAACCATCAGTTAAAACATCTAGCATCTTGAATTGGACTCAGAAATGTACTGGCAGCTCATGCAAGTGGGCTAGAACTGATATTGTGTGTTCGAATCTTCTGTTCCCTGCTATCAACTGCACTTTCTTACCAGCTTTCAAAAAAGCACTGCATAGACCACATTGTGGTCTAACTGTGTAAACTGTGTCTGTAGACTAGTGAAGCCAGGTTATCTCTGGCCATACAGGAGCATAGCTGGGCCACCATATGAAGCTGGTAGAAGGTAATTCATGCCACTGAAGCTGTCTGATTTTTAAAGAAGCCCTGATGAAATGAAAATTACTTATGAATCAGGCTTTTGCCTGATGGTGTGTTCGTACAGTCTCTTTCTAAAATGCTACACTGGCTCCGAAGTTCTCTCTGTAGTCAACTTTACCATTTCAGATGCCCTCGATCTTCTGATGATGAAACCAAGCACCCTGTATTGTGTTTGTTCTGTGGGGCTATGTTGTGTTCCCAAAACACCTGCTGTCAGGAGCTCATGAATGGGGAGGAGGTGGGAGCCTGCGCTTCACATGCCATCCATTGTGGTGCTGGAGTGTGCATCTTTCTCAAGTAGGTAACTGGCTAGAAATAAAACGAATGGTAGGGATGGGGTGGGGATGTGACAGATTTCTCTTCCAATTTATTTCTAGAAATTGGATACAGAGGGATACACATTAATTTTGGAATATCCATTTCCTGTGATGTAACTTAAAATGGTTTGGAATTAGATTACCCTAATCTAAATAATAACATAATTAATTGTGGTTTGGACTGCTGTTTTGAGAAAAGCCTTGGCCTCTTAATTTAGGTCCTCCCCCTGCAATTTTGCATTAAGCTGATTATTAAAGGCGAAAGGTTTTTTTTAATGCTAGTTTGTTAACTCCAGTCTGGTGTCAGTAGCACAATATTCTGATGTTCACAGAAATTAATTGGAATAGTTGTGGAATAGCTAGTCAGTTCCCCCGTCTCTCCTCATGAGTCCACATCCAGAGGATGTTGGAAATCAGCACCAGCACTGTGGTAGAGCCAGACAGAAGCCCACAGAAGTGGGTGGGTATAAGGTAATTATCCCACCCTTTCTTACACTTCCAAGCCTCTGCCAGGGGATAGGAAGCTCTGAGTAGGAGAGGATGGTTCCTTGAGGTGCTGAGGGAAAGGGGGTCCTGAAAATTGGGCAGAGGCATGTCCTGTGAGGAAGAGCTCTTCTTACAAAATGTGCCTTTAACTCTCTTTGGGAATCCCCTCTTTCCTTTCTGGGACCCATGCCACAGCCTACCCTATTCAGCAGGGTTCCTTGATGTCTGGGAGAGGCTTTTCAGGGGGCTCCTGGGAAAAAGTACCCACCCCCTGCTATAGACTTTTCTCTTACATATGTCTTTATGTATCCTTATATATGGTTTGTATGGTGAAGTTACCTGCATATCACTTCTTTGACTTAAATGTTTTCTCCTTCAGAATTAGGGACTGCAAAGTTGTCCTGATTGGGGGCAAAATCAGAGGCGCTTTTTATCCTGCACCATATTTAGATGAATATGGGGAAACAGATCCAGATCTTGTGTAAGTGGATGCTTTTCTCTTTATCTTCTAAGAAACCCTCATCTCAGTGTTATCTAGGATTTCTTATAATATATCTATATTACAATTAGTTGATGTCCCAGAGATCTGGCACATGCTCATCTTGCAGTTTTTAAATAACTGTTTGAATTCCTTTTGGCTGTTCTTATCCTTTATAGCAAAAATATGCATTTCTCATAATAGTGGCAGTAACTTGTTATTTGATTGTCATACAAGAGAGGATTTTGTTGCTAGCAAAAGTTCTATGTTGAAACTAGTCACTGGCCCCCAATGTGAGTTAACTGATAGCTCTTAATAGCTAGTGTTTTCAAGACATACCTGCTTGAATAAAAATCAAAATAAAACACAGCTGAAAAGTGCTTATCCATTTTCTTAAACCTTGTTTCTCTTTGAAGAAGAGGCAACCCGCTACATTTATGTCATGAACGATACTGGAAACTCCACTTGTTATGGCAGCAACACTGCATCATAGAAGAGATTGCTCGGAGCCAGGAAACTAACCAGATCTTCTTTGGATTCAACTGGCACCTACTCTGAGTATTGGACTCTACTAGACTGAATTGCCATATCTTAAAAAGTACTTAAGTACTGAAAGACATACTGAAATGCTTACAGTAAGGAGAAATGACTAGCCCAGGTTCAGGTATTAAAACCTTTATTGGTTCACACATCAAAAACATACATGCTCAGACAGACACACGCATACAGTGAGTGCTGATTAATAAGAACCAGAAATTGCTGGATTAGGAATGGGATGTCACACGTTTTGGTGAGTTGACTTTGATCAACCAAGTCAGCTTTGTACAACTAATTTAGACATTGTGAACTACCTTCTGTTATCCTTAGATCCAATCTTAATCCAAATAAAAGGATATATAATATTTTCTATCATGTATATTGGCAGAAATTCAGAATGCACCCATGACCTTTTAAATGGCTTCAGGGCTTCTGGATGTGGTGGTGGTGGTGATGATGTACTTAGACCTATTTAATTCCTCCGTATTCTACTTTTGTTTCCTCCTCCAGCTTAGCAGTTCTCACAGTAGCCATAGTGTGTACCTGGCATGGTAGGTGACCATCTTAGGCGGTGCAATGTTGCCAGGCATCTAGTTATCCACAGCAACAGTCAAAGGGTGAAGAAGTGCAAGTAAGAATACCCTGTGAAGGTTTTTGAAATTTACTTGAGAATACTTTGAGAAGAAAAATGTGAGTAGTAATCTGCTGCTTAAATCAACAATGGAACCCCCCCACCCCGCTAATATTTTAAGTCTCTTTAATCAGTACACCCCGGGGGCTCACAACCCACTGCCAAGGTGTGGCTGTGGTAGCCAGACGTTGTTCAAGCTGTGGTACCTTGCTTACCATGGATCAGCATAGACTGTAGACTGCAGTAAAGCTGCTTAAGTGCACATCTGCTTTCCAGCATCTAGAGGCTAATAGAAGTTAGAGCAATTAAATAAAGATGGAAGCTAGTTCAAGGTATGTACAAAGGCCCTTTAGTTGAGTCTTAAGTTTTGATTCTGTGGAGAGTTCGGTGACTGCATGTTGTCTGGTGTCATCATGCTAACTGCACAAACAAGTTGTTTTCTATAGCTAGTAATGTATTTAGGTTGGAATTGCAATGTTTGAGTCACTCCTTGTGTATGGGTTAGAGCTGTGATTATGTCCAAGGGAGCTTGTAATGAAATAAGAAAAAGTAACCTATGCCTTCTGTAACTATCACCTCCCAAGGAATTAGCTTTTTTCAGTCGTAAAACTCTGACACACTTTATTTGTGTGTTCTGGCCTTCCTCTTCCTTTTTGAATGACCCTTTGCATAGGTTTCAGATTTTAAGAGATATGAAAGAGAAGGATATGAAATGCTGTATGGATTTTTGTGAGAGGAAATAAATGTTTTCTATTTCTTAAAAAACAAACTAAACAATTTCCGATTGGCAATATAAAATGGCAGGTGGTGAAACTGGAAGATAGGACTTGCCAATTAATATACATGTGTGCACTAAAGAGATATTATCTCTGTTATAGGCTAAGTAGGGTGAATTAGAATGTTGATTATGTTTGGTATTTAGATGATCCCTTTAAAAACTTTGCTTACTTATCCCTTTAAGTTTTCTGTGCAGTGCAAACGATCTTCTGTGCCTGTCTGTCTTTAGTTTAGTGCCACAAAGATTTTGTTGTTTCCCTGGGTTTTTAAAAAATATGGTGAGTCCCTCTGCAGATTAGCATCATTATGGCGAGTTCCAATCAGAAACTAAAGCAAGTTACAAAAACAGTTGTTACGAAGGCATATGTACTGAGGTTAGTGGAGAGTGTTCCAGTAGCACTGCATGCTAAGCAGAGATTAATCAAAGTTCTTCCTTCATTATAGGTGTCTTTCCGATCTTTACTTAATGCAACACCTTTTGATTAGATAACCATTTATTCATAAGTTGCTTAGGATTTTACAGAGGAATTTTACTTTGATATGTCCTACTGCAGTAGTTTTATCATATCCTCAGAAGTGCTTCTTTGTTAGTGCAGGAGGACCTCGCACTGTTTTTGGCATCCTGCCCTATTTTTCTTATGTAGATCATCCTTCCCCAACCCTGTGCCTTCCAGTCACGTTTGGACAGCAACACCCAGAATTCCTAGTCAATAGTCCTGCTGGATGGGAATTCTGGAAGTTGTGGTCCAAATGCCTCTGAAGGCCACCAGGTTGGGGAAGGTTGATGTAAATGATTCCAAAATATCAAATTCTTCTGTTCTCCCAGAAATAAAATAGTGATCTAAAAATGTCCTGAATATGACATCTTGCTGTGGTTACTTGGAAAGAGAGGCTGGGAAGCAAGATATCTAATGAAGAGGAACAAGATGAGTGCAACATTCACTGTGGTTTCTCAAACAAGCAAGCAGTGAATTTAATCTTGAAAACAGTGGGCATCATCCAGCCAGCACTTGAGAGTTCCACTGATTTCAGTTAGAGTTAAGCCATTGTTTATGATCTTAAATCAAATACTTTTGGACTTGAAAATATTTTAATGCTGGCTGAATTGTAAAATTAATTTGCATTTCAGTCATATATGAATGCTGCTATCACTGACTTCAACAGTGTACAATTGCAATAGTTAGGACAAAGTATATGTGGTCCTTTAGAGGAAGCAGACATTTCACTGATCAATCATTTGGAGAGATGGGGATACTAGTGGAACTGAATTGAGCCCCCTCCTTACAGCCAGTGGGTGGGATTCTAGCTTCATTTCAAAGGCTATGTGCATGCAGGACAGTAGTCTGCTCAGGGCAAGGAATTAGGCACACAACAGATCTTTGCACGCAGTTCCCTATCCAGCTTAAAGGTATGTATGCAGAAACCCAGCTGGATTTCAGTGCTTGTACTCACTGCTCAGTTTCTTGCTAAAACTCTCCTGAATTGAGCTGGGGCAGGGGGAGTAAAACAGTGGCTTCTGTTCTTACGTGTTTGGACTTTTCTAGCAGATGAGTTCAACATTCATGCACAGGTTAAGGGCGAATGGTCATTTGTAATTCCTTCAATGACTATGCAGTTTGGTTCACTGTGAGTATAGTCTGTATTTAGTGAACACACAATACTAAATGCCACTGATTTGATTTATAAGGACTATAAATGGAATTTTATTTACATACATGCATATATTGGTATCCTTTAATTGCAAAAATGTAAATTTGAGCATTGTATAACGTTCTTGTCCTTTTAAATATCTTTATGTATATTTAAAAAGGAAATAAAGTAACTTCTCATACATTGTAGGTTTTCATTTCTAACGAATTTCATATGCCTAGACTAATATATTGGATAACATCAAGTAAGAAAAGCATTCTAGCAAATTACTAGCCAATATAGGAAATAATTTGATTATTAACTTTTCTCATGTACTGAAGTGCTGAATCCTTGAACCTTCCCCCTTTATTTCAGTGTCAATGTACTATTTTCTCAGTGCAATATTTAATAGTAGTTCAGTGTGACTTACTGGATTTCATATTGGACTATTTTCAACCACATCACCAAAAACATGTATATAGCATGTTAATGCTTGTGAAATCAAGCAGCCTATTTTCCTTATCAAAGTAATTATTATCTAGTCAGCAGACTAGTGTTTTCCCGTTTGTACAGTAGGCTTAGAATTAAAGGTTTTAAAACCTAAATGCTACAATTGTTTGTACTAAGTGTTATAAACTGGCCACAGCTGCACGAAACAGTAAGCCAGGATTCTGGAGAAACCTGATTTGTCATGAACAAGAGTTCTTATCCACTGGGTTCTTCTGGTTAGTGTGCTCAGGTAAACTAACCAAAACCTGAAGGTTACTGTGTTAGCAAAACTTGAGATCCTAACTTGTCTATTTTACGAGCTAGGGTTCATAAGCAAGAGTGAATCTTGGTTTATGTTCCTGGCCTATAAAGGGAGCAATATTCTAGGATTCTGGGTTCATGGAAAATGATGGCATCTTTGCCTCTCATAAAATCCTATGAATGAGGCAGGATGATGGCACAATAAAGTCTTGTCTGGAAGCTTTCATTCTGAAGTGTGGGAACTGCATAAGTCCCAGGCCATGACATATACCATTGTGATGGTGCCTTTCTTAATGCCAAAATATATTGTGCCGACATAAATTTTGCCATCTGCAGCACAGGAGTGATGCACAAAGTTATTAACAACACAGGAAGAGTCACAGATGTTCCCAGTAAAAATTCTGCCTGTAACATTGATACTTACAAGGTACACTGTGTCGGTGCAAACATGTAATAACTGCCTGTTGCAGCCATCAGTTGGAGATGAATTGATGGCACAACACAATAGGCTATAATCACTAGCCCAGATTTCTGATATCTGAAGCAGATGTTTTTAGAATCTGTAAAATTGGCCTAAGGATGAGTCTATGCATGCATGTCCTTTGTCAATGACTGAATAAGAGGTCAAGAAATTGCCTTCAGCCAGGACCCACCATAAAGAGACATCTTATCACAGACTGACATTTTTATTATAACATTTCATTACTACATAAAAGTAATATACAACATAGTAATATATGATATAGTCAGTATGGATGCTAACCAACATTCTTTCAGTGGAAGCAGTTCACATGCTCAGCTGCAAGTCATCAAGTGAGGACACTGAAGAAGGTATATGCACTTGTGAATCAGACCTATGTGAAGGCCTATGTTGAGGGGCCATGAGCGGTAGAATGTTGCAATGAACCTGCCATATTCAGAAAGGCATAAAATATTTTTCAGTTATCCAAAAATTGCAAGGTTCATGGTCTATTTGAAAAGAATGGACAGGTTTTCATGTTCTCCAAACTAAAAAGTATTGCTCTTGCTCATTCTGATAGTTTTATGCATTGATGAAAAAGGGGATCAGAAGTCTCCAGTGAATCATACTTTATTTCTGTATCTGAGCAGATAACAGCAGCTGACAGACTCTTCAAGTTAATGCCATCTGTGTCTCCTTGAATTAATGAGAATTAGAACAAGGGCCATGCAGCTGTCTTGAGTTGGGTTTTCTTGGAATAGATTTTAACTCCGCAAAATAGTTGTTCTGAGCTGAAGCATCTTTGTGGTAGGCAAGAAAGAGGCAGGCTGATTCAGGTGTCCCCTTTTGAAAATGTAAAGTTGGGATAGTCTAAGGAGGCATGTTTAAATTTAATGCATAACCTGTATCCCTTAATAGTTACATCATTAATTTGTGTAACATTATCCTGAATATATACTCGTGTTTAAGCTAAATGCTTTTCTGCATCAAATGCAGGTCTACTCAGACAAGTCTTATTTGCAAGGATAAGCTAATATGTAGGCTACTGGAAATTTGCAGTGGACTAGAGTGTGCTATTTGCCCATCCTTGGGCTGGATGCATACATTTTTAATATGGTAAGTTAATTCTTTACAAAATGCATATATGAAAGAGAAATCTTCCTTACAGGTGTTGCCCTACAAGCAACTTTCAAGACTGTTCAGTGTGTGACTTATTTCTGCCAAATGTTTGAATCTAAAAGATATGCCTAGACTGTGTCCATTCTATTTTTCTTAAATGTTCACCAAACCTTACTGTGAATCTTGCTATCTGCTCTGCGCCATGCTGGTCTGGCTTAATATTTGGGTTAAGTTATTAATAGGTTTAATTTGCATTTACACAAACAATGGGCTGGCTTCCGTTTTAAGTCTTATAATGCCCTGGGAAGAGATACTACCTGAATGTTGCAAGAAGAATGTGTTCAGTGTATGACATGAATGGAAATACAGAAAAGCTGTTTGAACCATCATCTGGTGAATGGTGTAATACAGATGTGGCTGTGCCATAAAATTTCTTGATTTTTTCACTATTAGAGTGGTGAATAAAGAAAGGAATTTATTTCTTGCTTTATATTTCTTCCAGTTGCCTGGTGCAGTCAAAACTACAAAACAATCTCTGCAAGGCTACAGTAATGTTATTGGAACAAACTGAGTTCATGGGAGAAAATGCAAATACATGTATACTTGAAGGGATTCTGGCAAACAGAATGTTTACAATAAGTGATACTGGCCTTAAAATGTATAAACTGCTGGTTTACATCGGCTGATCTCAAACATGTGCTTATACATTGGGAGAATGCCTCTTGGGGTTTATTACGTACATGCAAACACTGGTGTGTGTCCAATGGTGTTCACCTTACTTCTCCAACCAAGGATGTTAAAGATGTATGGCACCCATCTTCTTAAAACATTGTTTTTCAATTTAAAAGAATGAAAGGGAGATAGTAATATTACTTCAGTATATTCCCATCCTTCAAAATGAATCTATAAATATCTAGAAATATGATAAAATGGGAACTGAAGAGTGATTTCCTCCTCTCCTTTAGTCAAAATAGCCACTGCTTATAAACTTCTATAAAGCCTTAGTGTTTTTATCTGGTACCTAGTTCTGAATTACAGAAAAGTTGCTACTTGTTACCCACAATGTCCACATAATTCAGCGCACCCTAACCCTATATTGTAAGGTGCAGTGTGTTTTCCATTAACAGGATTTCCTTTTGCTCTATCTCATTGCCTTACTCAAAATATAGGCACAATAATTTATCTTTGATTATGACAGTGAGCAATGGACAGAAGTTTACTGTGGATATTTCATGGTTAACCAGTTTCCTGTTGTTTATCATCTCTGTGAGTAGATGGATTTTGTTAGCTTATAAATTCCTTTGGATACTGAGTTAAACCTTGATGGTAATCTATATTCATTTAATAATTTTAGCACCTTTATAAGGATTCCCCTTCCCCAAATTAAAAACTGTAACTGCGTAAAGGCATTTTCCCTTTCCTGAGAAACATGGAGTAATAATGGATCACATTCATACTAGCCTTACCACAATCCATATTTCCTAAAGTGGATTTTGTCATAGCAAGAGGAAGATGATACAACTCCTTTTGGCTGTGGGAGTGGAAAATGATTTTTCCTTAGCTCTGCTCTAAGCAAATAAAATCTCAGCAAAATAGAGTAAAATAAGGATAACTTGTAACCAGACTGAATAAGTGATTAATTATTAATTAATAATCCCATCATTCTGAAGCTCTCTGTTTCCCAGACTTGTTTCTTGTATCAGTGAAGTCTTTTTCTTAGGGTGCACATTTCATTAACAATGGAAATAGGATACAATGGGGGGGGGGAACTTGGAAAAAAACACTAAATTTCATACCATACTCTATTATAAACAAGAGAACAGAGTTATTGGAAAAACTAGGTAATGCTGTAGATTTACTGAAACTCTGATCAATAAGATGAAGTTCTGCCATGCACCAGAAATCCCCATATTTGGTTCAGATAGCAGGATGTAATTTACCAGTGTCACACTTGGAATTCCGGTTTTATTCTTAGGTGGAAAAAAACCAGCTAAATGCACAGTAATGATTGTGGCATCCAGTCATAATAAAGTCTTCTATGCTGCATCCAGTTAAGCTGTGGGGATGCATTTTGTTGAAACATTCTCTGGACTGTGGTTTGCAGTTAGAACATCCATGTTGGGGTCATTCATTCCTGAAACTGTGGATATCTGATTAGCTTTGCCAAGATTTTTAATGATGTTGATGTTGTATTTGGCAGTTTCTACAAAGCTATTCTCAAGTAACCACCCATCTGAATCACAGTGTGGATCACCCAGAAGAAGTACATTCTTCATTGCTGTTTGAAGATAGCGGACCCCAGTAAGCACAGACAGCTAAAGTAAAAAGTGAAGCAAATTAGCATTTGAAATGGTTAACAAATAGATTATTTCTTGTTTTCTGTGTTCCACAATGCAAAATTGAGAATATTGGGATAACAACTGTTCCATCCTGCATTTCCTTGATTTTTGGCATTTACATTACTTGCTTTAAATGCTTTAACTCTGCAACTTAACATAGTGTGTAATCACTGATTTGGCCTTTGCCTTTTGAAATTTCAGGATACATGTGTCAAATAAAGATTTCTAGGTGAAGTGATAATTATGTCATCTTCTAAACTTAAAACTTTCCCACATTCAGGACAACCACACTGATCCTCCCATTTCCCTCTTCTTTTCCTCCTCCAGTCCTTTCCTCCCTATGTGTGTAAGTGTGTTAAACAAAATTACATTACTGGACATTTGGAATCATAATTCAAGGAATTAATCAAAAGAGAACTAATTCTAAGCACTTCTGCCTCACCCCACACCCCCAAACAGAGCTATGTTCTGTTCTCCTTTCTGAGGACATTTCCTGAATGTGTATACTGCAGACCATTTGAGACCTTTAAACGGCAATCCTGTACATGTCTACTTAGAAGCAAGTCCTGTTGAATTCAAGTAAGTGAATATAGGATCAAATATGGTTGGACTGCAGTAGCCCATTTAGCCTGACCATACTGACTCCATCTTACCCAGGTCCAAGAGACAGAAGACTCCCTTTCGCAATTAGTTGCAGGTCTCTGCTAAAAGAACAGGGCATTGTGCTAGCATCACAGTGCAGATGCCCAGGTTGAGGTCATTTCAAAGTCGTGTACCACAACATTGCAAATCTATTGAATAAACTGTCCATGTGCTTAACCATGAGGAATTTCCTGGGATCCTAGACGTGGAGATGAGCCATTAATGGGCAGACAAAAAATGAGATTCTTCTGGAATCTCTACCCAAGCAATGGGGAAGGAACAAAAGGACCGGAAAAGGAAATTTAGGGTCTTTCTCTTCTATCAGAGGTACCACATACAATTCACCTGGGAAGAAGGGCAGCTTGGCCTGGCACCAGGGGAGACTACCAAGGGTTTTTCAGTAGAGGCATCCAGGTGTAAATTTTCCTCAAACAAATTGGGGAAGAACTGACATGGGCAACCAGGAACACCTTACTACAGACATAGAGGGTCTTCATGGAATCGGGTAGACAGCTTGCCCTAAACATGGGTAGGAGTGGACCCTTAATTGATCACAGTGCTGGCAGTTTCAAGGAGTTAAGTAGTTTCTACCCCAATATCAATGGAAAAAGTTAGAAATTATCAATTGGCCAGGCAAGTTTGGATTATGATCATGACATTGCACTTTTATCCCACCTTTGTGCCTCTTACAAGAAATCCAAGGCAGATTACACATTTCCACTTCATTTTATCCGCAACAATCTTATCAGGTAGGTTAGGATGAGAGTGACTGGCTGGCCCAACCTAATGAGCTTCAGTCCAGATCTCCCAGGTCCCCAGTCCAACAGCCTAATCACACCACATTGCTTTTATTCCTGTGGTAACTTCTCCAACACCTGCTTATCTTTATGTTAAGGGGGATTCTGGCCTAGAGCTATTCAGTCACAATCCCAAAGAGATCAGCCTTGCACCATTGGCTTCTCAACCAAGGACACAGGCCAGATGTCTGAACCTGCAGTTCCTCTCATATGGAACATGATTACCATCGTAACAGCACTTTATCAGTAGGGAAAGCTAACTTGTCTCATAACTGCTTATAATGGATTTACAGCCCAATCCCATGGGTTGTGCCCTTAATGTTTGTAAACCCCTAAACTTGCAGGATTACAAGCATCTGTGCAGCACAAGAATTATAGCAGAGATGATCCTGCCTTGCATTTTTACAATCCATTTAGCTGGAGCATTCTAGAGGGGGAGGAAAGGAAGCTGAAGGGGGCCTCAAAGCAGCTCATGTCCTGGCCTCTCCAGTTTCTTCTCCCCACCCTGACCACTGAAACACTCCCTTTTATTCCTCTCTATGGTTGCATTTCCAATCTGGAGAGGCTGCTGTATTGTGGGGAGAGAGAAAGCGGGTGTCCTAGTTCTGAGGTCAGAGCTCTATCCAAGGTTGGAGCTGAACAACATTACCATTTAGCCTCCTGAATATCAAGGCACCATAGGATTGCTTTGTTAAATATGTTAATATTGAATTGTTAGCTGCTTTTAAAATGTATGGGCTTTTAAATGTATAGTCTTTTAATCTGTTCTAGCCCTCCATTTTTCCAAGGCTTCTGCTTAAAGATTGTGAAATTGAGAGTAGCTCTTACCACAATTTTCTCCAAGGGTTTACTTTCTCTGCCTTTCTATATGTTCCATTGCACAACCACAAAGTGGCACTGTGATATAGCAGACTGACAAAAATATACAATACAAATTTTGCAGTGTTTTATACTGTGTTACCCTTTTACTGGCTCATTTTTAAAAGCCTCAGAAAATCAAGAGAGAGGCCTTGGAGGATGACAAGATCTTGTAAAGTGGCTGCAAATTATGATAGATGAAGAATTGCAGCAGCACAATAAATGCCTCCTGTTGGGATTCCTTTGTTTAATTTGTCCATTTTTACTTTTGTAATATACAGGATATTTTCTCCCTGTCATATTGAGATTCCCTGGAGTTATAAACAAACTGATGACAATGCAATGTATTATTTACTTAGTAATCTCCCTGGCTTGGTATAGCTTCACAATGAGGATAGTGAAGGGTACTATTGCAGATATTTTTGGATGCCCCAGTCTCAAAAGGTCACTGTTACTGGTTAGTACCATCAGGCATAAGAAGCTTTGATTAGTCACAGTCTTGTGCTTTGCCCTACATAAAAGAAGATGATGAAAGGAGGTGGCCTGTTCTAAGAACGGCAAGCTTCCTTTTTTCAGAGAACAAGCTGCTTCTCCCTGCTCCCCTCCCCACACTGCGAAGTATTGGGAATAATTGGTGGTGATGTCTTTCAAAAGACTGTCTAGCTTCATTAAACAGGAGGGGCAGCACTCATAATTTGATCACAACTGTTTCTTAGCTGCATTGCACATTTTCAGAAGTGCATCTTAAGAGATAAAGGTTCAGACCTGATTCCCTTGTTTCTCCTATAAAGTAGGGGGTTGGATTCAATATAACCAATTCCATTAAAAAAACCTCGTTCAGGACAATAGTCATATACCTAGCAGTGCTCTTCCCTTTATACACATTTCTCAAAAACTGTTTTTCAAAAATACTGTTCATTTATCATCATGTCATTTTCATGTGGACCTTCTCTACACAGAAGGCAATTTACAGTTTTATCCTAAAGCTGTAATCCTAAACATACACATGTGAATGTAAGAACAGATTCATACAAGTACTATTGTCAGGTGGAGAGAACAGGAAGTTTCTATTTTAATCCTGCTTCTGGAATGTGTAGAGCGAGAATATCAACATGAACATGCAGTCCATGGGCATGAATGCACCCCCAGACATCTTTCTTGGCATCTGCCAGGGTACCCTAATCCCGCTGATTTTTAATTAACAGGCTGCTTCATCTTCTGACTCATAGATTTGTAAGAAACTCTAAAAATCTCACAGCAATATTTACCTCAAACAACCAGACGATGAGCACAGTGATGCCAATGGATCTCATGATGTCAGTGTAATAATCCAAGAGGGCTTCCCTGCATCCTTTCATCCAAATATTAAGCTCTTCTGTCAGAAAGTCATAATTGTAGTGAGCTGTATTGTTGGTGAGCTGGTATTGGATACAGGGTCGAGGCGAGGTTGGATTGCAACAGCTGAAGGGGACACCATCCACCAAGAACTTCCCATCAATGTTACTCTTTAGACGGCTGCAACAAGATGAAACAATATGGGCATCATGTAAGAGCTGTTAATGACTTGGCACTTTTGTAGAGATATTGGTGACTAAGTCTGGAAAGCCATTTCCTCATTTTTTGTATCTTATAAAGGTTCCTAAAACAAATTCTGTATGCATTCATGAGCCCCATTTTTTTATCCTGCAGAGAAGCTGCATGATGCATTTAGAGGGCCTTCTTGATCCTTGCCCACTTTTTATACTGTGAGTTGTTGGAGAGGTATTCCCAGATGCCAGTAACTGGAGTATGCCACATGTTTTGTTGCATGCTTATCCCAAAACAGCTCAAAAATAACACTGCCTGGTGAAGAAGGAACAACAAATTTGTATTAATTGCCCTTTTAAAGCTACTTTGTTATGGCACTAGGGAAACTATTCTCTCATTCAGATCTCCATCTCTAATATAGGTATATCGATATTAACAACCTTACTAAGTTATAGGACTACAGTGAATTAGTATTTGCTCTTCAGAAGGCCAGATACTGAAGATGAAACTCAAATACTTTGGCCTCCTAATGAGAAGGAACAACTCACTGGGGAAGACCCTGATGCTGGGAATTGAGGGCAAAAGGAACAAAAGGAAGGGGACGCAGAGAATGAGGTGGCTGGATGGAATCCCTTGGGGCAGTGGGTGTGGTTTTGGTGGACTCCAGGGGATTGTGGAGGACAGGAGAGCCTGGAGGAATGTTGTCCACGGGGTCGTGATGGGTCAGACACGACTTTGCGACGAAACAACAAAAAAAGCACATTTTGAATACTTGAAAGCACTATATAAAGAGTGCTGGTGATGATGATGATGATGATGTATATGCATTCTAATTGCCACATTCAATCCAATATTTCACAGATTAAAACAGGCACTCCTATTTATGAGCAGGGAAGAATTTAGCAGCTAAGTAGCAGGCCCATGGACGAGCTAACCAGTATAGTGCAGACTCAGGTTCTTTGTCCAGGGATTTAACCCGGCGCTTTACTGAGGCTTCTACTTCAATTTTTTTGTGGAGCTTTAGACTTGGAGTGTCGTTCTCGTGGGGTGCATTTTTTCTTTCCGGGATTTTCCTCTGCCTTTTGACATGATTCATTACGCAACACAAGGAGGCGCTGTGGTAAAGAGCGGAACAGAGAATTTTTACTAGGCTTCTGTAGCGAACAAAGGCAGCGTTTCCTCTCTCCAAAAATAACACTGGTGAAAAAGATGGTAGAGACCCTGGCGGATGATGAGGGTAAGAAAAGTTCCCGCGGATTTCCTTGAGTGATGCCTGGTGAGCGCGCAAGAAATGCTTCGTGTGGAGAAGCCTTCAAAAGTACACAGGCAGGAAGTGGACACTAAAAGTGCATGCAGACGGACAGCACCCGATAACAAAGGTAGGTGAGGCAAGACACGAGCTACAGCGAGCCAAAGCTGTCTTACATTTGTACCATTAAAAGGGCATTGATCCCATTTTAGAGCTGAGTAATGCGAAAGGACACTAATTAGCCTCCAAGCCAAAGATCAGTAGGTGGCAGAGAGGCATGAAGGAAAGATAGCATTTAAGTAATAATAGCATGGTTCTAAGTAAATGAAGAGTGCTTTCCTTTCCCCACCTAACCACATGTCTCTTAGCAAAGAAATATGCTCGTGGTTTCTTCTCTTTCTCTACTTCCTCCTCATGTAAATGTGCCTTTTTCTATTTTTTTTTAAATCACAGCAAGTGAAAAGGTACATTTTAACACATACATGTTTCACTGATTGGATAAATCGAAAAATAGAATATGCGGAAAGCTGAACCTTTGCAGAAATGCCTGCCCTTCATTTTTTTTTCCAGTGCCAATGATCTAGAACATTTAGAACAGCCTTTCCCTACATGAGTTTCTTTAGATGTCTGGGACTACAGTTCTGATTATCCACAACCATTTGTCATGCTTGCTGAAGTTGATGGAACCTTGAATCCAAGACATCCAGAGGACCTTGTTTGGAAAGACTGAAATGGACTTCATGGAGAGGGCGCAGGGCCATGCGCATTGGCAGTGGGTCACATCCTTCTGCACTGTGGGGGGGGGGGGGGGGCGGGGCGGTCTACATTTAGAGCTCTGAACTGTGTGGAGAATAACCGTATAGCAGCGCCCCAGCACATTGCCAGAGAGGAGGCTACTGAGGAAGGGATAGGGACAGGGCAGTGGAGGCAGTGCCAGGGAGGTCAGCCTCATTTTCTCTCTCATGCCATCGTAATCTCTTGTTTGGAGAATGCCTGAAATTGCAATGTATCAAATATATGTTCAGTCGTAAGGTTCCTATTAAAATATGCATAAAAATGAATTTTAAAAATACTATTTGCATATAAAAGGTGGGACTGGTAGACTAGGCCTATACCTTTGCTTGACTCAATTTTGACCTTTGCGTAATAATGCTTGACCTTTGCGTAATAATGTCAAAAACTATCATTATTGATCACATCACCATAAAATTAGCATACAATGTATTACTGTACAATGCCATACATAAAAGTAATACAGAGGGTTATGCTTTTAATTAAAGCTTAAGTCAACAGTTTCTTCATGTTTCTTCTATGGACTGGGTTTAAAAGAGTGCTGGGTGTAAAAAACAAACACACACAGATACTAGTAAGTTGTTGGATGTCAAATGAGGCTCTGAAAAGCTAGACTGACCTGGATTAAGTTGACACAGCTAAGAGAACTGGTTGTCAAGGAGTGGTTGCTTTACATTGTACCTGCACTACAAATACAGCCAGAACTTTATTATGTATTCACCTTACTAAGGTTATTTTAATATATTTTAATTGTTTAGTTTTATGTCCCTGTTTATTTTATTTTATATTATTTGGTATTATTTTGCCTTATTTTGGGAGGGTTGGTTTATAGTGTGATGTTATGATTGAAATATTCTGTTCTTAATTGCTGTTAAAATGTTGTTTTACTATATTGTGAGCCACACAGAAAGCCTATGGCTAATGGGATGGCATACAAGGTAAATAAAACAGACAAACAAACAAGTCTTGGAGAACACCATAATACAAACTACAAGAGGTTTGATAAAGTATAAATCATATGCAAATCCAATGAGACCTGCTAAAGAGAAATAAAACACTCTTTCATTCTCAGGTTATTAAAAAAATTCCTTAAGGGAAGCCATTTTGAATGTATATTTTAAAAGGAAGCTGCAAAGATGGGATTCTGTTGCAAAATAAAACACACATGGCATGACAGTCATACTGAATATTGCCAACAGATGCAAGTAATCAAATGCGGTTACAATAGACTAAGTTCCTTTCTTATGCATTTGCTCTTTATTTTGTCAGTCACTCAAACCAAATAAAGAAGCTGAAGTAAGAAAAGCTGAAGTGATGTAACATTATCAATTAAGAAGAAACATTTATCTTTATTCCTGGTAGTATTAAAATTATAATGAAGAGCACTTGATGAAATCTACAGGTCATACATAATGTTCCCAATTTTAGCAAAATCATTCTTCCCCACCTCTGGCCCATAGTCATCGATACAGTAAGAAAGGAGGGTATTGCAAAAGATAAGGGAACCTCCCTTGTGTCCTTTAACTCAAGTACTAATTGATGAACAGGTATGTAGAGTCGCATTACTGCAGAGTGTGCCGTGTTACCCTAGGGGAACTTCGTCCTTCATACTATCCTTCCAAGTAGTAATTGACTCTCTGTATATTTTGCCAAATATCAGGAATGGATGTATGACAAAATGGCCATCTGTGTGCTATAGGATCAGTTTCTATGTGATAAGTTTCTGACATGGTTTTAATATCTCACCAAGGAAATCAGAAAGTATTATTGCTAGTAACCCTTGTCCTTCTGTTGGAATGGCTTGACGTTTTCTTGCGATACTCACATTTGTTCAATCTCTGAAATGTTTTATTTTTAACTATTATCCTACTTTCTGGCTTAAGGAATCCCCTGAAATGATTCACTAATAACTGAGTAACCAAAGTTTTTCATCATATGTTGTGGGCCTCTGTGAGAGGCTGCCACTGGCAAGCAGTTGCTAGAATGGACACCAGCATCCCCCTGAGCTCTGAAGGCTATAACAGGTGAAGTGCTAACTGGGCATTGCCATTAGTTGAATTGCTTGGAAGGGCTGTCAAAAGACAAAACAATTTTTATGTAGATTTCAGCATCTCTAGTAGTTACATCACAAGCTTTTGCTGGCTCACATAACCAGTACTTGGTCTGTCATTTATATTGCCTGCCTTCTGGTTTCGGAGGAAGGGAGTGCTGTTAATCATGCCACCCAATCTTGCTTTATTGCCATTCTTAATGGGAGAAGGGAGAATTCAGTGAAGCATCCTGAGTACTCATTTTGAGATTGCATTTTAATTGACTTGGCTACACAATGCTTTACATGTTTATGGTGGTTCTGAAGTACATGGTTATTGCAAAAATCTGATTGATTTTGTCTTTCTGGTGAGTTTTTAAGTCCTATAGATAATGTTGACAAGGGTGGAAATAAAATGATATATGTGTGGAGAATTAGATGGATGTTTATTTTTCATACAAAGTTAATGTCATATCTATTCACTCCTAAGCCCCACTGAGTTCAGTGTAAGTGACTACAGGATTGCAGCCTTAAGGAGACTAACACTAATTCTAAACAGTTTCTCTTCTTTTGCATATTTTTAATTGCTTATATATTACATTTATATTCTGCCATTTGTAAACCCAGAGCAGTTTATAGGGGGTTTAGGTGATGTTCCATCCAAGTTTTGAGCGATGAGACAGGCTATACAGTCTGACTGTGAAGGGAGGGCATGAGAGCTCCTTTTTTACACTTTGACAGATGTGTGTTATATGAGTATAGGGAATTGCTTTTTCTCAACTCAGATTATGTCTCCATCTAGTCCACTGGCCAGTATGGTCCTCTCTGACTTGCAGGGGTTCTTGGAGTGGCAGAAAGAAAATGTGTAGACTGTTCACCATGTGTAAGCTCCAGGCCTAGCATTGTGACCACGATATGTCCCTCCATCCGATTGCTACTCCTGAAGGAATGTGGCCCTTGAACCTGGCACCTGAACCTGGCACATTGTAAAGCATGTGCTTTAGTGCCAAGCAATGGCCCCTTTCCACTCCTGTTTTAATTGCTGTGAGGCAGCCTTGGGCCATTTTCAGACAGGTTTTTCCCCAGACAGCTCTGTAGTCAAGGGATTAAGAGAAAATAAATTGAAGAAGCATGATAACTGAACTGAAACATCTTTTCCTATTAATCTAATTATTTTTCCTTTTGCTCTTTCCTTTTCATAGCATTTTCTTGTCATCCCCCACCCTACCTCACCACCATCACAACTGCTCAATATAGTTATATTATCTCTGATTTCTCTCTATTCAGAGAAACCATCTATTGTATTTTTAACAATGCAATGAATGTAAGGTTGTATGTTTTGGCTTATATGCCAATTACACCAAAATCCTTTTTTACCTTCAGAGTGATTTCTAATTATCATGTTAGAATGGTTGGTTGAACTGACTGATTTTCAATCCATATACATTGGACATTTGCTTTTTTGTAAGGAAAGAGCTGTTGTTGCTACACTGCATTTATATCTCAGCTTTTCCCCTGTTGTGAGAAACTTGAAGTGGCTTAAAGAGTCCTCTTACTCCACTTAATCTTCGCAAAAACAACCCAGTGAGCTGGATTAGGCTAAGTGGGTGTAACTGACCCAAAGTCACCCAGTAGCTTCATGACTGAGTGGGGCCAAAAACCTGGATCTCTCCTGTCCCCAGTCCAACTCTCTAACTACCACACCACACTGGCTCTTCACAAATAGGTATACAATAGAATCAAGAGAAAAGGGCTGCTATAGCAAGTTGTGGCTCACTATTGCAACTTAGAGTAATGCATCAACATTGTTAGACAACCTAAAATGCATTGGGGTACAATTGTATTGCCTCCCAATATTGTCGGGGAAGTTCCATTGAATTATTTAGTCCTTCTGCCCTGCCCCCTTCATAGTCCACATGGAAGAGCTGTACTGGCTGCAACTCCAGGGTTGGACATAGGCTTCATAGGGAAGGAAGAGGGGCATGCCAGGGAAGAGGGAGGAGAGGAGGTTAAGATCAATGGCTTACACATGTATCCAGACAGCCTCCCAGCCCCTTTCCACCTCCCCACTTTGTGGACCTTCATCTAGATGACTGAAAATGGTTGTATGGATGCAATCAAGGGTGCAAGGTATGGCAACAGTAAAGACTGAGTTTGGAGGCATATGTGCACCAAGATTTGAGTTGCACCCTCTCTGTAGCAGGAGTAACAGTAGTGGCAGAAAAACTGCTGATCCAGCAAAGGCATCAGCATCAAATATAGTACAGCAGCAATGAAAGCAAGGGGCAACAATGTCAGTGGAAGTAGGTGGTGGAGAACTGGAAATCACTCATCTGTATATTAGCATGATGGTTTTTGAACCACCAGAGCTAACAGTGTGAAGAGAAAATTGCATGTATAATGTATTTGTAAGCCGCCCCGAGGTTTTGAGCGTGTTGTAAGCCGCCCCGAGGTTTCGGCAAGGGGCGGCATAGAAATGTTATAATAATAATAATAATAATAATAATAATAATAATAATTATCAATGGTTGGACATGGATTTTCATTGAACTGTGAGTGGTTGTTGTAATGTGGATTATCATGTTATATAACCACATGATCCATGGAAATTCATTCAGACAACACAATAACACAAGTTTCAACAATAACCCATACTGAACAACAATAACCCATACATTAACTCAGTCCATGAGGTTAGGTTAGGCTGAGAGTCTGCAGCTGGCCCAAAGTCACCATAAGCTTCATGGTGGAGCAAGGATTAGAATGTGGATCTTTCAGGTCCCCAGTCCAACACTATAATTGCCACATTATATCTCAGTGTACTCTGCTCTTTCAACCATTCCTCATAGGGCATGGTTTCTGGACCCCTCACTGTTCTGATTGCCCTTCTCAGACACATGCCAGAGTTTGAGTGCACTTCTGAAAATGAGTCTAACTTTAGTCTAACTTCTAGTCTAATCTGGTTACCTTCTCTCATTGACTTACTCAGTGCAAATGTATTACACAAGAGGTCGGAATCCAAAAATATTCCACATTCGTACTTACTCTTGAACATCCTTTGAAGCCATATCCAGGTAGCGAACTGATACCCACTGAATTTCAAACCAATCCCTGAAACCATTGTTCCCACAGCACTGGAACCTGATTTGTAATGTGTCTATAGTTCTCTTTAAAAAGCACCTTCCAGGGATGTCCGTGTCTTTGTAGAACTTCATAGCCTCTCTTAATCCCAGGTAAAGAGATTCCTCCAACTCATTTCTCGTGGTATAACACATGACAGCACCCACCAAGATGCAGAAGGTGAAACAGAATGTGCATACAATATAAGGGAGCATAACCAGCTTCCATCGATTAAATTTATTGGAGTCTGTGCAGTCATAGCAGATTTTACCACCAAGAAAGTTGATGATGCATGCTACGACCCCTACAGAAATTAGCATGTTGGGGACAGAGTTAATATTCCCTTTGGCCATCAACTCGCTGCGCTTCCTGATTTCTATCTTCAGGAAGAGTCCCAGGCTGAACAGAATTGCACCAGATACCACAGAAATCCAGTTGAGGAGCCACAGAATTTGAGCCAATTTGTCTCTCTTTGTTTTGGTGAATTTTACTTTAAGGACAGCCATGGTCACTCCAGCATTAGGAAAAGAAACGTTGCTTAGGAAAATCTCCTAATCAGATTATCAGTGTGTGCCCAGAGTGGAAAAAGCATGCAGTAGAACTCTGTGAAAGAGAGAGAGAAAGAGAGAGAGAGAGAGAGATTACTACCTTTCCTTCTGTGTATTTATGTAACAGGCATTATAGGATCCTGGATAGGCCCTTAACATGCTATCAACAATCAGCAAGAACAAAAATAAAGTATTCCAGCTTTCTAACATGAAATTTGACTCTATTACTATGTACCCCTATATGTTTCATGTATGAATAGATGTTCCTTTTTTTTTTTTTGGTAAGTCATCCAGAGACTCTGGTATTGGATGGCATATAAAAACCATCCTGAAGGCCAAAGCAGAGAAGAAATTTTGGAAAATTTCATGGGTTGTGAACAACCTACAACCAGTAACTTTACACTGAATGTATACTAGTCATCCATGGTATACAGTGTGTGATCCATACTGTGTCAACTGACACTGTGGTACGTTAGGAGTCCTGCACCAATAAATCTTTTCATTTCATTTTGCAATAACATCAATCATAAGCCCCAATGGAACAGACTTGATATAGAGCCAGTGTATTTCATTGGTTTTGCTGGGACTGAGCTGCAATGAACTGTAGGTGGACTGGATCCTAGATGTAGTCTGATGTGCTTTATTTGCAGAGCAAACTGTTGAAATTGGTAAACTGATACTTGCATGTGGTGCTAACACCAGGCCATCTCAAGCCACGCTATTCCTCACTTAAGAGAGGATCCATAGCCAATAAAAGAGGTTCTGGAACACTACCAAATGCACTTAGGAAGGGAAAAAGCCATGAGTCTTGACACCCTCCAGTCAACTGCTGTACTGGGTTTAGACTGTAAGTTTTTGGTTCTCTGCTAGAGTCCAACAGCAGAGCGGAGTGCAGGCCACCCCCCACCCCACCACAGCAGAGGCCCCCGCTGTGAAAGAAAATCAAAGATGTGTTTGATGAAAAATGTGCTAGAAAATTTTTCTAGCAACTGCCAAAAGCATGACTCAGCAGCTGCAATGCATGTGAGCGAGTATCCTGGGTACTGTATGGGGTGCCTGACTGCATGCATACATTCAGTGTCCATGCATTGGCTATGAGATGGTTTCTCACTCAGATACTTAATCTGCAATCCTCTATACACTTACCCAGGAATAAGTCCAATTGAGCTCAACAGGGCAGAGGAGTGTACTGTTAACCTTTACAGCAAGGCTTCCCAACATGCTGCCCTCCAGTTGTGCTGGTCTATAGCTCCCATAATGGTCATACTGGTTGGGAATCCTAGGAGCTACAATCTAACACATCTGGAACGTGCAAATTAGGGGGAAGCTTCTTTAGGGAAAGTTTGAGAAACCTTGCTGAGCTGCAGTTCCCATCATGCCTGACCATTGGCCATGCTGGCTGGGACTGATGGGAATTGGAGTCCAGCAATATTTGGAGAGCCACAGGTCCTGAACCCTTTTTCCAGGAACTGGGGACAGAGCTAAACCATAAGAATGTAAGTATGGAAGAGAAGCCAAGGGACCGTTTAATGCAGCATTCTGTTCTCGCAGCACCCAACCACAGGACTCCACAAGCAGGACATGAGTGCAACAGCAACCTGCTGCCCATGATCGTAGCAAGTGGTATACACAGGCACACTGCTTTTGATCAGGAAGCAGCAACAGGGATGGTTATTTACCAGGAATAGGGGGCAGATTGCCCTAGTAAGTAAGGGCAGCTGGAGGGATTCCATGTGGAAGTTTTGAATCTGTATACTTCCATTTGGAATATACTTGTTGCTATAACTAGTGCAATAGCAACACCTAGGTGATTAAAAGCAAAGGCTTAGATCCAGAGATCTATTCACACAGTCTTGAGCCTCAGTTCTCTTTCTGCTTTGCATAGCACTGGACCTCACAAAAAATGCTCATGGGCCAAGATCCTCTGGAAGAATGCAGCTGCTGTGGGAAGGGGGCATTGATGGAAATCTCTTCCCTCTCATTCAAAAGAACTTCTTTGGGAAATTTTCCTTCTACTGGTGGAAGGATTCCTTCCATTCCTGAAAGGGCATCTGTGAATCCAGAACATGATAGTTAATAGCCACAACAGAGTTGTTGTTTAATTAATTGCCTTTGTATGTTGCTGTTCATGCCATCAAGTTGTTTGTGAGTTATGATGACCCTATTAATTAAAGCCCTCCAGAATGTTCTATCCATGATTGCCCTGCTCAGCTCTTCTTAGTTCAAGGCTGTGGCTTCCTGTATTGAGTCAATCCATCTTGTATTTGGTCTTCCTTTTCTTCTTCTGCCTTTGACTTTCCCTAGCATTATTGTCTTCTGCAGGAAGTTCTGCCTTTTCATGATGTGCCCAATGTTTGACAGCCTCAGATTTGTCATTTTTGCTTTCAGGACAAATTCTGGCTTGATTTGACCTATGACCAACTTGTTTGTTTGCTTTTCTTTCAGTCCAGGGCATTCACCAATTTAATTAATGTATAAATTAATATAAATTTTGGGATAAAAATATTCCTACTACTCCCCTTCATTGAAAATATGCCAGCACTGAGTGAGGTTTCAAGTACACTTAAACATCTATAGATATTTATAGATACTCTGGAGCAGCGCTCCCTTTGGCCCTTTGGAATAATGGAGATTGAGAACTACAAATGACGGCCCATGAAAGTAAACAGCTGCTTCTTTCAGGCCATTTGTATTCTGTACAGCTGAGTGAGGTAGTTTTTTTCTTGTATTTAGTGACTTGAGTTAGAGGCAAAAGTAGGTACACAATATATGCAAACAGACAAGCATGCTGCAAATAACCTTACTCCTTATTTCTTTCATGATGGTACTTCATCTAGCTATACCCATGAAATGGTGGCTTTATATCAGAAAAATTCTACACTACTGTACCATATGTGGTGTTTTGGCATATGGAACATTTGAGGTACAAGCACCCTCCCTCTTCACAGAATTTTATACAAGATCTAGATGACATCACCTTCCATTTACTGTTGTTGTTATTATTACATTGTATTTATGTCCCACATTCCTTTCTTTTGCAAGGAACCCAAGACAGCTTACAACGTTCTTCTTCCCATGTTTTCCCACTGTCGATTTCTCGGCATAACGAGGTAAGCCATTGCTTTACATCATCATCCTTCAGGGCCTCTCCCATTTTTTCAGCCATTTTAGTGGGTATTTTTAGAGTGAGGAAAGCCTGCTATTAAATTTAAAATTGCAACATACCATAACAAAAGCCTTATGAGAAGTTGCAGATTTGCTAAGCTGCAGCTATATCGCAGCAACACTCTGTTGTTTTAAAAATATGTAGAAGGCAAAGAAATACAAGCCCTGGTTAACACCACTCCCCACCAAAACAGTGTAAAGGATGCATTTTTCCTGCTACAATGATGTTTCAGCAGTGTGTTATCTCATCATGTGAAGATGCCCCTGGAGACACCAGGAATTGAACCTGGGTTCTTTTGCATTACCAGGGGTGGCCAAACTGAGGCTTGGGAGCAGCATGCAGCTCTTTGAATTCATTTTGCAGCTCACCACTCGCTGCTGTGGGCACCCATGGGCGCCCAATCGCCACTTGCCACCCACTGCTGCCGCCAACGCGTGTCCACTTGCAGCTCTCAAACACCTGACATTTACTGTATGTGGCTCTTCCTTTGAGCAAGTCTTGCCACTGCTGGCATATACTCTACTGAGCCTTCGGCCCTTTACAAGCCCTTATGATAGATTACATTTATTGTTTGCATCTTATTTTTTAAATTTTAAGTAGTGTACTGTAATGCAATGGGAACTTGAGAATTAGTGAATGAACCTGATAGGACAAAAAAACAAGAAATAGTGTACAAAACAATGCCAGGTATTGATCTACTATCATTGTGTTGTGGGATCTACAGCTTTATTGTGTGTTTTAAGTGTTTGCTTACTTTCAGTAGGCTCTATTCATTGAAAGGAAATTCAACCATGAAGTGCTACCTTCTTCGGGAAATGGAGAGTGTATGAACCGTGCCAGGAATGCAACAGCCTTTTCTCAGAGACAAGCTGTGAGCTGGTGAGTGAGCTGATATGGAGGGAATAATAGAAGAGAGTAAGTCCAAGCACAGAAGCTGCAGCCTGCAAAATCATTAAAGCAGTGCACAGGAGAAGATAGAGGTTGTTTGATCTGTAGCAGCGTAGGGGAATCAAAACTGAACTGGAAGCTCAGTTGACAGAGCACCCAGTTGAGATTGGTTGACAAGGGCTGTGAGCAGCTCTGGAGTATTTGTAGTCAACAGGGGGCGTACAAGGAATGCCTGTCTGTCCAGGAGGAGCTGATAGCAATGGTAGTAAAAGAATAAAATAAAAAATGGAGAAATGGTTTCAGGGACAGGAGACGTGCTCTGAAGAAAAAGCTGAAATCAGGGACGGCCCTACAGGTAGGCAGAGTGAAGCAGATACCTTGGGCAGTGGACACAAGAGACAGCTGATGATGGTCAGGCATTAGAAGCCAGCACTGCATGGGCTATGCAGCCTGCCTTGTGCCCCCTAAGTCACCTTCCTGACCTCAGGCAGGGTAGAAGACTCTGCCCCATGGTCACCATTGAAGTAAGATTCAGTTGCCACTCTGGATGGTTTCTGCCTGTAGAAGAGGAGGCACTAATCTGAACTTTGCCTCAGGTGGCAAAGTGTCTTGGGACAGACCTCACCAGAAGATCAATTGAAGGCTGCAACCATAAGAGGAAGTATGAAGACCTGTAAAATACACCTGTGCAATAAGTTTGTTGTAGGCTTAGGTTCAGTAGTTTGGAATCAGGTGGAAGAATGACAGGGAGTTCAGTGTTAAAAGAAATGAATCAAAGTGATTCTACCCCAGGAATGATAGGAAATAGGACGCTTTGCAAAGAAGTATCAGATATGAAGAGGGTCATGGGCCTAGCATACTGAAAAGTAAAGCTCCACAAATTTTTGCTGGATCTGGTAGCTCAAGATGTGTGGTCATCTCAAAACCCTTCAGAAGGTCAGGGACAATTCCCTGCTTCCCTCTCTAGCACCAGGTTTACGACGAGAGAGGAGGGGCAGGAAGGATTGTTTATTGACAGGGACATATGCAGGCATGAATGCATATTTTCCTATCCAAAAACAAAGAAACAAATACAAGAAAGAATGGGATTTTTGTCAGCTAGCTGTCAAACCTCCAATCTCCCAGAAAAGGTGATGGTGCACATTGTTCAGCACTAGAATCTTGGCAAAGGGTGAAAAAGTGCAAGGGAACAGACAAGAGTCAGATCCAAAGACATACCTAGATGATCTCACTGCAAAGGGGATGATCTATTGACCACCTTTTTTCATGAGCAAAGACCACTTGCAGCTCTGATTACTCTTGACAGATTGGCTTTTGACAACTGTCAGGAGAAACCAAAGTTTTAAAAAGCTCCTTCAGCTTCCTGGGTCAATGACCATGAATGGTTCCTGCTGGACTTTGATAGAAGATATCACCAATGACATTGCCCAGGGAAGACTGCCCAGTTTGAACCTACAGAAATGCACCTTTAGCAAGTCTGCCTAAAAAAGTGCATAAAATAAAAATGGATAAAAGAACTGTGTGTATTTCTTTCACTAAAAAATTAAAAATGGGACAGTGAACCAGCGACAGCTCCTCCAGTGTGCTAGCTGTTACTAATTGTCAAATCAGAAATTGCTTTTTCAAATCTCCTGAAGTGAAATGGTGAAAGGAAGGAAAAAGGCTACAGCAAGCACAAAAGAGCTTGTGATTGTGGTGGGGGCTTTTAGTCAGTGATGGTCTCACCAAGGTGCTGCTTGGACACTCATGAGGGCAGCTGTCAGTGGTGTTGGTCCAGATATTTGTCAAGAGTAGTAAGGGGCAACAAAGGAGTACAAGGTCATTCCTCCCCATATAATTTGAAGGGGTTATATTACAATCTAGCCAAGTACCTTTTATCTCAGACTGAATAGAATTTCTTGTAGGAAAAAAGATAAATTCAGGGGGCAAAATACACAGTGGGGAAAAGGCCTTTTATAGGTCTTAGTACAAAATTGGCAATAAAAGGGAGAATACTACAAAACCCTTTCAAAGTGAGAGAGGATTAGATGCAAGGCACTCACATTATGTGGCGGAATCTGTATTTTGTTGGTTGTGGGTGGTTGCAAAATTTAAGCTGCAGTCCTACATCCATTTAAATGGGAGTAAGTCCCATTCAATTACCAAGGCTTATTTCAGAATATACATGTGAAGGATTGCACTGTACCTGTCTTGCAGCTGCAGTAGCTGCAAAAAATATGATGGAATCAAGATTTCATTTGCTCTTTCAGACTCTGCCAATATACATTTTTCCATCTTTTTTTAAAGGCAGCCCCTTATTGAAAACATTGTGGTGGGGGAATATCTAATTTAAAAAGAAATGCTCTTTATAGGCATGTTCTAGGATTGGTGGAGTGTTTTAGCTGCTGGGCAGCTATTGTATAATGATGCTTTTCAGCTGAAGCGATTGATTCTTTTTGTTTGGAACAGCAATTCACAGAACTGGGTGACCATGGAAACTCCTAGCCCCCAGCAATTGTCCTTGTGAGCTCTTCCCTTTCTTCCCACTGCTTTATGTAACTTAGTCAACATTATTAATCCATTTACAAAAGCTGTTTTCAAAGTATGGAAGAGCACAAAAGCTAGCCTCTCTAATTTCCCTTTTAATCTCTTTTTAAAAATCATCTATCATTCTTTGAGATGGCACATGTCAACACAACAGTTTGCAAAATGGGAAAATAGAGACATATATAGAATTATGAACTTACTGGATAAAGGTTATCTCGGGGGTGTAACATTTTGCAAAATGTAATAACACATGTGTACAATGGTTCCAGATAATTGAGGTACACCATCTTACTATTAATTCCACTATACAAGAACAAGCTACTCGTAGTATTACAGAATTAGAACAGCTTACGCATTTCAACTTACACTGAATAGGAGGCACAGGTATGAGAGATTATTATGATTATGATTTTGTTAAATATAATTGTATACAACATTGAAAATGAGTTCTATCGGACTGACTTTTCAGTAAGTCAGTGTAAAATGAACCCAATGGGACTTCATCTCTCTCTGAGCAAACTTGCATAGTGTTATGCTGTTAGTATGGGGGATGAAACAATAATATAAAAATTCACATTTCAAATTCTATTCTCCAAGGGATTAACCAACTAGAAACATTTAAAATGACAATTTTTAAATCATAGCCTATATTGAAAATTATATTGTGTAATGTTATAAATGCTTCATTTACCATAACTTTAGGTAATTGTTTTTATAATGTTTATTTCTATGAAATACAGCTTTTCATATGTTTATGAAAGTAAAAAAATACACAGAAAATTAGAGCAATTAAACAAAAAAATTAAGTGCTTTGTGAACTTCCCTACAGCACAGGCTTGAGAAATTTGGGATGCAGTTGCGATAGCATGGGTGCACTCTGACAGCACAAATATTTCCTATCTTGGTACAACTGTTCAGTGTAAAGGACTGGCAAAGGAGCAGAAGACTGAGGAAGGACTGTGGTTAAGGAATGCATGGTGATGTGTGAGAGTGAGGAGAAACAATGCTAGGATATCAAAGACATGGATAGTTTCATATAAACAAATAGGTACCTAAGATTTGAGCAATAACTTTATGTAAGTGACTAAACCATCTTTGCCCAACCAGTCTGGTGCTCTGCAGCTGTCTTGGACTATAGCTCCCATAATCTTCCAGCCAGAATGGCCACTGGGGGTGATGGGAGTTGTAATTCAACATGTATAGAGGGCATTTAGTTGGGAAAGGATGGGCTAAATATCGCATTTTTGTTTTTATTAATGGCTGAGATGGTTTGTCTGAAGATTCTCATTCAAGGCTTTTAAGCAGCAGTTTTGCTTAGAGAGAATGTTTATTGGTACTTAGGTTATCAGCTGCTGTGACTGGAGAAAAAGACATACTTTTGTAAATGTGTGACCATTCATCCTTTTGCATGTTTGGAATGATTTACTGTTAACATATGCTCAGCCATGAAGCTCACTGGGTGGCTTTAGGCCAGGCACTCACTCTAAGCCTAACCTAAATCACAGGATTCTTGTTGTGAGGATCAAATGAAAAGGAGAACCTTGTAAGTTGCCATGGGTTCCTTGTAAGAGGAAGAATTGTGGGGTATTAATGAAATGTGATTATAATCATAGTAGTAATAATAGTAATACTAATAATTTACTTACCAGAAAGAGCTGTAGGCCTTACCTAAAACTTCTTAGAGCCAACATGGCCTTTCATGACATTTTTCTCTGTGACTCCTTCATTACTCCTTGACACTGGGGATGCTGAAACAGCAGTTTCCCAAGGAACATACAGCTTTCCCGATCCCAGGGAACATACAGCTTTCCAGGCCACCTGACATCCCCACCAAGAACTCAGGCAGCCTGGAAAACTACAAATCCCAGAGCTCTTTATATCTGAGGTGTTCTCATTTCTGTTGTTACCCATAGTGGGTTGTGCAAACCTGGACCAATTCCCACAGGGCTCCTTGTTTGACGGTAGCAAGTTGCCTGTCAAGACTTGGGCTCTTGCTTGGATTGCTGTACCTACAACTGGTTATCATGTAATCTGAACCCAGGGGACTGATGTGAGTACCAGGACTTGGCTAGGAAGCTATTTGGCAAGGGCTGCAAGACCCTTGTGCCACATTTTTCAAGTGTGTCTGAGTACCTGTCAGACACAGTGAGTGACCTTTACTTGCAAAGGGAATGAGAGGCTCATCTTTTTGTGCTTTTGCCCCAGTAGTCTTCATACACTTATATATCTCAAGCAGAAACCACTCATTGCCCTCTCAAAACCTGCTTTGAAAGGGGTTCTAGCAATCTGACCACCTGCTGTCAAAATTCCTTTTCTGCCTGAAATGAGGTGGGATGTACTTTTTGAACATTCCTGAGCAGCTGGAATGACAAGAAAAAGTTCAAAATGTGAATCACCCAGAAGACTGTGAGGAAAAGTAAAGGCAAGGTTTTCTCTGTGAGGGGGGTGTAAATTTCATCATCTCT